CCAATGCCCCGCAATAAGAGCAATTTTTATACTCCAATATAAAAACAACACCGTTATGAGTGTTTTCTTTTTTCCACCAGCCTGGTCCCACAGTCACACCAGCCCCAAATAACACACAGAGACACTATATTAGATATAAAGCTGTTGGCCAGTTACTAGTGTTTATCAGCTAGCTCTGTCTTAAATATTAACCCATTTCTATTAATCTAAGTATTTCCATGTGGTCTCATCTTACCAGAGAGAGGGCCCAGTCCTCTGTTCTCTCAAGTCTCTCCATGCTGACCCCTCCTTACTACTTCCTCTCTCCTCCTTGACTCCTAGTCCCACCTATCTTGCTTTCCTATTGGCCAACAATGCACTGTTACGCGCTGGGCCCTTGGTGGGTGAGCTCTTGCCTGTAGTACCTTTGCTGGTGTTCCAACTACAGAAGGACATACTGTAACCATATTTGAATGAAACTGAAAGGATTAGGAGATGGGTCACTGAGGGTGAGCTTTGAGGCCCAGTCTCTCTGCCTGTGGATCAGGATGTAGCTCTCAGCTACTTCCCCAGTGCCTTGCTCCCCACCATACTCTCTGCCATGAAGATAATGGGCCAAGCCTCTGAAACTTTAAGCAAGCCCCCCCACCCCATTAAATCCATTAAATGCTTTTTTTATAGGAGTTCTGTGGTCATGGTATCTGTTCACAGCAACAGAACAGTGATTAAGACAGCTACTCTTCTTGTTTCTGTGACAGAAGCCGTGACAAAGCAGCTTAAGGAAGAAAACTGTAGCCCATGGTGTCAGGGAAGCCATGGCAGCAGGGAGAGGCCCCTGAGCATTCTGCAGAGAGGTGACAGCCATGCTCAGATCCCCTTCCTCTGTATTCGGTTCTAGACCTCAGCCATGGTTTCATGCCACCTCACTCAGGGTGGGTCTGCCTCCTCAGTTAAACCATTTTGGAAGCTTATAGACATGTCACTGTGGTGATTCTAAAGCCTGTGAAGGTAGGTGACAGTAAAGACTGTAGTAAGCACCATGCTAGTTGGGGTGTCTACAACACTTCTGTGAGGAACTTCTGCTTTACAGATGAGGAGATGGAGGTTTATGGAAGTAAAGAAATAAGTTCCAGGCTACACTGTATTAGCAGATGGGCCTACCTGACCACAGCAATCTTCATCCTTCTACCACTGTACGGTCCTTGGACACCAGTGTGTTATGGCTGTACTATGGAAGAGCTATGGATCTACCCCTGCAGCTCTAGGTCATAGGTCTCAAAGGCTTTTCAGCAGAGTTTGGAGGTCTCGTGGTTAGTGATTTAAAGCTTGTTTTCTTTTTCTTCTTTCTTTCCTAATTTCCTTTTCCCTTTCTTCTTTTATCTCTTTCTGTATCCCTTTTTTTTTTTTTTTTTTTTCCCCTCAGGCTTTCATGTATTCCACACTGGCCTCAAACTCATTATATAGACCCAGACTTCTGATCCTGTACTTCCTGAGGGCTGGGCTTATATGCGTGTACCACCATGCCTGGTTATTAGTGACTTAAATCTTTATTTACATCTTTCACAAATACCGAGTGCCTGTTTTCCTGGGGCTGGGGACTTAACAGTAAACAAAACACACACAAAAAATGGCATCTTGGCTGAGTTCAAAATGCAGTGATAGGCACTCCTCAGAAAGCAAATTATATAGAAAATGATAAGTTGCTACGTGCTTTGGAGAAAGAATAAGCAATGGTAGAAAAGTGCAATAAAGAATGTGGGGGTGGAACCTAATAATAGGCTAACGGGGTGGCATCTGACTCATGCATGAAGGGACAGTCAGTGTGCCTCCATGTGGCCTTCTGATTTTACTTAGCCTGAAAGAAATTTGAAGACACGTTGTCTTTTTGTTGAGCAGCCTGGGCTTGCTCATGTATGTGCTGCTCTACTCACATGTATGTGCTGCTCTACTCAGGGCTCATCCTGGTGCTCATTTGGCTTTGTCTCTGGTAGATGGAGAATGGTAGAAGATAGATCCTGTCAGAATGAAGCAAGCCCGGACCTGTGCAGGTCTGGGATTGTCAAGCACTTGGCTCTTCCTGGCACTAGTGTCCTGAACTGAGGCCCTAAGGGGCTTACCCTCCCTCTGTGGGGATGAACGATCTCTCTGTGCCCTCAAGTTCTAAGTTACAGGAATTAGCCTGTTGGGCCAGCCCAACCCAGTAGTCCTTATGTTGATGATTTCAGCGAGTCTTGCTGCAAGGGCTTACCCTGCTGGGCAAGGACATTGGAAGTGAAGAGGCTGATGCCAACTGTGCCCCACCCTCCTCTTCCTAGCTGACTGAGTCACAAAGAAGACCAAAAAGGCTCCTCAGGGGTTGAGGATTTCACACTCCTGTGTCCTTGGAAGGACTTAAGTGAGCTGGGCATATGTCTGTCTTCCATGGGCCCGGCTCTCCATAGGGAGACCATGTGTGTTCACTGTGTCTCTTTCTGGGGGTTAGTTTCCAGTCTGAATAAATAGGAATAAAACATTTAGAATAAAGGCTGCACTCTGTGTGTTTCAATCCCTGCCAAACCTGAAAATTTCCTTTTATACAAGACGAAGGGCAGGGAGGGTGGTGGGGGTCTTCTCATCTGCCTGTAGCCAGTCATCATTCTGCCTGCATTCTCTCTCTATTCTCTCTCTGCCTCTCTCCCTTCCTTTCTCTCTCTCACTGTTGACTTTCCTTCCTCTTTTCTCTGTGAGCTTGAACTTAGGAGATGGAGGAAACAGAAGAAATTATATTCCATGAGGATTTGAATTTGTGCGTAGTGACTAGAAAGGTTTTGGTGTTTTCTTTTGTTTAACAGGATCTTATTCAGCCCAGGCTGACCTCACACCCACTATATAGCCAGGACGACTGAACTTCTGATCCTCCTGTCTCTACCTCCCAAGTTCTGGAATCATAAGTGTGTGACACCACACCAAACTGGAGTGTTTTAAGCAGTTAAAGGCTACTGTGCTCCTCTAGGGTGGTGGGTTTAAGGGAACACTACTCACAGGCAGAGCCCCCAACACTTGCTCTGCGTGTGGAGTGTGGCTGGCTGCCTTGTATCATCGTTGCAATTACAGGAGCTCTGTCTTACAGAGAGGAAGCCTTCTTCTTGTTCATCTGTTACTAGTGGGTAAGCTAGTGGCCCATAACCTGTCAGACTTTGCTCGAGCTGAGCCTATATACGTCTCTTCAGCAGCTCAGGGCAGATTTTGAGGGATCAGAAAACAGTGGCCACAGAAAACTCAGTGGGTTATAAGCTGGTGATGGCAGGCCTAGAGGATATTATTTTGCACATACTGAATAGTATTGAATTGTAACTTGACATACATTTTCATACTCCTGTTCAGAAGTGATAGAGTAAAAAATTTCCATAGCCATCTTGGGTTTTGTCATGTTTTATGTTTTTAAGGCAACGTTTTACTTTGTAGCCCAGTCTAGCTTTGAACACTGTCTTAGTCAGGGTTTCTATGGCTGTGAAGAGACACCATAACCACAGCAACTCTTATAAAGGAAAACATTTCATTGGAGCTCACTTACAGTCCAGGGGTTTGGTCCATTATTGTTATGGTGAAGAACATGGCGGCGGCACACAGGCAGACATGGTGCTGGAGAGGGAGCGGAGAGTTTTACATCTGGGTCAGCAGGCAAGAAGAGAGAGAGAGACACTGGGCCTGGCTTGAGCATTTGAAACCTCTAAGTCCACCCTCACCGACACACTTCCTCTAACAAGGCCACACCTACTCTAGCAAGGCCACGCCTCTTAATGGTGTCCCTCTGAGCCTATGGGGGCCATTTTCAATCAAACTTGATAAATTACACATTGCACATTTGAAGAATCAAAGCTTAGTTCTTCGGCCTGCCAAGTGCTGGGGGTGACAGATATGCCCCTGAACATGGCTTTTATCATACTTAAAAGCCTTCTGACCATGGCACTTAGAAGAAGAATAGGAAAGAGTAGGGATGGAGGTAGGAGAGAGGAAACAGTTAAGGAAGGGCTTACAGAGGGAAGTGACGGTGATGAGACTCAAGACTTGAAATCTGTTGGTCACTGGAAGTTCAGGATTTATTAGGTCCCAACAAAGGTCCAGCATCTCCAGAGAAGTCTATTGAGCCTGAGATGCTAAGTACTTGTTATCGGTGTGCACGTCTACTTAGTTTCCCACCACAGTCTCGGTCTGCTCTCTCCTCCTCCACTCTCTGGTACGGCAGCCTCCAGCCTTGCTCTTGCTAGTGACTCCAATGCTAAGAAATCAGACAACTGGGCAGCAGCAGGCTGGGGCCTGCTCACAACCAAGGAGCCTGCTGAGATCAGTCGTGTTCTTGACCTCTGGCTTATTGCTGCTGACCCCTGCTATCCAGATTCCCTCTCCAGAGCTGCCTCCGGACAGTCTGGATCTGGAAGCCTTGTCCCCTGGGTAGAAAGGTTGCCCCATTTTTTTTTTTCTTTTGTGAAATGGGGGCAGAATCTCCACTTGCTTTGTTCTGGTGGTCAGAAAGTCCTACAACCCAGGGGTCCTTTGGCTCAGCTGGAAGCTCTCTAGCAACCCCAAGTCATGTCCAAGACCCTCTTAATCCATTTCTGGAGCCTTGCATAGGCCCATGTTCTTTCTTATTCAGTAGATGGAGGCACACTGTCTATAACAATGATTAAGGCATGGCTCTAAGCCTGAGAACTGGTTGCAAGCTAAGGTCTGAGCTGATAAAATAGCATTATTCTTCCATCTTGTATTCCTTTCTTGGGATGTGTGTAAAGGTTGTGGGAAGGCCTTTGTCCCTGCTGTCCTTTGTGGTTATGATCAGGGATGACCCTGGTCCTCAGGGTCCTGGTGAATGGGCTCCCATGGAAAGCCCTTTTTACCACCCAAAGCTGCTGAAATAGGCCTTTTTGGGTGGAGAAACTCTGAGCGTGATTGACCTGTTCCTTCTGCTGGGTGACCAGAAGTCCTCGGGGGACTCTTGAAGGAACTATGGTTGGGAGCTAAGCCTAACATCTCTCTCATCTCAGGTGTGTGGTTGTGCTGTTCAATCCCCGGAAACACAAACAGCACCATATCCTCAACAGTTCCAGGTATGTGGGCATGGCCCCAAGGGATCTAAGTCTTTGGGGGTTGGGGACCTGGTTTGGCCCTGAGGCCAGATAGGGAAGTGTCACATATACCCTGGAATCTTTTGGTCTCCTGTATGGAAACTATGTAGGAAGGAGGGAAGAAGGGAGTGTAGGCTAGGAAGGGGAGGGGCTCAGTCTACTAGCTACAACTAAGCTTGCCCTGTCTCTTTTAGGAAAACCATTACTGCCCTCGCCTTCTCGCCTGATGGCAAGTTCTTGGTCACTGGAGAGGTGAGTGAGGAACAGGGCAACCATATTGTGGCTTATGGGTGGCCTGCCCTCAACAGGAAGCCACAATCCTGCTGCACTCACTCGGCTTCTTGGACTTCTGCTTTGTCTTAAATAGTAGTTCTTAAGCTTAATGTGACCAGACTCACTGGGAATGCTTTTTAAAGTGCTCACAGCTGGGCCCCTGCTCCCAAGTTGTCTGATTCTATAACCTGTGATTCTCTGGATAGCTTTTCTTTTAAAAGCAAAACAAAAACCAAAATATTTATTCATTTATTTGTGTGAGGAAAGGGGCATGGAAAGCTCACTGAGGTCCATCAAGTTTGGTGTCAAATACCTTCACATGCTGAAGCCATCTATCTCTTACCTCCTTCTCTCCCTGTAGCTTCTAACAGGGTGGGGTGGTTAAGGACACACATTCTGAAAACCACCCCCCCCACACACAATATTTCTTATCTTCAGATGCCCCCTGCTGGGCACAGCAGGAACAACAGTCTTACGAGGCGGCAGTGCAGTGGTAGACAGATGGTACTCACTTTAGGTCAGGCTGCTTACCAGAGTCACCCAAGGAGCTTTGGCCAGACACAGAGGCCTGGGCCAGTCTCACCCTGATAAGATGGTGTCTTTGGTGTCTCTTCTGTGCCTTTGTCTTCCCTCGCTGTCGACAGAGACCTATTGGAGAAGCACTGTTTGGAAGCTGAGGAGGCAAAAGATCAAGGAGTCTGCATAATGCCTTACTCACATTCTTGCTTTCCTACAGAGTGGGCACATGCCTGCTGTGCGGGTTTGGGATGTGGCTGAACGTAGCCAGGTGGCAGAGCTACAGGAGCACAAGTATGGCGTGGCCTGTGTGGCCTTCTCCCCTAGTGCCAAGTACATTGTATCTGTGGGTTACCAGCATGATATGATTGTCAACGTGTGGGCCTGGAAGGTGAGTGTGCTGGGTGCAATGACCTTGACCTCCTCGTGGGGTTCCATTGTCCGTGGGGTCAGGAAACTGCTGAGCTGAGCAACTTCATCTACTCACTGACTCCCATCTCACTCTTGAAAAGTATTTGAAGTAGAAAATAGTCCTTGAGTACCAAGGGTATTGCTAGAGGGGCTGGCTTTGTGTTTCCCATACTCCAGAGGAATTAAACCTTTGAATTCCTTTAGGAAAGGATTTGCTTGTCTTTTTTTGTGACCAGTAAATACTAGAAAGTTGTTTTGTTTTTTCCAAGTAGAAATTCTTGCTAGCTCTTCATTCTCTGGACCCCTCTGAGTCCCCAGGGGCAGAGCTGTGATGCTTCTTTTGACTTTCCTCCAGAAAAACATCGTTGTAGCCTCCAACAAAGTATCTAGTCGAGTGACCGCAGTGTCCTTTTCTGAAGACTGCAGCTACTTTGTCACCGCAGGCAACAGGCACATCAAATTCTGGTATCTCGATGACAGTAAGACCTCAAAGGTGAGAGCTGAGACCCTGTCCCCCTGGATACTGCTCCAGCCAGCTGCCTGTGCCTTGCTTAACAGTCACAAGTTTTGGATGGGCCTGATTTTCCTGGGCTGAGGGGTGGTCTCAGAGAACCGGGGAGCTTGCACTTACCCTCTCCTCCTGAGCACCTCCTTTCCAGGGGAAGATGGATGTAGTGGCATATCTCCACAGGTGAATGCCACTGTGCCCCTGCTGGGACGTTCGGGGCTGCTGGGGGAACTGCGGAACAACCTGTTCACTGATGTGGCTTGTGGCCGAGGAAAAAAGGCTGACAGTACTTTCTGCATCACGTCTTCTGGACTGCTGTGCGAGTTCAGTGACCGCAGGCTTCTGGACAAGTGGGTGGAGCTGAGGGTAAGTGACGCCAGCTCCAGGACAGGGTCCGGTTAAATCTCAAATTAGGGGAGAACTGGCCTTGGGACTCTAGGCATGGGGCTGGGCCTTTGCGCATGCTAGAGGGGACTCCAGGAGACCCAGGGCTGGTCCTGTGATCTATGTGACTGCCTCCTCTTGTTCTTTCTCACCTCTTTCTCCTGCCTTCCTCTTGTGCTCAGAACACAGACAGCTTCACAGTAAGTGCTCCTAGGCCTTCCTCTCTCCCTCAGGCTGTTTTTTTTTTTTTTTTTTTTTTTTTTTTCTCCTGTCTGGGATTTCCCTACCTTAGCATCTTAGTCCCTCTGATGCCTAGAAGGATTCCAGTTTTAACCCACCAAGGGTTGTAGGCCTTCTGGCTACATGATGCTGGAGGGAGGGCATCTCTGGATGACAACTGAGGGGTTGCCCCTGCCTTGGCCTGTATCTCCTTTTACAAGTGATTGCTGCAGAGGGCTTGGCAAAGATCAAACAAGACTAAATAGAAGGTGGTCCTTACTGACCCAAGCTACTCTGCCCACAGACCACTGTGGCCCACTGCATCTCTGTGAGTCAAGAATACATCTTCTGTGGTTGTGCCGATGGCACCGTGCGCCTATTCAATCCCTCCAACCTGCATTTCCTCAGTACCCTACCCAGACCTCATGCCCTGGGAACAGACATTGCCAGCATCACTGAGGCCAGGTGAGCTATGTGGGACCCACTGTTCCATTCAGAGTTTTAGCCAGTACTTCAGGGAACAGAATGAATAGTATATCAGTACTTAACCAGGGATACCTATGTAGACAGAGAAATATGTGTTTCTTGGTATTTGTCAGAACCAAGGAGTCTGAATAGCATAGAGGACCATGAAATGTCTGAGTGAGTATTGGGAAGAGCTGTGTGATAAAGTCTGGGCTCATCTTAGAGGTCTTAAGAATGACTCAAGGGCTGGGCAGTGGCACCACATGCCTTTAATTCTAGCACTCTGGAGACAGAGGAAGGTGGATCTCTATGTGAGTTCCAGTCCAGTCTAGCCTACAGAGTGAGTTCCAGGACAGACTCCAAAGCTACCCAGAGAAACTCTGTCTCAAAAAACAAACAAACAAAAAAAGAATGACTCAAGGGATTGAAGTTTTCTGGTTGGATGTTGAAAGGAAATGGGATCAATTTTATAATTGGACACCTTGGTAATCTTTAAGCACTGGAGGGGAAGATGTACTATGGTAAAGACACAGTCGCCAATCATGCTAAAAGGGAAAGGGTGATGTTTGGTCATTTTTATGGTTAGGCAGGTGCTCTCAGTAGATGATGATGGTGACGGTGATGATTTGAGATGCTGGTGTTAGTACCCAGGGTCTTGCTTATTAGACAAGTTCTCTAGCACTGAGCTGTATCCTCAGCTTGTTGACTTGTGTGATGGTCTTGTTTTGATCTCTGTGCCCAAGTACTTATAGAACCATTTAGATTTGTGCCTCATTGTGTCCACAGAATTGCCTTCATCTGATACTGGTGGTCTATGAACTTATTAGTGTTCCTCTGGAAAACACCATGCTCAGCAGCTAGTGTTGGGTCAGCTCCTGGGTAGTATCTCTTGGGACTGATTTTGTCTTCTCAGATCTACTTCCAAATCTGTATGTCTGGAGACAGTGTCCTGTGCTCCATCCCTTCCTTTGTTGAAACTTTCTGTCCTCTCTCCCACAGTCGCCTCTTCTCTGGAGGGGCCAATGCCAGGTACCCAGACACCATTGCCTTGACCTTTGATCCAACTAATCAGTGGCTGTCTTGTGTATACAACGACCACAGCATCTATGTTTGGGATGTGAGGGACCCCAAGAAAGTGGGCAAGGTGTACTCAGCTCTCTATCATTCCTCCTGTGTCTGGAGCGTGGAGGTATGTGGGATGGGTTTGCTGGATTACCACTGGAAAATAGAAAATAGAGAGCACCAAAGACAGACAGCCTTAGGTTTCTGCCTCCCTGTTTCCAATAGCTTCCCTGTCATGGACACTGGGGCTTGAGTTTGAATGTTAGTGCCTGTACAGCTTTCTCTTATGTGCCTCTGCCTAGCCTGAGGTTTGCCTCATCCTGGGCTCGGGGAACTTGGGTTACTAAACTTGACCAAGCCTCAGAATCCTTAGCTGTAAAATGATGTACCCAATTCATGAAATTGTTGTAACAATGAAATGAAATGATGTAATTGAAACATTATGGCATAAAGGGTGCTGGGTTCATGGGCTTTTTCTCACTATGTTGTGTATATAATACTACTGTCTTATTTTCTTACCACATGTCAGGCATCTGGCGAAGTCTTAGTGATCTGTCTTGGATTTCATTCCCATTTCCATCACTTTAAATAGGCAAAACTGTCCCCAAAATGAAGCCTAACTCTTCCCCTCTGTCCATTCAGGTCTACCCCGAGATAAAGGACAGCAATCAGGCCTGTCTGCCCCCCAGTTCCTTTATTACCTGCTCCTCAGACAATACCATCCGCCTGTGGAACACAGAGAGCTCTGGGGTACACGGCTCTACCCTGCATAGAAACATCCTCAGCAATGTGAGTCAGAGGCGTGGGTCCACACTTCATGTCTAGTGCCCCCATGCCTACAGATTGTGACCTTATTTTCAGGAACTGCCCCCCTCAGTCTTGATCACTCAGCTTTTATTTGGCTGGACTCTATGAGCCAAGGGCTGATTTCATCCCCAGCATTCCTCTGTGCCTGCAGCTGTCCTGCTGGACTGCCCTAGCCATCGCTTCTCACCTCTCCCACTAGGACCTCATTAAGATCATCTATGTGGATGGGAACACTCAGGCTCTGTTGGACACTGAGCTACCTGGAGGAGACAAAGCTGATGGGTCCCTGATGGACCCCCGAGTAGGCATCCGTTCTGTGTGTATCAGCCCCAATGGACAACACTTAGCTTCAGGAGACCGCATGGGGACCCTTAGGTAATGTCAGTTCTGGGATAATAGGTACTGACTGCCTCCCATGATGGCTGGGGTAGTTGGGTCCTTTAGGAGGGGTTGTCTCCCCCGCAAAAACTTAGGAAGCCCATGATATGTGGTTCTAAGAAGGACGTAGTATTATTTCCATAGTGTTCTTGCAGAAAAATGCATGTAACTTAGCTCACTCATGAAAGACTTAAATGAGGTGCATACAGCAGAGTAACTTGTCAGTGTTCTTCAAAAGTGTCAAGATCATGAAGGGTAAGGAGGGATGGAAAAATTGTCACAGACTGAGAGTGGTAATTAATTGCTATTTGGACTCTGTCAGATCCTGGATCAAGTAAGGACATATGAAAAACTGGTGACATGTGAATAGGATATTTAGTTCATAGTAAATGCCCTGGCTCTGATAATGTGCTGTTGTTATGCATGTTAATTAAGAAGAACTGGGCAAGGTAAATATAGAGCGCCTGTACTATCTGAAAATTTTCTTTAAGCTTAAAAGTGTTTTTTAAAGGTGGGAGAGGGTGTAACAGAAGGAGGTCCCTCCTCATGCAGCCCTGCATGACTTCACATCTTTGTAGGGTACATGAACTGCAGTCCCTGAGTGAAATGTTGAAGGTAGAAGCCCATGACTCTGAGATCCTATGCCTGGAGTACTCTAAACCAGACACAGGTAAGGTCTAGCTCTGGCACAGGGCTCCTCCTGCCCTGCCAATACCACTTATACCTACCTGTCTTGGCTTCTGACAGTCTTGAATCCTGTAATCTTTGGATAATTTGGTCTTAGCAGGAGTTTAAGAAGAGGGTGTGTCTTAGTTAGTTTCGCTATTGCTGTGAAGATACAGCATAACCACAGCAACTCTTACAAAGGGAAGCATTATCCTCATGGTGGGACATGGTGGCATGCAGGCAGACATGGTGCAGGAGATCTTGGCTGCAACAGGAAGTGGTCTGAGTGTCATGCTGAGTGAAGCTGAGCAAAGGAGACCTCAAAGCCCACCCCCACAGAGACACACTTCCTCCAACAAGGGCACACCTACTCCAACAAAGCCACACCTCCTAATCGTGCTACTCCCTTTGGAGGCTGTTGTCTTTCAAACTACCACAGGGTGACTCTGTCCCAATTCCATGCCTCATGTAGCTTTAAGGATATGAGACTCCATCCCCTTGGGGCTCTTTACTGGGTATAGTTGAGAAGCCTTCTCATGTGAGTTGCTGGTGTTCTTCCAACTCCAGGCTTGAAGCTGCTGGCATCAGCAAGCCGGGACCGTCTGATCCATGTGCTGGATGCTGGGCGGGAGTATAGTCTACAACAAACACTGGACGAGCATTCATCCTCCATTACTGCTGTCAAATTCGCAGGTGGGGACTGGGAAATTGAGACTATACATCCTCCACCTACCACCTTGCTGTACTTCTATGGTCTTCTGGTAGGAGTGACGTATTGGGAAGTACCTGGGAGTCATAAGGCTGGGTGGAGAAGACAGGCAGAAATCAGACTTCCAGTAGGGACTCTTGAGTCAGATAGGTTGGGCTGGACATAGGTTTGGTGGAATGCCTTCCACTGTAATTGGTTGGTTGCGTAGATTGATTGGGGAAAATAAGGGAAGGCAGGAGAAAGGTGCCTTCATATGGTGAAAGCAGCCAGGTCCCTGTCCCCCATAGCCAGTGATGGGCAAGTGCGCATGATCAGCTGTGGAGCAGACAAGAGCATTTACTTCCGAACTGCACAGAAGGTAAGGCCATGGGCTGTCCCTGACAGGGCAGGGTGGGAGCAGGGTCTCAGGCTACAAGAGGTGAAGGGAGACGAAGCAAGCTCTGACCTGGTGATGCTTTGGGGTGTGGTCCACCTATGTGCTCCCTGCTGCAGTCTGGAGAAGGAGTACAGTTTACACGAACACACCACGTGGTACGGAAGACAACCCTCTATGACATGGATGTAGAGCCCAGCTGGAAGTACACGGCCATCGGCTGCCAGGACCGAAATATTCGGTGGGTATTCCTTCTCGGGCGTTTTATAGAATTCATTTTTAATTACTTTATTTTGTGTGGGGTGGCAGGGAAGGGATGTGCATGTTCCATGGTAAGCATGTGGATGTCAGAGGTCTATTTTCAGGGCTGGTTCTTTCTTACTGTGACGTGGGTCCTGGAGATCAAACTTAAGTCATCAGACCTGCAAGCAAATGGCCTTACCCTCTGGGTCATTTTGCTGACTTCCACTTCTCAGATTTTGGACCACATTCTTTCCTGCAGTTCAGTCCTCCCCCCAACCCCCCATCTGCCTTTTTGTCCAGGGTTTTGAACCTCTTGGAGGTGGCAAAGTACTTTGCTTTTCCTGAGAGAGTAGACCTTGGGTGGTGAGAGGGATCTCCCAGAGCAGATGGGGAGTGAACGCTGGTGTCTGAGGCACGTGTGCTTTGATCCTCACACCTACTGTGACCAAGTGCCTTCCTTTACAGGATCTTCAACATCAGTAGTGGGAAGCAGAAAAAGCTGTTTAAAGGGTCACAGGGCGAGGATGGCACTCTCATTAAGGTAAGGGTCCAGTGGCACAACACCAGATGGCTCAGAGATGGAGTGGCACTAAATGAAGAGGGTGTGGCACTTTCCGGCTCTTTCCACTATGTCTTCACAGGTGCAGACAGACCCCTCAGGGATCTACATTGCCACCAGCTGTTCTGATAAGAACCTCTCCATTTTTGACTTCTCCTCGGGCGAGTGTGTTGCCACTATGTTTGGTCACTCAGGTAAGCAGCACCCACCTCCTCATTCAGAATTCTACTTGGTTCTCTTGTCTATTGCCACTCTGTGACTCTGCCCTTCGACCCTGGGAGGGATCAGTTGACTGAAGCAGGGGGAGGAAGCCCTGCTAGCAGATGGGGACAGTGTGGTTGGTACGTTTCCTTCCCCACATCCAGACTGTCAGAGCACAAAGCCCCTAAGCATGGATAGAACCCCACCCTCCCCTCCAGCCAATGCCCACCCTCACTGCAAGAACAGGCAGGAATTGGTTAGGCTTTCATGGCAGTTCATAGACCACATCCTTTACTCTTTACAGAGATTGTCACTGGCATGAAATTTAGTAACGACTGCAAGCATCTCATCTCTGTGTCAGGGGACAGGTGAGCAGAAGTCAACTTCCCTGAGAGGCAGATTCCTCTCTGTCCCTCCTCTCATGATGTCTCTGGGAAGTGGATCTACATAGGGATATTTCTTGGTGGGGCCTGACCCGGCAGTGGAGGGGGGTGGCTTGGATCTCCTTGCCAATTCATGGGAAGACGGGATACATGGCGTTACTACCTCAGAGTCCTCACCCAGGGCTGTGGCTCCACTCTAGCTGCATATTTGTCTGGCGCCTGAGCTCTGAGATGACCATCAGCATGAGGCAGCGCCTGGCAGAGTTGCGCCAGCGTCAGCGAGGAGGCAAGCAGCAGGGACCAACCTCCCCCCAAAGGGCCTCTGGACCCAAGCAGTAAGTGAGCCAGAGGCTGGCTGTGCTAATTGCTGTCCACATAGTTTGGTGATCTCCCTGCTCCTCCTCACTTAGAACTTGGCATTCAGCAACTCCTGCGTCTCCCTAGACCTCCCTTCTCATGCACAAGCCCATCATGTTGGCCTCTTCCTAGTGGACCTCCTCTCCCTGTGTTCTGTCTTGGACTCAGGCACCAGGCTCCAGTGGTGACCCCTCCTGGGCCAGCTCTTTCATCAGACAGTGACAAGGAGGGAGAAGATGAGGGCACTGAGGAGGAGGAGCTGCCAGCTCTGCCCATTCTGGGCAAGAGCACCAAGAAAGAGCCAGGTTGGTGGCAGTCGGGTGTGAGGCACAGTTACTAGCTGTTGCCATGGCTATATAAGCCGCATCTGGACCATGGGCTGGAGAAACTGGGCCATCACAGTGATCACACAGGGGAAGAAGATAGAGATGTGGGCCCCTGGTCCCAGAGGTGGGTAGTGGAAACACTTCTGACTGCCTGTTTCTGTCTAGCCTCAGTCTCTAGTCCAGCCTTGCTCCGAAGCCTGTCCCACTGGGAAATGAGTCGGGTAAGTGGTCGTCACTGAAACTTGCTTCCAAGGTTACTGGAAGTGAGGGGGTAGCAGCACAGTCCTTTGTGTCTCATGAGGCACTTGGGTGTCTGCCTACATGCTTCAGTCCTGTTTCCAGGGAAGGCCTTATTGAGGTCAGGCAGCTGGTCTGCCCTGGGATAAGGGATGAGCGAACAGCACCTTCCCTTCTTGTATCAGATGACTAGCTACATGAAAGGAGGTGTCTGCCTCATCTGCCAGGAGCCTGGGAGAAATCACATCCAAGAGTAGTTTGGTTTTGTTTTGTGACAGGGTCTCACTATGTAGCCCTGGCTAGCCTGGAACTCACAGAGATCCACAGGGCCTTTGCCTCTGAGTGCTAGGATTGAAGGCCTGCACCACCATGCACTGCCTAAACAAAACAGCAATAACAAAGAAGCAGCATGTGGTGAGGAGTAAAAAAGTGGTGGAGTCACATGGTTAGAAGGAAAGTCTAGGAAAACCAAGGGTCCAACAAGTGTAAATGTAGGGAATGAGTTCTGAAGACCCCAGTGAGGAAGTAAGTCCAGAACAGTCAGAGGGAAGGCTACAAGAGTCCCATTACTATGACTGACTCAGAGAGGCAGGGAAGGCTGTAGATATTTTCAGCAAACCCCAAAGCAGCCCAGCCCTCACATGCTCCACGTTTTATTTTGAGTCTAGCACTCTGTTGGTGATGTAGAATCAGTTGCTCTCTGACCATGCCAGCGTCTCGTCCTTTGTTGTTGATTTGTCCTTATTGCTGTGAAAGGACTCTGGGTTCTTTGGGGCATCTTGAGAGAACAGGATTATTTGGAATCCTAGCTCTAGACTATAGAAGACACCAGGTAGAGGTGCAAACAAGAGAGGTTCCTTTTGAGGGTCTAGAATGCAGCTCAGAGCATGTACTATAGGGCCAGCCTAGCCTGCAGGCCACTTACTGTCCTATGAGGACTTGGGCTAGTCATTGGAATCCTCTGAGCTTCTGGTTCCCTCACTGTAAGACCTGGGATAATGATGCTGCCTTCTTTGTAACATTGTTGTAAAGATAAATTGTTTGTTGATTGATAGTGTATTCTAATTGTTACTCCTTTTTCACCTACAACCACCAGGCGCAAGAGAGCATGGAGTTCCTGGGCCCAACTCCTGTAGCCAACACAGGACCCAAAAGAAGAGGGCGCTGGGCTCAGCCAGGTGTGGAGCTGAGTGTTCGCTCCATGCTGGACTTGAGACAGCTAGAGACCTTGGCCCCAAACCATCGAGGTCCCAGCCAGGACTCACTGGCGGTGTCCCCGTCTGTTCCTGGGAAGCATGGTCCACAGGCCTCCGAGCTCTCATGTGCTGGCCAGGTGAGCTAGCTTTTACCAGCCAGAGCCCAGCCTGGCTTCCTGCCACCTCTTCCCAGAGCTGGAGTACTCTGCTTCCTCAGAATTGGTGGTTACCAAATCTTTGCCAACTTCTACCTCCTCTCAACACTTCTTCTCATATCAGCAATCCTCGTAAGAGCCCCTTTCGTTGTGTGTTTCCAGAATGAAAAGGCTCCTCGGCTTCAGGCTTCCCAACCCTGTTCCTGCCCTCACATTATCCGATTGTTGTCGCAAGAGGAAGGAGTCTTTGCCCAAGATCTGGAGCCTGCACCCACTGAAGATGGTATTGTCTACCCGGAACCCAGTGACAGCCCTACCATGGATACCAGGCAAGGGCTGTGCCATGGCCAGAGCTCATGGGGCCATGTGGCCCTCAGTCTTCCTTCCCCTCTGAGTTTTTTCAGTTAGGCAATGGTTGGCCTACAGGCCACTCAAGGTTTGCCTGCCCCTTCATTCCTTCAGTACGACTGACCTCTGCTCACTGTTTATTCTTTCCTTTCCTGGCCTTCCTGGCAGTGCGTTCCAGGTGCAGGCTCCAACCCGAGGATCCCTAGGAAGAATCTACCCAGGCAACAGGGGCTCAGAAAAGCACAGCCCTGACAGTGCGTGCTCTGTGGACTACAGCAGCAGCCGGCTCTCCAGCCCCGAACACCCCAATGAAGGTAAGGCTACAACGTGAGGAAGGGACAATTGGCTGAAGCAGGGAGGCAGACCTGTGACAGACGGGTACAGTGTGATGCCTCTCCCCTCCCCCACATCCAGACTCTGAGAGCACAGAGCCCCTAAGTGTGGATGGCATCTCCTCAGACCCTGAAGAGCCAGCCGAGGGTGATGAAGAAGAGGAAGAGGAGGGAGGCCCGGGCCTCTGTGGGCTGCAAGAAGGCAGCCCGCACACCCCAGATCAGGAGCAGTTTCTGAAACAGCACTTTGAGACGCTGGCCAATGGGGCCGCTCCAGGTGTGGTCAGTGGGCCAGCCTTCAGTGGAGTCTGCCCCCATCGCTTCCATGCCTGGCTGAGAGGGAGGGTCTGGCAGGCAGCGCAGCGTCTTAGGTTTCTTTGTTAAGAGAGGCAAGAACTTAACTCCTGACTCAGTTCATGATTTCTGCGCCACTTGCAGGGGGTCCAGCAAGGGTCCTAGAGAGGACAGAGTCTCGGAGCATCTCATCCCGATTCCTGCTGCAAGTGCAGACTTCGCCACTCAGGTACACCCCACATGGCTCTGCTGACCTGCTGCTCCTGCACCTGACACAGCATGGAACCTTCTTCCCTCCTCTCCCTAAGGGTCCTTTGTACTCCTAGCTTTGGAACAAGTGGCCTCCCCGGAACCCTATCTTGCTCTGTGCTTGTCCTCTCCTGGTGCCTCTGTCTGTGGGAGCATCTGGACATCTTACCGGGAGGAAAACACTGAGCCTTCTCAGGACCTTTTTCCAAACCCTTTCTTGCTGTAGGGAACCATCTTTGTCCTCCTCAAGCTTGGGCCCGGTGTCAAGACCTGACCAGGTGTCACAGACATCTGGTGACCAGCTGAAAGGCAGTGGTGCCCCTCCCCCAGGAGCACCCCCAGAAATGGAACCCTCTTCTGCCAACTCCGGCCCCCAGCAGGTGGCTCCTGTGCTGTTGCCACGACGGCGGAACAACCTGGATAATAGCTGGGGCCCCCCAAAAATGGCTACAACCCGCCCCTTAACTCGACTCCAGAAAGCACAGTCTGTGCACAGCCTGGTACCACAGGGTGAGGAACCTGGTGTGCTTAGCTCCAGAGTATGGGGAATGTGGGGCAGTGTATGTGGGCATGCTGGAGGAAGGTGGTTCTGGTGCAGCCCTGGCGTGTCCCCGTGCTTGCCGCAGCATGTCCCTTAATGGTCATGTTTGTGGGAAAGTAGCAACTAGGGATTGAGCCCTAGCATTTGGCATGGCTTCCTCAGGTTGGCATACCAACCTGACCTGCAGCTGTCCCTGTCTCTAATGCAGATGAGGTGCCTTCATCACGTCCACTGCTCTCCCGGGAGGTGGAGATCCAGGGCAGCTTAGGATCCCTGCCACAAGCTGATAGCTACCCATCTCAGACCCACTCCTGCCAGATCTCCACCTCCAGTTCTACGGCCAAGCTAGCTCGTAGCATTTCTGTTGGGGAGAACCCAGGCCTGGCAGCTGAACCTCAAGCTCCTGCACCAGTCCGAGTCTCACCACTCAACAAGCTAGCTCTGCCTAGCCGGGCTCACCTTGTCCTGGACATCCCCAAACCACTGCCTGACCGTCCTACTTTGACCACATTCTCACCTGTAACCAAGGACCAAGTCCATAATGAAGCAGAACAATCTGGCTCCCTGGTGAACCTAGGAAAGGCTCACACTCCATTTGAAAGACGGGCCTGTTCAGGGGAGGGTGCCACTCCTAAACCTAGGACAGAGGGCCAGGCTCACCCTGGCCCCAACCACCCCCGTGCCCAGCAATTGCCGGTCAGCGGTCTCCTCCAAGGCCCCCAGAGCTTTCAGCCCCCATGCCCTGAGAAGTCTGCGAATCCCATGGAATGCACCAGACCAGGGGCAACCCTGAGCCAGGACTCAGGTGTGCACAGCTCCCCAGTCTCGTGTCTCACCCCACCCTCTTTCTGGTCTCTTTTCTGGCTCCATCTCATGTCTGTGCATCCAGCCTTTGGCATTTTTCGTCCTGTCTGCTCCTGTCTTGGTCCATAAATCATGCAGCCCTGATGGCGAGTCACTCCTGCCACCCTTCACAATCTTCCTCTAATCTTTCTTTGTGTGGTGTCAGGAAAGGTGTTGGAAGGGAATGGTGCAAGGGGCAGGGACTGTGGTCTGGTGGGGCTTAGAGCACTGCTCTAAAAGCCCTGGGTTGGGATGCCTGGAAGAGCAGCTGGACCTCACTGGTTTTTGTCCTTCAGAGCTGGCCTTGAGTCTGCAACAATGTGAACAGCTTGTGGCGGAGCTCCAGGGGAATGTGCGCCAGGCAGTGCAGCTCTACCAGCTGGTGAGTGCTGGGCAGCACTGGCAGGAAGACAGCCTGTAGGCAGGGCTACACTTGAGCCTCTAGAACAGTCATAGTAAGGGTTCTTCTACAGGCTGGGTGGAGCACTCAAAAATACTGAGAATAATAGATGAGAGGGTCAGAAGGCAGGCCAACTCTCAACCCCAGGATCTATCGGTCACTTCTGGCTAAAAACTGGTGCACCCAAGGTAGGGTTGTAGCTTAGAACATCATCTTTGTTCAAGGAAAATCCCAATTCATGCCTGTTGTCTCAGTGTAACTATTAATAGTATGCTTTTTCATATCCCCAGATGGTTTGGGCTCTTTATAGTAGGAAACAATTTAAGAGTGCCCACGTTTGAAAGAGAGTGCAGCCCGTGTGAGTTGTTGGGAAAGTGGTGAAAAAGTAGATGGTTTTACTAGTGTGCCTGGGCCACCCATCGGAGTGCCTGGCCGTACTTCCTTACTGGTGGTAGGTGTCCCTTGTGGAGAGGCGAGGCCCAGGTGGATCCCCTTTTCTACACTCATTCTCTACTGACCCACACCTCACTTGTTGCAGGTGACCAGCTGTAAGACACCTTCGGCAGAGCACAGCCACATCATCCGTCTCCTGAGAGACACCTTCTCTTCAGTGCGGCAGGAACTAGAGGCCCTGACCGGGGCAGGGCTGTCCAGCCCAGGCGGCAGCCCTGGGGCTGTGGGGGCTGAGCAAACCCAAGCCCTGTTGGAGCAGTACTCAGAGCTATTGCTTCGAGCTGTGGAGCGGCGTATGGAGCGCAGACTCTGAATTCCAGAGCCTGTCCAAGAGAAATGCTCCCCATTGAAACTGTAGCCCTTCTTCCACTCATCAGAACCTGTGAGAATGTCTGGAGTGGATAGCAGGGGTCGGTGCGCAGAGGCAAAGCAGCCTTCCCAGCTGCTGCTCAGGGGCCCCTGTATTTATTAATTTATTTCCATGACTGTTGCCTCACTTCCTTGGGACTCCTGCCTCGAAAGCCCCTCCAGTGGCTCATAGCAGGGCAGGTCTTGAGTCTATGTCATCTTGGTGCTGTGAGGGGTAGGAGGGCAGCCTGCCTCATCTGGGGACACTGGGAAGGGCTGGCCTTCTCTTCTTAGAAGCCATTTGAAGTTACTTCAGGGATCAGCTCCCTGGGGTGGAGCATACACAGGGTACGCTGGGGGAGAGGTGAAAGGTGATGTGGTACTTAGTGCCCTAAAGCCAACTGTAGACCCTTACCTCTACTCCCACACCAGCTGCACTCTCCTGGCTGCCAAAGCAGGGGCGGTTTCCCCCAATTCCTGGCAGTTGAGAAAGGTAGAGCTGCCTGGCCCTCCAGGGGATTCCTAGCCCTTAGAAGACTTGAGTTGGTATCAGGACCTGAGCCCCCACATTCCGCTCCCATTCTCCCTGCAAGAGAGCCCTAGCATTTTCTACCCCATCCCTTTTTCCCTTGTGGAGCCAGCTGTGGGATTTTGCTGCTGGACAGTAAAGCCCCCAGCTGGGCAAACACAAAGCCTGCCTACTTTCTTAAGCCCTTTGAGCTTCTTTATTCTCTAACCCTGGTCCCTAGAGGATTACTGAAGCCCCAGGGACCACCTCCCCCTATATCCCCCGGGCAACAAACAAAAGCGCGATCAGAAACCTGTATTGGGAGTTCCCTCATGGTTTACAGGGCACTAGCCCACCTTCCTAGGCCTTTGGCCACACACACACAAATGTATACACAGTTGAGTGTTCAGTGTTAGAATGCTTGCCTGGCTAGTAGGTACCTGGTTCTGTCACATTTGGCCTCAGTTTCACTAGCCTGGCTTAGTTAGAACTCTTATCCAGAAACATGAAAAGGAACACACTAAAATTCTGGAATCTTGGTGTTCAAAGCCAGGCTGACAGGAGATGGCTATGGGACACCTGGCTCACAGAGGAGACTCTTTTTCAAAAGCAGTACTGGGTGCTCGGCGATACTGGATAGTAGAGATTGTGGGATGGAGGCCCTGGGCAAGAGACATGCGGGAAAAGTGGTAGGTGGACAGGTAGGTGGCAGGGGGGGGGGGGACAGAATTGAGGGAGTTGTTGGAGGGTAAAGAGAAGCCATAGCCAGGCTGTAGGTAGGACAAGGAGTGAGGTGATTGCAGAGTTGGAGTGAGCATGTCTCCGGGCCCTCCTTCCCTCTGCGTTAGGTAAGGCAGAGGGACATTTCACAGGGTTTAGACAACAAAAACCTGCTGAAGCGCCTTCCAAGCTCTGGAGGCAAAGACTAGAAACAAAACAGTTTTAATGGGTGCTTAGCTTTGGTGGTTCAGCCTGAGTACACCCAAACCACGGATTCCCTTTTTTTTTTTTTTTTTTTTTTTTTAACTACTAGCCTGACCAAACTCCTTACCCCAAAGAACAGTAGCGGCTGGGAGAGGACCCTCTGTCAGCCAGAGGATTACATATCCATTTACTGCAGTAGGGCTGCCCTGACTTAGCCAGCCTGGCCTTCTTGAGGGAGCCGGTCTTTCCCTGCGCTCTTCCCTACATGGATGAGGTCTTTTGGCCAGTGGTGCTTAGTTCCCTTTGCATGTCTGAGGCCACTGGCAACTGCTGCCCACGTCCAGATTTACCCCATCCCGGTTTTAAAAAGCCCCTTATTTATAACTTTTATACTGTGGCGCCTGTCTCCTCCCCAGCTGTACGGGTTGGGGCTGTTTTAACGTCTCGTTTGTACCGATGGATGAAATTGTCAATAAACACAAGCATTTGTTAACTGGCTAGCAAACTCCGAAGAAGGCGGGGCGAGGGCGGAAATGGGGCGTGGCTGGGAGCCTAGAGCGGAAATGGGGGCGGGTTCTCTTTCCGCGGGCGTCATGGCGGAGGCGGCGCTGGATAAGGTGCGGGAGGCGTTGCAAGAGTTCCCCGCTGCGGCTCGCGGTGAGTGGCGTCCGGGCAAAGACGACAGTGTGGAGAGAGCCTGGGTACGGAGCTCAGGTCGTGTGTTCATGAGTGGCCGACTGGCGGCCTCGCATTTTCGTATGTCACCCTTTCCTAGCTAGCGGACGAGCGCACAGCTCATGCTCGCAGGTCCTGGTGCCTTCGTAGGGTGCAGCTGTGGTTTTGTTCAAGGCCCCGCGCAGCTCTGGCGGGAGTCTTAGTGCCATTCTCAAAGCCAGCGGATGCTGAGTCCCCGTGCTCTGCTCTGCACTGCTGCGCTTCCGAAGACCCTTGACTATCCTTGTTCCTTCAAAGCGGACTCCAAGCTTTGAGGATCCTAGAGACCCACCCAAGCAATTTCCACTGCTAGGTGTTAGGTTTCTTCTTTGCTTCTCATTACCTCGTTCCTTCTTTTTCCCTTCTTGCTAAGTCATTTCTTACTGAACAGCAGTGCAGACACCTCTGTATGCAATGCAAATAAAGGAAGCTTCTCTCCCTATTTTATTGTTCCTGCCAAACATACTTTGCCATACTGTGCCCTTAGAGGACGTTCCAGGTGCCTCAACTTTTCACACCTGTGAACCTGGCACCCATTATTGATAGGCATAGAGATATTTTAACCTCGTTTTAAATAATTCTGCTGCAAATACTTGACTGTTCATTTAACAAAATTTAAGGACTTCTATGTGCCAGAATGTGTGTGTTCAGTGTGGTTAACTTTGGCAACAAATCCCTTTATCTGCTGAGCCATCTCACCAGCCCGAGGGTATTTAGGGTATATCAATAAAGAAACAGGCTGGAGAGATGGCTGAGTGGGTAAAGTATCTAAGCACTTGATGAGCTGAGTTCAGATCCCCGGCACCTGATAGTGATGATGGGGGCCAGAGACTGGAGGACCCCAGGGGCCGGCTGGCCAGCCAGCCTAGCAACTGCTGAGCTCCGGGTAGACACCTCATGTCAAGATACTGCTGCAACAGCCGCCGCCGCCGCCGCCGCCGCCGCCACCACCACCACCACCACCACACACACACACACACACACACACACACACACAGAGAGAGAGAGAGAGAGAGAATTCTGTTTCCCTGTCTTCATACAACTTTTCAGGAAGCAGTGTCACACAAGTGGTTCAGAGGATGGTTGTACGGTCATTGGAGCCCACTATGGGTGTGTATATAGGAAATGGGACTGTGAGCCTAGAGCAGGCTCCCTGTTTGTGTTTATTTTTGTCCGTTAAATTCTTAACAGCATTGCTGGGTCACAGGAAGTTTTTGGAGTTCAGTTTGAAGCTCTAGGGGAGAAAAGTAGCCATTCATTAAAGGGAATGGTGAGCCTTTAGTCCCAGTACTCTGGAGGCAGAGGCAGGCCTGGTCTACAAGAGTTAGTTTCAGGACAGGCTCCAAAACTACTACACAGAGAAACCCTGTCTCAAAAATGGGGGGGGGGGCGGCGGGGAAGAAAAGGGCAGTTTCACATTAGGTGGTAATGATGCACACGTGCCTTTAATTCTATCACTCAGGAGGCAGCAGCAGGTGAATCTCTGAGTTTGAGGCCAGCCTGGTCTACAGAGTGAGTTCCAGGACAGTCAAGACTACACATAGAAACCCTGTTTAGAGGTGGGGGGCAATTTCTACACATTTTTAAACTCCAGGATAGAGTAACACAACAGTAGTGTGTTGGAGGCCCTGGGTTCAATCCTCAGCATTGCAAAAACAAATCCCAAAGAGCAACTTAGTTGTGTTGAGCCACAGTTCCTTTCTAAGATTACTGCTTGTGGGGTTACTGTTCCTCCCTCCCAGGTGATTCTTATCTGACCCCTATTGGGGCAGCGAGTATGTGACTAGCTCTTTTCTTTGCAGTTTTTCTGGGCCCACCAGTGTCTTCCCATGTGGTTCCAATGTCCAATTTAAAGATACGTTCTGACCCATTGCAAGGGAGGGCAGTCAGAGGGAGCTGTAATGATGAGTGAGCATGGCCTGGGGGGGGGTGCGGGGGGAATGAATGCCACTGACTTCTAGCAAGGGTTGCAGTAACTTCTGATCGGCACCAGATCATTTGGTCAGGCATTAAGTAACGAAGCTCATCCAGAGCAGAGGGCACGTGGTCAGGGGCAGGCATGAGAAAAAGCAGGCTGGGCTCAGGGGTGAAGCAGCCTGAACACATGCCAAGGTGGATTGAATCCTGCCAGGGGTAGCAGTGAGCCAGCCATCAAAGGTGTACTGCAAGGTGAGGTTGCATTTCAGATAGATGATTGGTGTTCTCGGAAGGGAGTAGGATTCTACCAGAAAGACCAGTTTGTGTGTCCAGCCAGAGTGTGGGGCGCTTCCCTTTGACTTTATATTTGCTGAGCACCTACTGTGTGCTAAGGCACTAGCGTGTACCAGGAAACGTGACCATCACTCCAGCCATTGTGGTGGTGGTTCTGTTCTGCAAAAAGAGACAATAAATAAATGGGTGAGAAAACTCTACAGGGTCAGGTAATGGGATAAATCTATGGAGAAAAATAGGCAAAGAGATAAGGACGGTTTCTAACAAGACAGTTTAAGAGGGGTGGTCAGGGAAGGTTGGACCCAAAGCAGCAGAGGGAAGGAAAGGGTGGTTTGAGAGGAAAAAAAGTCAATAGGACTTAGAGATAGCCAAGCAAGAACAGGATTGCAGTAGGATAAATCAAGAGATTTCAGAGCCAGGTGTGGTGTCACATATTCGGGATAGTCTTGAACTTGTTTTGTAGCCAAGGGTGACTTTGAACTGATATTCCTGCTGCCACCTCCCAGGTGCTGAGTTTAACCCATGTGAGCCACCAAACCCAGTTTAAAGGTGGCACAGAGCCACTTAAATGTCTCTGTAGGTGGCATAGTGCTCAAATGTTGGCCCAAGATGGTTAAGGGTGCTGCTGCTGTCCCATGAGACCCAGTTCAGCCCATCTGTCTTCTGTTGTCATTGGGCAGTTATCTCCTCAGATAGATAGGCCTTGAACTGCTTGAGATGATAGTATCACCCTCCGATAGCCATACTGGCCATGCCCAGTTTTGGGCCCGTTTCAGATACTCAGTGAATATCTCCATTGGAGGGGAAATCCCAGAGCCAGGCCTCATCCCAGTTAGCCTGTGGCCGCCAGCTCAGTGACTCCCTTCACTAATGGATGCTGCTGAGTGATTCCTTCTTCAAGGCAAAGAAGTGAGGGGTCATCTCTGCAGGCTTCCTCGATCAGCGCAGCTTTGCCTAGGATGTCCATGATAGAGGATCTCTTGTGCAGACACTATGACAGAAGTTGGGTACCACTGATTTCAGACCTTCCCTTTCCCGTTTTTTTCTCCAGATCTCAGTGTACCTCGTGCTGTGCCCTACCTGGACGAGCCCCCAAGTCCACTCTGCTTCTACCGGGATTGGGTGTGTCCCAATAGGCCCTGTATTATCCGCAATGCCCTGCAACACTGGCCAGCTCTACACAAGTGGTCCCTCTCCTACTTAAGGTAAGGTTTTCTTTGTGGGGTGGGATAACCCAGTGACCATTAGAGGCTGGCTTCAAACCAAGTGTCCATGCCTGCAGAGCCATAGTGGGCTCCACAGAGGTGAGTGTAGCTGTGACCCCAGATGGTTACGCGGATGCTGTGCGAGGGGACCGGTTTGTGATGCCTGCTGAACGCCGCCTGCCCATGAGCCATGTGCTGGATGTGTTGGAAGGTCAGGCCGAGCACCCAGGAGTCCTCTATGTGCAGAAACAGTGCTCCAATCTGCCCACTGAGCTGCCTCAGCTTCTGTCTGACATCGAGTCCCATGTGCCCTGGGCCTCTGAGTCACTGGGTGAGTGGAAGGGGGAAGAGCGGGGCGGGAGGGGGGGTTCAGCTTGCTTGCTTACCCTCTGCCTTTGATGATGATGGTTCCATGGGGTCAGGTGCCACCTACCTGCCCACCCCAGGCTTGGACATAAAAGCAGAAATCCTGAAAGGGCTGCTGTCCCTTCTGCCCCAGGGGTCACATTCCCAGTGTCACCTCCTATACTCCTTGACATTCCTTTGCTCCCACTCAGATTTCTGAATAGCTGCCCTGTGGTCCTCAGCCTGATACTAGCTCACTTTGTCCCACAGGAAAGATGCCTGATGCTGTGAACTTCTGGCTGGGGGAGGCAGCTGCGGTGACATCCTGTAGGTGTGGGGACTCCTGAAGTGGGGAGGGAGCTGGTAGGGCAGAGGGAAGAAAGGTGGGCCACCACGAAGGGTCTCTCCTGATAGCCGGGCATTGGGGGCATGGGGGGTACACCATACCCACTAGGTCTCAAGAAGCCTCTTCAAAAGTCAGATAGCTAGGAAAGCAGGGCTTGAAGATAGAGCCTGTTGGTTCTGCCTCCCCTCCTGATGGAGGGGAGCCCACATCCAGAATCTGGTGGCCAAGTTCTGTGGTGCTTGCTGGAGTCCAGAGTCTCCCCGGCTCTGCTGACCCTGATGGCTTCCCTCTCTCTGTGGGCTTTGCTGTGTGGGGCTGAGGGCAGGCTGGGCTGCGCCCCCCCCCCCCATCCCCAGGCCTCACATGTGTTGGCAGTGCACAAGGACCACTATGAGAATCTGTACTGTGTGGTCTCTGGCGAGAAACACTTCTTGTTACATCCACCCAGTGACCGGCCCTTCATCCCCTATGGTAGGTGACACGGCCTGAAAGGAGCTGGTAGCCAGTGGTGGAGGGCGGGCAGCAAGAGCCCAGGGCAGGTTGGGTGCCCAGGCCGGAGGTACACCCCAAGGCCCCCACCCTCTGGTCTCTGTATTTGGGGAACACTGGGCTGGTTCTGATGGGGAGAGCCTGACAGGTCATTCATCTCCCTGATCTTGCCTTCAGATGTGTACACACCAGCGACCTACCAGCTGACCGAAGGGGGCACTTTCAGGGTGGTAGACGAGGAAGCCATGGAGAAGGTGTCTGTTCTGTTCTTGGCTCTGGGGAAGGGGTAGGCTCCCAGGGAATGGGCATACAGGGGTCTGGGGAGGTGACATCCACACTGAAAATCCCAAACCTATGGCTCTTCAAGGCCGGGAGGAGAGGGGACAGAGGTAGAGATCTTGGGAGCCTCAGGGCCTGGTCCCAGGTAGCTGCTGTGTCTCTAGGTGCCCTGGATCCCACTGGACCCCCTGGCTCCAGACCTGGTCCGCTACCCCAGTTACAGCCAAGCACGGGCCCTTCACTGTACAGTCCGGGCAGGCGAAATGTTGTTCCTGCCGTCTATGTGGTTCCACCACGTCCAGCAGTCCCACGGCTGTATTGCTGGTGAGGAACACCCAGGGCCCGGCCAGGCGTGGGTGGGGATGGCTCTGACTTCAAAGCAGGGCCTTCACACCTGGTTCCTCTCCTCTCTCCACAGTGAATTTCTGGTATGACATGGAGTATGACCTCAAGTACAGTTACTTCCAGCTGGTGGACTCCCTCACTAGGGCCGCAGGCCTTGACTGATGAGACCCTCACAGACACTGCAAAGGACAGCTGATGTGGGGGGTTGATTCTGGCTGTTGCCTGGGTTCCTGTGTGGGTTGAGATCAGCCTTGAAGAAATTTGGAATATAGTTGGAGGACCAGGAGATGCCAGACAGGTCTGGGTGAGTGTGCCCAGGAAGTTGCCACACAGGTGACAGGAAACATGGATCAGGTACGGCAGAGCCTCTCACCAGTGCTCTGACCTTTGGTGAGTCACTGCGTGTTGGCATCAGCCATGTGCTGTAAAGTGGAGATAATGATGGCTCTGGCTCCCAGGGCTGCTGTGGGGATAGTCATGGACCAACATAGAGGAAGCATTAATAAAAGACGGCGTTGATATATTTGTTCTCATATCCCAATCACACAGTTGCCTCCCAGGGCTGCTGAGGGCTTAAACGTTCAGGTAAAAGTTTCAAGGCGACCCTGATTAAGGTGTGTAAGCCAGATCCAGGCTACCCACAACAAATGTGTTATAACTGGCTGGCTGGGACTTGATTGGCTCAGGGCCACCAATGCTATCTCTAGCTTGGTCCCAGACTGTTTGCTTTTCCTCCTCCAGTTCCAGGGAAGCTGGTGGGTCTGGAGCCCGGAGGGTGACCCCTATTCTACAAGTATAAACAGGAAGGACAGGAACCATGTTCCTTCTGAGCTGTTCTCTGAGGACAGAGTTGATCTCCACACCCAGACTCCTTTCTCACCCAGCTGAAGAGCAAGGAGAGCCCCTATCCCCACAGGCCTCATCTCTGACCACCCAGCTCCACAGGTGGAGGCAGCCTAGACATGGCTTTGAAGGCCTGTTTTATGTGAAAGCCACTCCCCTACAAGGTTGTGATGGGGCCTGAGGTACTCTTCTGAGATTGCCCAGGGCTCCAGTTCAGACTGGGCATTCCTGTCGTACTGGCACTGGGAAGGTTGCAAAAGGACCCAGGACATGATGCTCGGCCCCACTGTTCACTGCTGTTTGGGGGGGCCATGGTATGCTGACCCGCTCAGCTTAGGACAGCAAACTCTCAGAACCCCTCCTGTAAATTAGGGCTGGTTGGGAGAGTGGGGCTTCACGGAGCCTGTAGCTAACTCCAGGAGGTGTCACTGGCTCCAGCATTGGCTTTAGGTGTCTCACTTCCTGGGCAGGTGGCTGGGTCAGCAGTGGGTGTGGGGCTTGAGAGGGGCGGAGGAGTCTGTGGGAGGGATTTGAGAGGAATGTGTGGCCAGTTGGCTCACCGTGGCTCTGGGTTTAAAGCTGGCAGTTGTTGGTCCCGTGGCCACTGCCCCATCATTCCTGTTCCTGTGGACTTGGTCTCATGGCTCTGGTAAGGCTTCATAGAGGACTGGGCTCCCCATCCAGGGCTTGGTGGCTGTTTCTGAGAGGGAGGAGCTGTGGGCTTTTCTCTAAGCAGAGGGAGGATGCTTTCCAGCTTCAGGACCAGACAATGGAAGCCAGGGGCAAGGGCAGAACTGGGATGGGGTCTGTCCTGGGAATGGGTTCTAAGCAGAACTCCCAGGATTTGGATCCTGGAAACTCTTAGGATCTTTCCTATCCACTGTCCTGGGGGCTTAGAAAGAAATAGCTGCTCCATGCCTCTGACTTGGTTACTTGGCATGTGAGCAGCCCAGGGCTGCCTCGGAGATGAACTTCCTCAGCTCTGCCCCTGACCACAGAACTCCCTGAACCTGACCATTGGCACCTTTCCAGAGATAAGAAGACCAAAGGCAGACAGTCTTCCTCTGCCCTGGCACACTGCCAAGTGTCCACATCTCTAGAAGCAAAGGGATTTGGAAGGAGCTCTGAAGACCCCTATCCGATCTGGAGGATGGCAATGTGTGGGTGGGCTGGGAGGGAAAGACGCTATCCTGATCCCGCAGGGTCCATTCCCAGGATGGGGTAGACAGCACAGGTTGCAACTCACTCATGGTGCCTAAGCCCCAATGTACTCCTTTAAGTCCCTTGATGCCTCAGACCAGCCTCAAAGCTTCGTGGGGTGGGGTGGGGTGGGGTGGGGTGGTAATGGGATAAAAAGAAAAGGGTTATACCTAGAAATAGTGTGGGTCATTAACAAGACACCTTGCCTTCAATCCATTCCTAACCATGCCTCAGGAGAGTGGCCTCGGCTTCCTTTCACGATTGGTCATTGTCATAGCACCCTTCATAGGACGTGTGACAATTTCTTAAATATATGCTGAGCCCTTGGTATGGAGCTGGCGCAGTGTGGTGTTTAATTATGAGAAGGTGTCATCATGTAGAGCATGTCTCTTGTCACTCCGGGATTCTGATGGGTTCAGACGGTCCTTTTGGTAGAGAGTTAAACCTTGAGTGATTGTCCCAACCTCCCCTGTGGCCCTGTCGCATTTGGTCCCACTGATAGCAACCCTGCCCCATCTGTCTGCAGGCAAAGGTGGCAGGGACATGCCTGCTCACTGTGCGCGTCCTCCAGGCTAATGGCTTGCCTTCCAAGGACCTAGGTAAGCCCCCCCGGCTCCCCCCCACCTCCCTGGCCCTTCACTGAGCTCAGAGCACAGTCAGCACCAGTGGGAGGGGCTGCAGGAGGCCCTCAGGGGTCTGCTGGAGAGCAGGGTCCCCAAAGAGGCCGAAGACTCAGCCCTATGGACACGGTGTCCCAGGAAGGAGGAAGTAGACTCCGTGCTGGGCAGGGAAGGGCTCGGGATCACTATAAGACACGTGCTGCTCCTTCCTGCAGTGACATCCTCTGACTGCTATGTGACCCTGGGCCTGCCCACGGCCTCCAGCCACACGCTCCAGACGCGCACAGTCAAGAACAGCAGGAACCCTGTCTGGAATCAGACCTTCCACTTCCGGATCCACAGGCAGCTCAAGGTAGCCCAGGCATCAAGTATGGCCCTGCCCTTTTCCCTGTGCCCCCTGCCACATGTGTCTCCTGTTTGCCTCTTCCTGCCGTTATCCTCTCGCCCCACGTCTGCCGCTAAGCCACCTCTCTCTCCGCCTCTTCCAGAATGTTGTGGAACTGAAAGTCTTTGACCAGGACCTGGTGACCCAAGATGACCCTGTGCTGTCAGTACTGTTTGACGTGGGGACTCTGAGAGCAGGGGAGTCTCGGCGCCAGAGCTTCTCACTGAGCACTCAGGTGAAGTTAGCACTCCAGGGCGTGGCCCAAGCATCCCAGGCAGCTTTCCCCAGCTTCCTTCCCCACTTCTGATCAGAAGCACAGCTTCTTGGGACCAGTCCAGGGAGTGGGGACAGAGTGCCCTGGAAAGGGACAGTGGCCCTTCCCCAGTGCTATGGCCTCAGCCCTCTGGGTTGCCAGTCCCTCTAACTAGCTTCTCTTCCAGGAGGATGGGTGCCTGGAAGTTGAATTTCGGCTGCAGACTCTGTGAGTAGGGCGCAGGGGAGCCTGGTGGGTGGCAGTTGGGAGCTTCCTTCTGGGAAGGGCAGTGCCAGCTCACCGAGGCTGGTACCCTCCCTGCTAGAGGAGAAGTGCCTGGGCTCTTGCAGACAGTCACTGGGGCCTCTTTCCAGGACAGACCGTGAGGAACAGCTCATCAGTAATGGCATCCTAGTGGTGAGTGAGGGACCTGAGGTTTCCCCTCATAGCTCTTCTCCGAGCTGTCTGATGTTTCTCCCAGGCTTGAACAGGCTCACCACAGCCTGGGTCGTATCGGCCAAGTTGGGGACCTTGGGTATACACGTCCCCCAAGGGAGTAAATCTCTCTCAAGCAAATGCTTAGCGGCTGAGGGTGCTGTAACAACAGTGTTCTGGGGACCAGGGACCCACAATGTAGGGTCCCAGAGATGGGTGCAGCGTGTTATCTGGGGTTCTCTTGACCACAGGCTCGGGAGCTCTCTCGGTTACATGTCCAACTGAAGAAGGCAGGAGACCCAAAGGGTGAGTTCACCCTCCTTAGGCACCTTTCTTCCTGGCTTTTACTCCTTTCTAGGGGGGTGACCTTGTACTGGCTGCTTTCAGGTAGCAAAAGTTGGGCGGCAAGTCCATGCTGGGCCTCCCCTGGGCTCCATCTCTCCACCCGGACCATGTCAGAGGGGATTCGGTAGACAGAGACCCCCATCCTGAGTTTCCACCCCGGTTCCTGTTTCTAGGGCCAGAGAGCAAAGTTCAACTTGTGGTTGCTGGGGCCTGTGAGGGCCCACAGGCTGCCTCTGTGGGTACCAGGTCTTTCTTCTTCCATTACCCAACCTGCTGGGAGCAAGAGCTGACCGTTCATCTGCAGGTAGTGAGCCTTGCTCCTGAGACCTCCTGCCCCTCCCATCAGCCCTCCCATCCTGAGCTGTGCTCCCCGGCCGGGTCACATTTGCGGTGACGGGAGCCTCTGTTCCCTTCCCTGCTGTTCTGTCCCTGCCTCAGGAAGTCGGTGGGGTGTGAGGGGGTCTTTGCTAAGAAAGGAGTAACGACTCTTGGGGGTCCTTTCTCCCCTTCTCCTAAGGATGACCCCCACGAACAACTGAAGGTTCCATTACACGCACTACCCTGTTCACAGTTGGTGAGACTCGTCTTCCCCACATCCCAGGTACTGGTCACATAGAGAGCTGGGTTTGTGGGCAGGGCTGTCGCTGGCCTGGGCTTGAAGCAATCCTCCCTTGGGCCATGCCCCCAGACAATCAGTGGGCGGAAGCATGGATCCTGTGAACGTGCTCGGGGCCCAAGGATGGTCTGGGTGCACTGAGGCCACAGTGGGGTAGAAATAGCCAGCCTTTGTGATCATGGTACTTGTGGTTTCCAGGAGCCACTGCTGAGGCTGGAACTGCAGAAGGAAGGAGGGTAAGAACGCGCCTGGGGAGTGGAGAGCAAGGGAAGGCACCTGTCCTGGGTGCCTGGGACTTTGAGCAGGAGGAGGCTTCATGTGCAGAGGCTGTTCTTACTGCTCCCACTTAATTTGCTACAGTGTAGGGATGAGCCCTGTCCCTGCCCAGCACACATCCTGGGAAATCTAGGATCAGTGTCTGTCCAGATAAGCAGGACAATGAGCAAGGACACCAAAGGAAGGGGAGGGATGCCCCTTGGCACGGAGGCTGTTGAGGGACCTTAACTGTCCTTCAGAAGAGGGAGGGTGGCTTTCCATCACAAATAGGTGGGACATGGATTTGTTTTCTGCCCCCATCATCATTTTTGGAGTTGTGGGTGAGGGAAAGAGTTGGGTTGAGTTGGGGTTCAGCCCTAGACCTTAGGTGCCCTCAGTCTCGTGGTCTGCTTACCACAGTCACATGTGTGCGTCATGTGTGCGTGGTCCTGGGTTCCCCTTCCCCTTACTCCACAGTAAGTGGTGGTGAGGACTGGGAAGGGAGGAGAGAAGCAAGGGTCTGGCAGATGAAGCCAACCAGTTTCTTTTTCTGTGGTGGGGCTGAGAACTGCTTTTGGGTCTCTTCCTTCTCCCAGACCAAAGGAGCTGGCTGTGCGGCTGGGCTGTGGGCTCTGCCCTGAGGAGCAGGCCTTCCTAAGCAAGAGGAAGCAGGTGGTGGCCGCCGCCCTGAAAAAGGCCTTACAGCTGGACCAAGACCTACAAGAGGATGAGGTCTGGGGGCTGAGTACAACTGGGTGGAGTTTTCCTCTGGCCTGCTTAGCCCGGGGCTCAGTACTGGGAGGGTTGTACAGCCCAGAGCTGGTGTCAACTTGGGCCTGTCACTGGCAAGCTCTGCCTGCCCTCCCTGTGTTTGTTGGTTCCCCACCTGCTGCTGAGTGAGGTGACATGCCTGATGACACACATCTGGTATGAGGATGGTCACTGGCTCCGAATGGTCCCCAGAGGGTCAGACCAGTCTGACTTGGCTCCTAGCAGAATGGATTGCAGCACTGCGTAGCAGGGCCTTGCAGGCTTCCAAAGAGTGCACACAGGCTCCTGGCACTTGCTCAGTCATACTCCTGGAGCCCTGATGTTGGAAGCAGTGAGGCCTTTGGGAGGCTGTTCTGACTAGATCTCAACAGGGCTGACTCAGAGCTGATCCCAAGACTCGATCGCATTTTGACTGACACAACCTCTTCCCAGAGTGCAGCTTCCTCTCCTCAGGCCTTTTTTGAACCTGGCTGTCCTCTTCCAGATCCCAGTGATTGCTGTTATGGCCACTGGTGGTGGCATCCGGGCCATGACTTCTTTATATGGGCAGCTGGCTGGCCTGAGGGAGCTTGGTCTCCTGGACTGCATCTCCTACATCACTGGGGCCTCAGGATCCACCTGGTGAGCTGGTTGGGGGCGTTAGGAAGGGGAAGGGCCCGCTGTGCAAATGCATGGACTGGGCACAGCGTGCTCCAGGGGGCAGGAAGGCAGTGGCCAGACTGCCGGCCTTCAAGAGAAAGTCAAAGGCATGGAAGGCCACATGGGGTCCTTTGGTGACAACATTCCCCTACTCCTAAGCTTTGGCTTTCCTCAGGGCATTGGCCAACCTCTATGAGGACCCAGAGTGGTCTCAGAAGGACCTGGCAGGGCCCACCGAGTTGCTGAAGACCCAGGTGACAAAGAGCAAGCTGGGGGCATTGGCCCCCAGCCAGCTATGGAGGTACCGGCAGGAGCTGGCTGAGCGGACCCGCCTGGGCCACCCAACTTGCTTCACCAACTTGTGGGCCCTCATCAATGAGTCCTTGCTGCATGATGAGGTATGGGGAGGGTGGGCCCTGGGTGATAAGTGGGAAAGATTTCTAGCATCGGGAAGCCGAGGGCTCAGTCCAAGCTACTCTTCCACTCAGCCCCATGAACACAAACTCTCAGATCAACGGGAGGCTCTGAGTCGAGGCCAGAACCCTCTGCCTATCTACTGTGCCCTCAACAGCAAGGAGCGGGGCCTGACCACCTTTGAATTTGGGGGTGAGTGGCTTCAGAGCTGGGCCTGCGCTCTTATGGAACAGTGTGTCTAGCCCTGTAAGTAAAAGGTGAATCTGATGCCCACTTCTCCTGGTCCAAGTACAAGACTGTCACCCTGCCAGCTCCTTTATATCCTTGGGATAGGGGAATTCCATGCTTGTAACAAGGCCTAAGCCTTCTGGTCCCCTGAGCTGAGATAAAGTCCCTGGTGGATGGCTGGGTGCCCAAGGTCTCTGGGCTCCATGGCTGAGGTGTGTGTTGTTTTCATAGAATGGTGTGAGTTCTCTCCCTATGAAGTTGGCTTTCCCAAGTATGGAGCCTTCATTCCCTCTGAGCTCTTTGGCTCTGAGTTCTTCATGGGGCGGCTGGTGAAGCAGCTCCCTGAGTCCCGCATCTGCTTCCTGGAAGGTGAGGAGGCTTGGGGGAGGGGGCCTGGGTGAAAGGGAGGCCCTCACCTGGCCCACCTCAGCCAGAGGGAGGGTGGGTTCAGACCCTAACAGCAGGGGAGGACTTGTCACTTGATGTCCCTTTCTTTCTTAGGCATCTGGAGCAACCTGTTTGCAGCCAGCCTCCAAGACAGCTTGTACTGGGCCTCTGAACCCAGGCAGTTCTGGGACCGCTGGTCCCAGGATCAGGCCAGCCTGGGTAGGTGCTTGGGCTTCCTATAGGAGAGAGATGGGCAGCCAGCTGGGAGTGTCTGAGACATTGTAGACCTCAACTGCTTCCCTTGTAAGGTCACCACAGAGGTTGGGATAAAGGATCAGAGACCTTTTCCTAAAGTCACCTCACCCCCACTCTTGCCTGTGCAGACAAAGAGCAGGTCCCCCATCTGAAGATCAAAGAACCACCGACAGCAGCCGGCAGGATCGCCGAGTTCTTCACTGACCTCCTGACAAAGCGGCCGCTGGCCCAGGCCACCCACAATTTCATGCGTGGCCTCCATTTCCACAAGGACTATTTCCATAATCCTCACTTCTCCACCTGGAAAGGTGCCCTTTCCCACCCATGTCCATGTCTCCAGCGCCCTTAGCCTTAGGACACCCACCACCACCACCTCCTTTCCTCTCTCCCGGGGAGATGCTGCTCTGGCAGGATTTGTGGGGACCATAGAGCATCTTCTGTGGGCCTAAAGAGGCCTGGACTCTCACTGACAGCTAATGCTTCTCTCTCACCCCAAACCTTTGCAGCTACCAAACTGGATGGGTCCCCCAACCAGCTGACGCCCATGGAGCCCCACCTCTGCCTCCTGGATGTTGGCTACTTCATCAATACTAGCTGCCCACCCCTCCTGAAGCCAACACGGGATGTGGACCTCATCTTGTCACTGGATTATAACCTCCATGGAGCCTTTCAGGTTGGGGAGATCTGCTTAGGATCCATTGGGGGTATGATCGTGGCGCCCCTCGCTGGGGGAAGTTAACTCTGCTCTGGGAGGGGGGTGCTGAGTAGCTGGGATATCTTCACCTATCTTGTACTACAGTTCTCTTTGCCAAACCTGACCCTGAAGAGATCCTGGCATACCTGCTGCTTCTGGATGGCTCCCGTTTTCAGAGGGCCACTAACTCAGGGGAGCCCTCAGGAGCTGGAAGCGGGGGGTGGAGGGGACATAGTCAGACTGTGGTCCTCTGGGTCCACAAGCACCACGTCCTGCACATCTTAGTGAATGCCGTTGTACAGGCAGCCTCGCACACAGGTCCTCTAATGTCCCCTCTGCTTGCCAGCAGCAGCTGCAGCTTGTGAGCCGGTTCTGCCAGGAGCAGGGCATCCCTTTCCCGGCCATCTCACCCAGCCCCGAGGAGCAGCGCCAACCTCAGGAGTGCCACACGTTCTGTGACCCTGCCCAGCCCGAAGCCCCGGCTGTGCTGCACTTCCCTCTGGTTAACGACTCCTTCCAGGACCACTCGGCCCCTGGTGAGCCATGCCACCGTCCTTCCAGACTTGCCTCAGTGCCGTGTCCCCAGGCCTCCTGCCTAGCCTGTCCTCTCTCCACAGGGGTGCCACGGACAGAGGAGGAGAAGGCAGCTGGGAAGGTGAACCTGTCTTCTTCTGATTCCCCATACCACTACACAAAAGTGACCTACAGCCAGGAGGATGTGGACAAGTTGTTACGCCTTACACATTACAACATCTGCAACAACCAGGAACGGTTGCGGGAAGCCCTGCACCAGGCCGTGCAGCGGCGGAGACAGCGCAAACAGTGCAGGCCTGAGTGATGGCTGAGATACCTTGGCGGGTTCCCACCCCCACCCGGGACCTTTGACCCTCCACCCCTTCCCTGTCTGCTGAGTTGGAGACCAGTATCACCAAGTACTGCTCCAGAACCTCTGGGGACTCTGACATCCAGGCCCAGTTCTGCAAAGATACGTCTGGGATCTCCAGAGAGGACACTGAGCCTGTCAGCAGCCCTGCGTCAGAGTCTATCTAGGCTGTAAGCTGCCAGCAGAGGTGCTACTGCATGGTACTAGGAGTGGCCTAGCTCACCCCCGGGAAGGACTTGGGGCAGTGTTGGTTGCATGACAGGGACACTGTGGCATGTTACAGGGGCTCTTATAAATGGGAGGCGCTTGGGTGGCGCTGTCCCAAGATTATCTGTTGTACCAGGCTATTAGTTCCACAGGACATCTTTCCTGTGCCTGTCTAGATGGTCAGAGACCGTGGGGTGAGGCCGTTGGCCAGTATCAACATGACAACAGCAGCTATTTTCTAGAAGCTGGTCCTGAGCAGCCCAGGAAGGGTGCCTTGGGGCCAGCAGCCAAGTGGCTCCCCAGGATGTGTCTTCACCTGTAGCTCCAAGGTTTGGTGTTGCTTCAGGATTCATTTCGAGGCTCAGACCTGTTGGGAGAACAAAACTTAGGAACATACAACCATAGGATCCCCCTAAACATGGTGTGCAGCCCTCTGCCTCCCTGGAACATTCCACCTGCTAGGAGTGGGATGTAAAGTCATGGTCCTGCAAACTCTGTCAGCCAGGCAAGTGGTGCCCAGGCCCTGCCCTGGAAATGTAGCTGGGATGCTTGAAATGTAATCCCAGCTACCCAAGAGACTGACGCAGGAAGATCACAAGTTCAAAGCCAGTCAAAGCTAGCCAAGGCTATCTCTCTGTGGTAGAGTAAGAACACAGTGCTCTTCGTTCCCAGGACTACCAGAAACTAATATGTCTAAAACAGGTCCCGTTTTTTTCCATCTACACCATCTGAGCCAAGCTAGAGTTCAGGAATTCTGTAAGAGAGGTGGATGGCTATGCCAGAAAGCACAGCTGTGGCTGTCACCTGTCACAGCATCATGAGACCCTTCCAGGCACACAGTTGCTTCAGTCTAGATGTTGCTATACTGGACCTGGAGACCCATGGGTGTGGAAGTGGTGTTCACATCCTCTCCCACATGCCCCAATCACCCCACTTTGAGAGCCCTGAAGCCCTCTCGCTCGGAGATAGGAAAGACATGGGTGAGATGCCTGAGCATCTGAATGAAGCCAGAAGCCACAAGAGGCTAAGGATGCCTGTATGTATTCAACCTGCCTCATCCCTCAGCCTTTGTAGTTCTTGCCACAGTATCACATGCTGATACCTTGGCCCTGTCTGTTCCCTCAGATCAGGGACAGAATCAAGAGAGGATGAAGGTAAAGAACAGAGATGCAAGAAATGGCTGAGATGTTGCTGTCTCCGAGGAAGGAAACAGGAAGTTTGAGAGTGAGGACTGTGGGGAGGACAGTCCAGGGGAGCGTTGCAGTGGTATGCAGGGTAGACACCTCTTGCCTATGGTGATCTGTCACCAGCAGAGCAGGTAGGGATGAGATGGAGTGAGCCCTGCAAGGGGGCTGGAGTCTGGGGAAAGGGAGCCTTGGACCTGCTCTTACCTCTAAAGAATGGAGGTGTGAGGCTTTCTGGCTTTCTGAGGGGTGGGGCCTCTTCACCAGCCCACTCAGCAGCATGGGCCCTGAGCCCTGGCATCTCGGATTAAGAGGAAAACCCATTCCACCAGTATCCCACTTAAGCACAGCATCTTCTCTCAGCTGGGAATCTGGTCTGGGTTCTAGGCTATACAACCATGCAGACTCCTCGAGAGCTCCCCACCAAGACCCAGAGCAGGGAGATGGAGAAACCCAGGTTCCCTTTGGATTCTGCAAAGAGGCTCGGGGTGGAGACTGGGGGAGGTGATGACAGCGAGGAAGGCTGGGGTGAAGGGACTGGAGGGAACCCTGGCCCCCTGTCACCCTCCACAGAGAACCCATCAGACAGAGAGGCATGGGTGGGAAAGTGTTTTCTGCACGATCATCCTGCTGGTGGGAGCTTGGCCACAGTCCAGACCTCTCAGGCTACAGCATTCAGAGTTACCAGTCAAGGCCAGAAAGGAACAGAACCCATAAAGATCCTGGCTGGGGCCAGTCCAGGCTCCAAGGGGGACAGGGCATGACAATCTTTAGCTGTGTCACTTTAGCTAAATTTCTTAGCTTCTCAAGAGTTCTTTGAGAAAAATGTTAGTCCCACTTTTAGACATTAGAGGTAGTAGCTGTGAAAGCCCATAGCTACATAAAATACAAGCCACACCGGGAGCTTGGGGTCCATGGGGTCCACCCACTACCTTCTTCCTTCCCTACCCCCGTGCCATGCTATCCAGGGCTGACTGCCAGTTTGCAGCCTGCTTTTCAGATAGTATTGCAAACAGATCTCTGTTCTGCTCAGCCTGCTTCCCAAACGGGCCTGCAGCCCCTCAGCCAAGCTACTATCAAGAGGCCAGGCCTATAGTCCTCACCTTGGGGAGAAAGCATGCTTCCTGTCCTCCAGTCTCACACTCAGGCATAAGAGGGGCTACGCAAGCCAGCTCCTGGGGAGAGATGAGGTGCAGGGGTCACAGGAGCCACCTCAGCTTTTCCCCCGAGATTGGTCTCTTCCCCCAGTGCCACCTGGAAATTCCACTGCCTCCCTCATAGCCAGGGACAAGCCCAGGGCTCTGTGTGCCATGGTCCCATGGCTCCTGATCCAGAAGCTGGTGCTGGACTATGGGGAAAACACAAGGAAGAAGACCCAGGCCTTTCCAGGAAAGTACTGAGAACAGGAACTATGGGTCTTCCCTGAAATCATCTATGAAGCTACCCAGGAGTCTAATGGTAACCACAGTGCCAGGCCCAGATGGCCGCTGAACATGGAGTTGCCTACAGTGAGGCCAGTACTCACCTGCCTCCCCTCCGCGGGAGGCTGCTGCTTAAGTTCCACCAGCCCCTCCACGACATGAGTGTCCTTCACCTCCTGAAGACACAAGGCAAGGGTCCAGATGTCAGGCCCAGCATAGACAAGTAAAGGGAGACACCCACTCCTCATTTCTAGTGAGCCCCAGCAGTCCTGACCCCGATACACCTGCTCTAAAATGTAGGCCCTAGGTACCCTGAGTCCCTGTGGCCTGGCTACACGCTCCAGGGAGATAACTGGTCTGGTGGGGGCATCAGTCTACAGCAGGCCCCTCATCTCAGCCAGACATGCAACCAACCCCCAGCTCAGAGAGCCTCCACAGGAAGGCTCCGCCTGGCTGCCACCTTGTGTGTGTGTTTGTGTGTCTGTGTACATACACACCATAACCTTAATCCTTCCCTGTTTTCTCTCACTCCAAGAGTGCTGGTCTCCTCTGTGCTTATGCTTCAGCTTTGAGTCTTCTATCCTTGCTAGCCCACAGGGGCACACGGCCCTGGGGTAACAGGGATGGTTGTTTTCCTGAAGGAGAAACCCTGAGGAAGACTCCATGAGGCCTAACTGCCCTCAGGAGCCCTCACCTACAGACTGAGGGACTGTCCCACCACCTCCCTCATATGCCCTTTCTCAGGGTACCCAGCCCCCTCATCCAGCCCTTGAACCTCTGTTACTGTCTGAAGCTGGGTGAGCATCTCCTCACGGGCTGCCAGTAGCTTTTCCAAGGCCTGGTGTGTGCAGAGCATGCGTTCCACATCCGTCACTGAGTGCTGAGAGAAACGAGTTAGTATGTGGCTCAGGTCTGGGGTGCCGGCCCTCCTTTGCCCTCCACACTTAGCCCAGGGGCCTGTGAGCAGGAACAGCGAGATCTGCCTCCACTTACCCCACAGCTGGGGTCCAGCCTTCCTGGGAGGCCAGCCAGGCCTCAGCCAGCTCCAGCCTCTGTCGGAGCTGCTGCAGGCCCTGGCTCTGCCCGAAGCCTTGCCCACGCAGGTCCCATGCTACCTGAAGCTCCTGAAGAAGTCTTTCCAGCTCCTGCAGACACTCTGCCACCTGCAGGAAGGGGCTGCTGCCATGAAGGCCTGGGCAGAGCTCCCGCCCTAGCAGGGCTAACAGGATAGCCAAGCCAAGCCAGATCTTTGCTTTCTCCTCCCCTCTTCCTCCCCCTCCTGGGGCTCCCAGGCCCTGGCAGTGAGGCTCATCCCACCCTCCACTCACACCTCCAGGGACAGGAAGTGGCCGTTGTCAGTAGCTGCTGCCCTTCCTGCCATGTGTTCTGGGCTTGAAGGCAGCACTCCTGGATTTCTTGGTCCAGATTCTCATGCTGCTCAGGGAACCCCTTGGCCCCCACCACATCCCCAGCCAGCTCCTCTGAGGAAACCAGCTCCTGAGACCACGCTCTGCTGGGCAAGGAAAGAGCTGCTAGCAGAGCTGGTGGGCCGGCCTGGGGGACAAGGGCAGAAGTGCTACTCCCCCACAGCCAGGATAGGGCAGAGCCGAGCTAACAGTAAGGGCTGCTTACAGCAATTCCTGACGGTGCCCAAGAAAGGTGTGGGCCGGGGTGGCCTGCGGCAGCTTCTGGCTCCACTCCTGGACTGTAGCCTCAGGTTGGCCCGGGCCCCCTGCACCTTGGTGAGCCACTCAGCCAGACCCTCCTGCGCCGCAGGGCCCAGTCGCTGGGCCCCCATCCGTACTCTCTTCTCCATCCGTACTCTCGTCCCCTCTTTCTCAATAGTTCTCTGCAACCAGAGCACGAGGTCGGGCCTCACCCTTCCGGAGGGCATGCTCCCCATTCAGTGGCTCCTGGCCTGTGGAGACCCCTTTGTTCTGCTCTAAAGCCTGTGCCAAGTCCCTGAGCTGGAGGGGAGTGGTCCTACTGGAAAAGTGGCTCAGGGGCAGGCCCCAGGGCGGACGGCCATTACCTGTCCTCTCTGATGAGGGATGCCTGGAAGAGTGGGGATAGGGTGAGCAGCCCTGGGTAAGGCCTTTGCCGCAAGAGCTGTGCAGGGGACCGGCTGTGGGTCCCTCCAGCAGGGCGGTCTTCTCCTGCATCCAACCTTGGAGCGCTGAGGTGGCCTGCTCAAAGCGCTGGAGCTCACGGGCTGCAACCAGGTTCTGAGAGAGAAGGAAGGAGAACCCGCTCGGAGCTGTGCTGTGCTCCATGCTGTATGCGTCCCCGAGACGTGGCCTACCTCTCTACGGACTACCACTGTCTTGTTCAGCCTCTCCCAAGAGGCCTGGATGCGATACTTGTGGGTTTGAATCTGGGGGGTAGAACCTGGGTGCTCCTCTTTCCAGGGGGGCCATCAGCTTCCTCAGGGTCTGCACCTTGGCCTGCCCCAGGCTCTGAACTTCTCTGCTAAAAGCACCAAATATGGCTTCCATGACGTGGAAGAATGTAAGCCCAGGGATTGTAGGGCTTCTACTGGCAGCCGTGAGCCATGGAAGCTCGCTAAGAGGCCTGGCAGCACCAGTGGCCCCAACATCACTTAGGCCTAGAGTTCTAGAACTGCAGATTCTTCCAGCAAACACCCTCCATCTCCCTTGTTGACCCCCTCAGGATCCCCCATCCTCAAACACATGCCTTCTTCTCCTAAAGAAGCTGTCCTTCCTCTCCCCTCTGTCTGCTGAGGACCAGCCCACCTTGATGCCTTCTAGGTCTTGTCCGCAGTCCTGAGACTCAACAGCAGCCTCCTTGGCAGCCAGCCAGGCATCCAGGAGCCGGGTCTCTTGCTCCAGCTGGTGTAGGCGCAATTGTTCATGCAATGCTTGCCCCCTGTCCTCTGCTCTCTGCAGCAGCAGGGCGTGGGCCTCCCTCACAGCCTGCAGCTGGGACAGCACCCTAGGACTACAACAGGAAGGATGGACAGCACAGACTACAGCCCTCCCTCTCCAGGCTGGACCAGCATCCTCTGCCTCTGTGACTGGGACACCCTCCTCACTGCCCTTCTCCAGGAGTGTGGCTCTGGCATACCTGCCTGGGTTCTGTCCACTCTCTAGAAGAACCACTGTTTGCTGTAGCCGCTCAATGCGACTCCTGAACCCCTCCAAGTCTCTCATGGTGGCCTCCAGGCACCGCAGAAGAACCTATGTAGCTTCAGCATCCTGGCCCAGGTCCTCACTGTCCAGAATGCGGCCCCCTTCAGCTAGTCAGGGTCCTGCCTCCAGGAGCTGGGCAGTGACAGCAGGACTTACTTTCCCTGGGCCACCACCTCACTTTGAGACTTGAGCAGAGGGCTCCCCAGTTCAGAGGGGGGTGAGGTCTGGGAAGGGTGTCCTCAACCAGTTGCATGGGAAAATTGGAGCATGGCTCCTCCCCAGCACCTTCCGGAAGTTTCACATTTTTAAGGGTTCCACATGATTCTTTTTTCTCTATGTAACAAAGATAATTCATGTTTGCTTCTCAGAGACAGGGTTGCTATTTGTATAATAAAAGAATATTTAAAAATAAATAAAAGCAAATTTTAGCTAACAGTCCTTACTTCATTTATTTTTTGTCTTGTGAGACAAGGTCTCACTTTGGAGGACTTGGTTGGCTTGGAACTTGAAGTGGACCTCCTGCCTCTGCTTCCTGAGTATTGGAACCATAAGCATGAGCCACCATCCCTGGTTTCTAGTTTGTTTGTGTGAGACAGGGTCTCACTATATAGCTCAGCCTTGTAGGTACTGAAGAGTACACAGCTCACGTCTCTTGTTACTTGTTTAGTTTGTGGGGAGGCTCAAGGGGTTGCAGTGATGCCAACAAAGTTCCAGCTGAGAACCCAGGTCTGGGAGAAACAGGGGAAGAAGGCAAAGGAGCCCAGTGTGTTCAGGGGAAGCAGAGGAGGCCTGGCTCCGCCCATACCCGCCCCACACCCACAGCATCCTCTCACCTCCATCAAAATCTGCTGGACCTCCAGGGCCTGCTGCAGCATCCTCCTCCTCCGTGATGCCTCTGTCTGCTTGTGCTCTAGAGCTGCCTCAAGCTGCTGCACCAAGTGTCCAGCGTGCACAAGCTTCTGACCTGTACCCATCACCACCTGGCTCAGAGTCCTGTGGCTACTGATCTCCTTCTCCAAATTCTGCAATGGAGGAAGGACCAGGGATGTACTAACAATTGGGGAACCCACACTCTGAGTTGGGCCTAGAGATCCTACAGACTTACAAGGAATTCCCACTCCAGGATTTTCAAAGAAACTAGGTGTTCCCCAAAGCAGAGGCTTTGATGGTCTCAGTACCCTGTCCTTGACAGTGAGCCTCCAGCAGCTCTGGGGGACCCCCTCCCCAGCCTCCCAGCACAGGTCAGCAGCTGTTTCTCCTGCAGGTGCTGCACAGTGCTTAGGCTCTGGCCATAGTCCTGGGCTGTGGCATAGGGCAGCTTCTCCTGGACCTAGGCCATTTCCTCATCAGCGTCCCTGAAGAACTGCAAGAGTAGGCTCTGGGCTTTCCAGGGCTGCTCTGCGCTCTTGTAGGGGCTCCTGAAGGCTCTGGAACCTGAAATAGAACCAGAGGAGGCCACGGCCATCTGTTTCAAACTACACTATAACACAGTGCTCACCTACTCTGTGCCCTTCAGTGTGGGCAGGAGTATCGCGGTAAATAAGGATCAGGATAAACAAATAGGCAGAATAGATGTTTATTCAGGGAGAAATAACTTACAACCTAGACAGATGAACACCAGGAAATTCAACCCGATCCTCTCCTGTCCGAGTCATGAGAGAGTGCCTTTCCTGGCCCCCTCCGACCTCCTTCCACAGGTCACTCCGCCCATGGCTCCACCCCAAATGGGTGTGGTCAGTGCCACAGAACTATCTCCCTACAATTCCCCTTTTAGTCTAAAGAAAAGATTTAGGCTTAATACAAAACTATATACAAAACAGTGAATAACAAGTGTGCTCTAAGAAAAGGAAAATTGAGAACAAAATGACCTACACAGGAGAAAAGATGAGAACCTATGTCAGAAGGCAAGAGGGGTGCCCCTCCAAGAAGGCAGACAAACCAGGGCCCTGGGCCGTCTACCTCTGAAGTAGCTGCTGGGCTTGCTCTTCCACACCTTTGGCCAGGCAGTGGCCTTCCTGAATGCAGGCTTGGGCTTGACCCTGAAGCTCCTGCACTTGCCTGGTCTGACTCTCAACAGTTGCTTCCAGCTCCCCCTGCGCCCCCAGGAGTTCGCCCACCCCTGGCAGAGACTCTCAGCTCTGATTCCAGGGACTCTAGCCAGCTCTCCAGTTTCTCCAGCATCTTCTGCAGATGCAAAGCCTGGGACAGAATGTAAGAGTATAAGAGAGCGGGGAGTGGGGGGCATGTCCTAGAGTCCTGTCTAGTGAGTTGCTTCACAGCCTGTAGCCTCACCTTGTGGGTCCCCTGTAGTCTGGCCATCTTCTTCTGGCAGTTGGCCTGCAGCCCCGTCCAGAGGCCTCCTGAAGTCGCTCCTGATGGTTTCTGAGGCTGGGTGGCCTCCCTGTAGGCCTCTGCCCCTCCTATACCATACATCCTGGATTAAGGATGCTAGTACCCTGCTACCAATGACCCTCCTGCATTCTGATTGTGTGACAGGGGACAAAGTTCCATCCCTTCTTCCCTCTCAGTGTCCATGCCCCTCATCACCCCCCTCTTTTTTTTTTTTTTTTTTTTTTTTTTTTTTTTTTTGAGACAGTCCCATTACTCAGCCCAGGCTGGCCTCAGACTTGCTGCAAAATGCTCTCTGTAATCTTGAGCGCTGGGATGACCACACATACACCAGGCTGTCTCTTCCCTTTCTTCCTTGCCCTTTTGTTTCTGAGACAGGGTCTTGCTTAAACTGCCCAAGCTGGCCTCTAACTCACAGTGCTGGCATTATGGGTGTGTGTCACCACATCCAGCTTCACAAATGTCTTAATCTAAGCCTCTTTGTCCTCTTCCGTGCAATGAAGTAGCAATGATATTGGTTAAATGAGGTAACAGAACACTTAGCAAAGCACTTGGTATCAGGGGTAACCAGCCTAGGGTCAGGATTCCTTTCCAGGTAGAGAAGGGAATGTTTAAAACCAAACCAAACCACAACAAAAAGCAATACTCTATTTGATATCCTGAGCTCCAGGGCTGTGTCTTATTGTTTCAACAAACTCTATAAAATTATCAGAAAGGTGCCAATTTTGAAGTAGGAGTATCTATACACAGCTTAGCATGGTGCCTCACACAGAAAGCATGCAAAGGACAGCATTGTCACTACTATGATTCAAAGCCCAGCTGTAGGGGTACAGGGGGCTGGGCTGTAGCCCCTGGCCCCATGGAACCTCACCATCTGTAGCTCCTGTTGCTGGTGAACACTAGCATCCAGCTCAGCCTGGAAATTCTGCAGCTTCTGCAATTGTGTTTGCACCATGGTTGAGTGCTGCTGACCCTTGTCCAGAGCCACTAGGTTCTTTTCCCTCAGCCATGTAGCTACCTAACACAAGGACAGAAGGAGGCTCTGTTTTCCCAAACGTGCAGAGAGTCCCCCAGAAAGGTGTATGCCCCCGCCAACCCTCTCAGCCCAAGCAATGCGAACCTGAACCTCATCGGAATCCTGCAAGAAAGTCCGATGCTGCTGCAGCTCTTCCAGCTGGTGATCCCGTGCCCTTGCTCGCTCTGTGAGTGCCTCTCTCCTGCAAGAGGGGCTCATGGATTCCCAGGCTCAACAGCCAGGACTAGAGAGAGAGAGAGAGAGAGAGAGAGAGAGAGAGAGAGAGAGAGAGAGAGAGAGAGAGTATGTGTGTGTGTGTGTGTGTGCATGCATGCGTGCCCGCGCACATATATGTGGTGTGTCCCAGGATAACCTTTGCCTTTGGAAGCTGGTTTTCTCCTTCCCCCATAGGTTTCAGCGACTGAAACTTGCACAAGGACTTTACCTGCTGAGCCTTCTTGATAATCCCATCCCCATTTCTTTTTAAGACAGGGTCTCACTATGTAGCTCAACCAGGCTTCAGACTTGCTATGCAACCCAAGCTGGCTTCAAAACTCTTTATTCTCCTGTGCCCCCAAGAAGTGCTTGATTATATTGGTGTGTGCAACCATCCTGGCTTTAGCCACTTTTTTGATTGCTGCGAACAGGAGTTCTTCACAAACACACACACACACACACACCTTTGAAACAATGTATGAAAAACATTAGCAGATGCACACAGAATAAAGTTCTAATACTCCATCCGTGGGCCATGAACAGTTCCTCATCAGCTTTTCCCCTTCACTGGTGTTAACCAAAGGGCTTGGAGCTGGGGAAAACTGGAGACTAGACTGAAGCTGAACACCCTCCCCAGTATGAAGCATGCCTAGGGAGAGGGAAGGGGTCGATGCCATCATGCTGGGATTGACTAGGCCCGCAGGAAGGTAATAGAACTGCAAACTAACTTGCTGTTTATCCACTCAGACCTTCATGGGTTCCCAGGGAAATCTACCTGCAAGAATGAAGAGGGCTGGGGCCTATGAAGTGGCTCAGAAAAAACAGAGGATCTGGGTTTGATTCCCAGCACTCACATGGCAGCTCACAATCATTTAAAACTCCAGTTCCAAGAAACCTGATGCCTTCCTTCTGGCCTTTGAAGGCACCAGGCAAGCACATGGTACACAGACACATGCAGGCCAAACACCCATACACAGGAAATACAAATAATCAACTAGTAAGTAAACAAGAGGAGATACACTAGCTCCACCCGGAGCACCAACTCACTAGGAGCCACAGAAGGTAGCCCCAGACAGTCTGGGACATGACCTTCGGCTGATTTGCTTTGGTCTATACACTGGAGGAGCTGGGCCAGCTGGGCCAGAGGAGCTGCAATGAGGGAGAAGGCAAGGCTATTGTCACAAAATGGGCAGGCCATGTAGTCTGTGGTTGAGCTTCAGCTGCATAAGAGATCTTCAGCCTACTCAGGAGGGACAGGCACCACACTAAGACAACACAGCCCTCAGCGGCAGATTTAACTAGGACAGTGGAATCTGCCTCAGGTCCCATCCATTGGGTAGCCGAGAGACTCAGAACTGTGACTGTGAAGGGCTGACCTAGCATGCTCCTGTCCCTTCCATGTCATTAAATTGCTTCCTCTCAGTTTTCTAGTGTGAGTTCTTAGTGGATGAGCCTGGGATGAGGGAAGTGGATGCCATATTTTGTCTGATGGAGAACAGGCCAACGCACTGCCAGGACATGAGCGATGGGTACTCCCAGCATCTGACCCTAGGCTTTGAAAAACACTAGTAGTTGGGTCAAGAAGTTGAACAGGAAGGGAAGAGTTTGGGTAATAGATGTCCAAGCTGGCTCACCCCCAGTTCCCATCATCCCATAGGTACCTCAGGAGTAGGGCCTGACACCGTCAGGATGCTGAGGGCCTCAGGGTGTCCACTCTGGTGCAGGCCATGGGCTGTGGCCGCCAGCACATTATCTCTTCACCCTTGCCTTAAGGTTCCGCTCATGCCTCTTGAGCTCTGACAGAAGGGTCTCCACAGAGGACAAGGGGTCCCGGTGGAAGTGGCCTGCTGATGCTGACTGACTGTAGAGTTGCCCATTCCTCTAGACCCCCCTTTCACAACGTGACTGTTCTCCAAAGGCATTACTCAAACCCCACAAGGCTGCTTCCAGCTTTAGGAGAGGAGACAGCGTCTGTTCCATTTCCAGGCTGAGCCCTTCTCTCTCCCCCACACTCTAAGGCTACATCGGCCTAATCATTCTCCCGGGTCTCTGTGAGCTATGTGAGGTGAGCCAGGGCAAGGAGAGTGGTAGGAGAGTGATCCAAGGGAATGAATGGCCAGCCTGGCTTCTCAGGCGCACCCCACAGGCCCTGCCTGGGACAAGCACCACCTGGGACTGATGGGGACTGCTCAGCAGTGGAGAAGACCCTGCCGGCAGACTCAGAGCCGGGGCTCTCATCCATCCTCCCCGCTCCTGCTGGGCACTTAGGCCAGTCCCTCACCAGGCAGACAGGACTCCTCCCTGTCAAGCCAGCGTTCCACCTTTTCCACAGAGCTCAGAAGTAACTGGTGAGAAAAGACAAGAGAAAGCCCAGTGACTACTTAGCCACGTGTGTGACCTTTCTGGTGGTTCAGGTTGGAGAACCAGGGGCCCGGCTCCATGGTACAGGAGCAGGCTGAATGGCAGGAATATACAAGGAAGGCAGTCGGTTCAGCTTTGGTCTTGACCAGGGCTGTGGAGACATCATAGGTCCTGATAGTGGGGTAGGCTGGAAGCTGGCCTGGGGGCCCATCTGCTGCTCCTGGGCCTGCTGTAGCTGCCGCCGCCACCTTTGCCACAATTTCTCCAAGCTACTCAACTCCTGCTCCACAGCAGCCAGCTGGTATCCAGATGCAAGAAGCTGCTGCCCCATGCCTCGGGCCAGCAGGAGGATGGGAAAGGACAAAGGTGTTCGGGAGACAGAGAAAGGCACTAGCAGGTGTCACAGGAAGCGGGGAGTGGCGGTCCCATTTGAAAGGCGTAGTACTGGACTGCAGCTCACCTTGCATGCCTGGTGCTCTTGCAGCATGTACAGGGCTCTCTCAGGGCTGCAGGGGGTACCCCTGTGCCCAGTCCTGCAGACCCCGCAGCAGTATCTGCAGCTTCCAAGCCTTGTGGCCCACATCCAGCGACTCCCTCCTGCTCACAGGACTCCTTTGTTAGTTCTAGGATCACGGAGCCTCCTATCCCTCAAGCCCAGTATCCTTTAACCCCCTGAGCACAGAAGGTCTGTGGGCTGGGAATTAATTGGTAAATGGTACAGAAACTCGGGAGAAAGAGGGGCCAAGGGGAAGTGTGCGGTCTCAGAGCTGGAGGGGACCATTCAGCATAGGACAAAGTCCCAAGCGCTCATACCACTTCTGGGCCCTGCTCCAGACCTTCCACCAACTATCCATCATTTCTTGTTGCTTATGACGGAGGCTGTGGGCAACCTCCGGACTTCTCTTGCAGAGGCGGCCAACCTTGCCCTCAAGAGACTGTATGGATAAAGGTCAGGGCTGGGCAGCAGGGGCCAGGCTCTGTGGGTCTTAGCACCTGGCTCTCAGGAGTCCACCAGGGCTCTGGAGGATGTACCTGGGGCCTGGTCCCCCAACTGCACACCTCCACCTGAGTCTGGATGAGACCCATCCTCTGCTGCAGCATTCTCTGTTTCCACAGTAGCCTCTGCACATTCTCCAAATCCTCTGTACTCTCCAGGGCCTGGATCAGGGATTCCTGGCAGGGTAGGAGAAGGAGCCATTACGGGCTAGGCCATAGCATCAGTTGTCCCTCACCACAGAAGCCTGGCCACCTAGGGTGCCAGTGTGGAATGTAAGCACCCTGCAGGGCTGGAGCAGGGCCCTGGACTCCACTAGAGGCATTTCTTCCTGGGAAGGAACGAGAGCCTGGGGCAGGACTGGGCCTCGACTTCCCTCTGGCAAGACAGTGTGGTGCTTCCTGGCATTTTGTTTCTTCGAGACTCTCATGCCTCTGGGGAGGGATCTCAGAGGACAGAGGCCTGGGCTAGCTGTGAGGGCAGCATGCAGGAGAAGAGGTGCTGTCTCGCGCAGGGCTTCTTAGAGCAGATGCCTCATCTGCCTTTCAGCAGCTTTCAGTCCACCTGCATCTCTGTGGGAGCTGACACCATCCTGGGCCAAACCTCTCCTGGGCTTTAAGTCAGGGGAAACAGGTGTGCTCTGGCCTCTACACCCATCACATATCTGGGATGGAAGGAGGCTTGGGAGCTGCAGGGGTGGGGAGGGCGGGGACTGTAATACCTTCTCATCAGTTCCCTAGGGGACCAGCTGAAGAGCAGAGGGGAGTCAGAGACTTTGGGAGCCTCAAGGCAGCCTCACTCCCAACTCAGTGCACGAGGGGACTTTTCTTTTTTTCCTTTTTCTCCTTTTTTTAAAAAAATTTAAATTAGAAACAATCTTATTTTATATATAAAGACCAGTTCCCTCTCATTCTCCCACGTCCCCACCCATCCCCCATCCCATCCCTCTTCTCCATAGAAAGGATGAGGCCTTCTATGGGGATCATCAAAGTCTGTCACATCATTTGGGGCAAGGCCTAGGCCCTCCCCCATGTGTCTAGGCTGAGAGAGTACCCTCTATGGTGAATGGGCTCCCAAAGTCCATTCGTACACTAGGGATAAACTCAGTTCCATTACCAGGGGCCCCACAGACTGCCCAGGCCTCCTGACACCCATGTGCAGAGGGCCTGGTTCCGTCCTATGCTGGTTTCCCATCTGTCAGTCTGGGGTCCATGAGCTCCCACTTGTTCAAGTCGGCTGTTTCTGTGCATTTCCCTAGCAGGTCTTGACCCAGAAAGGGACTTTTCACTACCTACCTTTTCCCTGATCTGCTCAGTGATGCCATCCAGTTCACTGGACAATGTATGTATCTCCAGGGCCGCTTCAAGCCGCTGCTGATACAGGAGCAGGTTGCCATGGAAAGTCTCCCACATGACCAAAGAATGTGGTAACCCTTGAAGCCTGAGGTGGGCCCGGCTCTCTTCCAGCCCCACCACCCTCCCCCTTCTGAGACTGACCTGTCGTTGAGCTGGTTTTGCCGATGGCAGATGGTCTCAGCTTCCTCAGGGCTCTGCTTCTTGAGCTGCAGTGCCAAGTTTTTGATTCTCCGGATGTAGGTGTCATCCACTGTGGCCTATGGGGAAGGTGAAGGTGCAGACACCGGCAACTACCTGTTCAGGGCTGATTCTTGGAATAGCCGTTGAGATTGTCCCTTGGGAAACAACCGCCATCTCAGGGAGTTCAGCTGTGTCTCTTGCCAAAGATCATCCCAGCTGGGCTTGTTGACCATTTATACTCCCCCATGGATGGGTGGGAGGGCCCAGGTGCTCCATAGATCTGGCGTATGTAACTCTGCCTTAATTGCCCGTGGGCTGGGGGAGAAGCTACAGTGCATACACCTGGGAAGAGTATGGCGGGGCTCCTTCAGAGCTCTCCCTTTCGGGTTAGGCTCACTCACGGCCATGGTGCTCACTCACGGCAGCTGAGGACTCGGAACCAAGGCACAGCATCTAGCCAATGCCACCACCAGCTAAGGATGTGTTGGGGGAGGAGTACCCACATTCCTGTATCATGCTCCCTAAGGAAGCCCAATAAACCCCAGAATGAACTTTGTCTCATGTCTTGGTTTGTCACTGGGGCCTTGGGAGAAGGAGTAGATATTGCTTATGTCTCCCCAGGGAGGGAATTTTAGCAACCGCAGCACATTTAGGGAGTGGAAGGTGGTTATTTCCTCTGTAGTGACAGGTGCCGGAGGCCACCCCCTCAGCTCCAGTGAGGAAGACCAGCCTGGAATATACAATCTTAAAGTCTCTCGGGTGGGGAAATGGGCTTCTCAGAATGAGGACAGGGCAGGCAGGAAAGGTGGGCATAGATCCATGAGTAGTGTTTAAAGTTAAAAATGGAGCTTGAACACAGGCAGCCATACAGGAGCTTCCTGCTCCTGATGTGGGTAAATTTAACTCCTCTTAATCCCACAAGCACCTTCTATGAAGCGGCACATCTGAGAGGTGATCCTGGAGCATTGCCGGGCTCAGAGGACCATGGTGCTCACTCATGGCAACTCAGGACCAGGGCACAGCATCCAGCCAATGCCACCACCGGCTAAGGATGTGTTGGGTTTAAGACTGCAGCCTTTGCCCAAATCACACACCTATATCAAGGCTAGCACAAGTATCAAGCTGACCACAGGTGGGTTAGCACGCTCATCTTCAACACCTGACTATGAATACATTTGCCATCTCCCGTCTCTCCCGCAGAGGGAAATAGATTCCTGGTGTGTTTGGTCAGTGGTGTGGGTGAGGAGACGCTGAACTACTCACACTGAAGAAAGGCATAGGTTGTATCTTTTCTTGGAATTTTGAAACAGTAAATTATGATTACAATTTTGTTCAAGTTCAGAAAATTGTCCTGGCTCCATGTACCTCCCCTGCATCTTACCATAACATTAACCTGACTGCCAATGTTTCCAGCAGAGGCAATAATGTTATTACAGGTGTAGAATCATGTGACCACCACCACACTCGTGTGTGTGTGTGCTCTCTCACCTCGGAGAAAGGCATGGTACTCGTTTTGGAGATGAAGAAATTAAGGATTGGCCAGATGAGGGAGCTTGCCTAGCTGTGTCGAAGTAGTGCAAAGATGAATTGGGGCCTGCTCTGGATTCTGGAGTCCATCAGACAAATCTCCCAACGGGAGACACTGTGTCAGCCCCTCCCGGACACAGCCTCTTACCTGTAATTTGCGGACTTGTCTGCAGAGCTGCAGGCAGTGCTTAAGGTTCAAGCCCATGTCATCACTGTTCACCATCCTCTCCTGTGAAGGCCAAGGGTGGGGACACAATGCTCAGCTCTGGCCACTTGCACCTGGGGCACTGTCAGGGACTTCCCACCAAAGCCCCTACCATCAGGGAGCCAGAGAACTACAGGCCCCACCCTACCCTTTAGCTCCGGTCCGCCACCCCCACCCCAGCCCCCAAGTGCCCTGTTCAGTGAAGCCTTCACCTTCTCCTGGATCCAGGCCTCTGCAAGCTCCACTCTCTGCAGGAACTCCAGGAAGCTGCGCCTATCCTCCAGGGCCTGGCCCCACGGAGTCCCTGCCTGCCTCAGCTTCTCCCAGAGCTCCCACAGGGCCTTCAGCTTCTGGAAGAAGTCTGAGGGTGGCTCTGCCTGAGGAGCCCTTCGCCTTGCTGGAAAACAGGAATAGGGGACATCTCAGCACCTCTCATCTTATTGGAGACGTTGGCAATCAACACTTTAGAGTAGTCTGGGCTGAGGCTGGGGTTACCGTGGCAACAGAGATGACAACCTGCTCATGGGCCTGGACCTCAGCCATGAAGGCCTGGTGTTTCTGCAGGTGCTTCAGATGATCTTTTAGGTTCCCAGGAGGGCTCCAGGCTCTCAGTTGTTGGACCCACTCCTGGATCCAGTCCTCAACCTGGTAGGGATGGGGCAAAAATCCTATAATGCTCCATCCTGAAACCAACTCCCTCCACTCCCCTTCAACTCCAGGTGGTGGGCTACTGGCCTCGGGAAGAACCAGGAGTATCTAGTAATCAAGAATCATGGTTCTAGCCCAGGAAGCCATGCCCCAGGCTAGGCTGAGCAAGGAACTTGGATGGAAGTCCATTTCAGAGGTGTGAGCCCCCTGTTCCAGGAACCTGAATGGCTATGCTCCCTTTCCTAGCTCTTCTCTGCCTTGGCTCTGCCAGTGCTCAGCAAACAGAAGAGTCTCAGTCCACAGGGGCTTCAAATCAAATGTTCTGGGCGCCATGGCCCCTAGGAAGCCATTTAACTCTCCCAACCTGTTTTTGTCATCATAGTGTTATGTCATTAAATGTCACCTCAAATGTACTCTTAAGGTTTAAGCAAAAGTCAGGGATGGTCCTCTGACCTGAGCTGCTGCCCTGGTAAAGTTGGCTGTCATCAGGGAGGTGTGCAGGGCCTGTCCCCGGCTCTCTGCCAGCTCCTTCACTTGAGCCCGACGCTCCAGGACCTGGTAAACCAGGTTCTGTCCCTTAGGGCTTGGGGCAGTTTTCAACTGCTCGCGCAGAGCTGCCTTCTGTGGAACACAGATAGTCTGCTGGTCTATTCTGGCAACCTGGCCATTGACTTTCAGCTCTGCATGGTTAGGGGCTGGCTGAGGGCCCTGGCAGTAGCCAGAACCACTCCTTTTGGTGACTTCAAACTAAGTAAATGCTCCCCGGGGCCCCTGCAGTGTGAAGCACCCCAGCCTGGGTCTTTTCTTGAGCTATATGTACAATGCTGCCCCTAGTTCCACAGACATACCAGCACGGTTTCTGGGCATACACCCAGCCACCATACCTCTCCTGAAGACACCCCATCATCCTGTTCAGGAGTCCCTGAGCCCATCACCTTCTTGTCCTGGAGTGCGAGCACTTTTTGGAAGATCACATGCTTGCTGATCAACTGTTCCGTTTCTTCCACTGAGCTCCCCAGGACACTGGCCTTTAGGAATGCCTAGATCAGTATGTGGAAATGTCAGAGGCCCTGCCCAGGCAGCACCCCTGGGGCCTGGGCAGCAGACATAAACACTGTGCATGGTCAGGGGAGTGGTGAGGGGGAACAGGGGCCCAGAGTAGAGGCCAGCAATGCCTCAACCTCTGACAAAGCGGAGAGTGTGGGCAATCTCTACCCAACTCCATGGGTCGCAGTCCAGTGTCTAGGCTGGGGAAGAGCAGGGCTAGATCTGGTCTGGGGGTGCTAGTGAGGACCATGGTGCCCTGGTGATCTACACTAGCTACCAGGGAGGACTCACCCACAGCCCCCAAGCTCCGTGTCCAAGAAAAAGTCAAAGACTCGGAAGGAAGGCAGGAACACACAGAGACATGAAAGAGGGGGAGGAGGGTTAGAGTCGGGGCTGTAAAGACCTGCCTCCTGGGCTGTGAGGAGCTCTGCCAGGTGATCACACTGTCTGAGGAGGCGCCGTTCTTGAAGCACGGCCTGCAGTCTCTCTTGCTTGAGTGTCCTTGAACACCTGGTCACATTCCCCCTGTAGGGCTTGAAGCCCATCCTGGACCTGAAGATGAGCATGTGGAAAGGTGGGTTTGGGTGGTGGGGGTGGGAAGGAGACAGCCCATAGGAGGGCAGGGTAGGCTGGGAGCTTGGGGAAAGTGCCCACCTCCTTAGTGGGTGTCCCTGTGGCCAGAAGTGCTTGCTGGCCTAGCTTAATGGCCCGCTGCTACAGCTCCTCCCTGGCTTCCAGCTCTGCCCGCAGCCATTGATGGGCTCTGAGCCTGAGCAGGCTACTGTTGGGTTCCCAGGAACCCTCCTCCATCTGCAGCTCCTGATGCATGCTGGCCACCCAGGAGGTGGAGTCCTTCACCTGACCCCGGAGACAATGAGGAGCCCTTGAGATGGGGCTGGTGGCAAACAACCGGTCTGCCTGACCCATGCACATTTAGAGACATCAAACTGTCTGAGACAGAGCTTCTGGTGAGACTCACAAGTCCTTGTCATTTGGCTTCTCTGTCGTCATCCAGCCCAGTCCTTCCAGGATCACAGGCCCCTTCCTGGCCACACTTATTTTCCCTCAAGAACTGGAGGGCCTCAGTGCATGTACACATCTGTGCACATGTGCACCCTCCCAAGGGGAGAAGCCCTCACCGCTGTGTGGAATCGGAGCAGGAGGAGTGCTCGCTTCAACCAGGCCCTGCGCTGCCCCACATGCAGCTGGAGGGCCTCCCAGGCTTGTGTCACAGTCTGCTGCTGGACAGTGGCGAGGGCCTGAGGACCTGGACACAGCTTCTGCACCCTGCCTCCAGCCTTCAGCAGTTCCTGCAGCTGGCAGGTAAGGGGTAGGAGAGGAGAGCAAGTTCTTCACTGTCTCAGTACTCAAGCCCGGGAACTTGATGGGCCATGCTCTGCCACGCATGGCAGGCCCAGGGGAGAGCCTGTAGGGGCCTGGGGGCCAGTGCTAACAGCCTACTTACCTGCTGTCCCATGCCTGCCAGCTTGTGTTCCAGCCCCTCATGTCTCTACAGCTGGTTCTCCACCCCGTGCCGGTCCTGGGCCACATCATCAGGGAGGCTTGTAGCTTTCTCCTAGGGTAGAAAAGGGTCAGAGTGGCGTAGGAAGGGAGGGTGGGCACTGATTCTGGGAGATCCACTTCTAGAGTTCATACCTGGATCTGAGGAAGGATTTCTAGAAGGTCTTTGTGGACTCTGAGGGTGGTTTCTGTGTCATGGAGCAGGCGGCTTTGGGCACGGGTCAACTGCCACATTTCGGACCAGGCAGCCCTACCAGACTGCATTCCCACCCTGGTCTGATTTCTGGGTGGAATCCATGGATTTCCCAGCGCTCCTGGATGGGGCTTTTGCTTTGAGCCTTCTGCTTCCTAACACGTTGCACCCTTCCCCAAAGCCTCTCTGGCTTCACAGGGAGTGTTGCTGTGAGCTGTCCTGTCGTCTCAGTACTTCACAACTCTCTCTGTCCTAACGGCTCCCATCTTTTGTGTCTGATTTTCAGTATGCTAATCCATCCCATTTGTGGTGGTTTGAACAGGACTCATGAGTTTGAATGTTCGGCCTGTAGGGAGTGGCACTATTAGGAGGTGTGGCCTTGCTGGAGGAAGTGTGTCACTGTGGGGGTGGGCTTTGAGATCCCATATATGCTCAAGCTATGCCCAGTGTGAGACAGTTCACTTCCTGTTGCCTGCAGATCAAGATGTAAGATCTCCCAGCTCCTTCTTCAGCACCATGTCTGCCTGCACACTGCCATGTCCCGCCCTGATGACAATGAACTAAACCTCTGAAACTGTAAGCCAGCCCCAATTAAATGTTTTCCTTTATAAGAGTTGCTGTAGTCATGGTGTCTCTTTAGAACAATAAAAACTCTAGCTAAGATACCTCTAGAAATGCCTTGAGCAGAGAGTCCTTATCTTTCCTCCATTTGCTCCTTAACATGCTCTCCCTGTGCTCAAAGGCTTCTTCCAGGCTAGACTTTATGCTGAGGGTCATGAGAAGATCTGACCTCGCCTTAAGCTCATGGGCTAGAGAAGGGCCCATACCAGCAGGAGGTGGACCCAGGAATAATACACTGAAGGGATGTGAGCATGGGAACTTGAAGCTCAGAGCTCATGGGAGGCCTCCTCCTCTCTAGCTCAGGTAGTAACTTTCTACAGTTTCTCCCGCAGATCCAAGGAGGCAATAATCGGGGAAAGTTTCCCTGGGGGGATGGGAGTATCTGGTTGGTATCTCCAGCCTCATCTTCTATCACAGAGCACATTGGAGGCTTTTGCATCTCAGGGACCTTGCCCTCTCTAACTGAGCAAACAGGTCCTGTCACTGCAGAGTGTTAACATTCCAAGACACTGGGCTGGCACCCTCCTCCAAACCTAGACCATCTCACTCACCGCAGATCCTGCTGCCTCTGGTGGGCCTTGGGGGCAGCACTGTGCCCACACTCTAACAAGCTGTCTGCCAGCTTCTGGCAGGTTTCTATTCGCAGGGCATCAGTTTCAGTTTGGTTCTGAAACTTTGCAAACTTAGTGCAGAGTTGCTGAGGAGAGAGGGGAGTAGATGACAGGCTAGCTCTAGTAAAGGTACCCAGTGACAGTGTAGAGTTGTGTGGCCACAGTATTAGCACACTCCTCCCCAAAGTCATATCCCATGACTCGACTACACCTTCTCCATCCAGCTCAGCAGGACTAGCCCTGGCATCCAGCATCTGCCTCATGTGTCTTTCCTGCTCCTAGCCCCTCACCAGAACATGCTCATGGTCCTCTCCAAAGCTGTCCCCTCCTCTGGCCACCTGCTTCCAGCTAGCCAGCTGTCTCCGCAGATCCTCAGCTTCTGTCATGTACTCATGTAGCTTCAGGGTTCCCTCCATCTCCTGACCCCTGTGGTGAGAGCCAGGGGTTCCCCAGATGTTAGCTGCCTACTCATCCCCCCGGGGACCTGATGGCAAGGGTGCTGAAGGGTTCTTTGTCCAAACCTTTGACTTGGGAAGAAGACAGAGTAAGGCCAGAGTAGGGGGCAGAGGGTGTTGGCAAGAGATGGAAAGTTGGGAATTGGGGGCTCAAGTTTCAGCTAAGTGGACATTTACTGAAGAACTTATAGATAGGTAAGCAACACATAGCAAAAACAGCATTCTAAAGGACTAGGTTCCCACCATGATAGGGCCATGGCAGGGGATGGTAGGCTGTGTTTAGGGCCCTTGTGTCCATGGATGAGAGGGTCCATTATGCCCCTCACCTTGCATCTGCCAGCTTCTGTAGGGCCTGCAATTGTTCCCGTACAATACCCAGCTGCTCAGAGGCCTCAAATCCAGGAAGGGTCTGGAATCTCTGCTCAAGATCCTCCATGGAGCTCCAATAAAGGGCTAATTCCTGCTGCAGCATCTGCCAATATAAGAACCCAGACCTGGTGGTTCTTCAGCTCTCTGTACATCTACCCCCCCAAACACAACCTACACATTTATCCCCCCAGACATTCATTAACAACTCACACACTCATCTGCTTACCTCTCAGCTCATTCACTTACCAATATCCTCACCCATCTATCTACACATCCACATTCCATCTACTCAGCTTCACCCACCCACCCATTACCCACTTACCCAATACTGACAGCACACTTACTGTTTTACAAAATGAAGATATGGTCTCCACCCTAAGAGGGTTCACTACTTACCCAGAAAGAGTAAACAATGGGAAGACTGGGCCAAGGAAGGAGGGATCATGCTGGACCCCAATATCAAAGTGTAAAACTAGACCGAACTGAGCAAGCCTCTCTGCATGCTTGGTGCACGCAGGCACTGCCTCCAGGGAAAGCTCACTGAACACCCTCATCCACGAGACACACCCAGCAGTGACCATGACAAGAAGCAGGGGTGCTGTGGGACTAAGGAGCTTGGTGGTTCTAAGAATCCACTCTGGTCTCCCCCCTTCCCTCCCTTCCTACCAGGGATGCTTGCAGGAGGAGATGGGTTTGAGGCTGGTGATTGGATTAACAAACAGGATGATGTTCAGAGCCCTAGAGAAGGACACATATGAAGGACACGGGGCAGGCTGAAGCAGGAGTAGGAAAGTGCTGGGAAGGAGATGAAGGAAGAGGAGACAGAGGTACCCGAGTCTGTCCAGGAGGGCTACAGAAGGCAAGCACACACCTGAGTTACCAGGCTGCGCTGTACTGGCAGAAGTGTGTGCTCAGGGGAGGAGGGTGAACCAGGGCTAGCCATGTGTTCAGGAAGGAAACAGCAGGCCAGGGCTCAGCGTCTCAGGAAGTAGGATGTACAGTTTGGGGTGTGGCAGACCCCCCCATGGTCTACTGTCACTCACATGGAGATGCTCAGGACACGGTACCTGGTGTTTCCTAATGAGCCCAAAGGTAGCTGCATCACCGCTGCCATATTCCTAACTGCTAGCCAGAGGCCACTTTTCCTCCACCCAGGTCTCTATTTCTGACACCTTCAGAAAATACTGCAAAAAGCGATGTTGACTCATCTCAGTGATCTTAGCTGAGACCATTCCTCACCTATCCTGGCCACCGGCAGCCAGCAGAGACCCTTATTGGAACCAGCTAACTCTTGGCGCAGAGCTCTCATCCCCATCTCCATGAAGGCCCCACAATTTCTCTCTCCCACAGCCGGTCCAGCTTCCACTGCTCTGCAGACCTCACCCTCTTGTCCCCTACCTGCTGGACAGTGATGGCCTGCTGCAAGCAATGGGAACGTGCCTCACATGCCTGCTCCAGTTCTGCCCAGCGGCCTTCTAGCTTCTGGCATTGCTCCACAACTTGTTGAGCTTGGGGGTGCCCAGAGGCTGCTAGACTCTGGCCAGAACTTAGCGCCCTATGCATGTGTCCCATGTGAGCTTTCACCTCTGCCTGGAGCACCTGCCACAGAACAATGGGATTCCCTTAGCCAGATATCCAGATTAGAGTCGTGGACGTGTCTCTAGTTCTAGATCACCAGGCTAAGAACAGCTGGAGCAAAGTGTATTTGGAAACCAGGACACCCAGGGAGAAGGACTTCGAGGCAGGGATACCCTGAATAGTGTTGGGAGTCCTGGGAGGAAACAGGTGACACTACCTTGTGCTTACGTTGAAGGCTCTGAGCATCATGCCAGCAATGGGCGGGGCGGGTGGACTGGTACTGGGCATATGCTCAGCCACCCATGTGAGTTCCAGGTTGCTAAGGCAGTTAAATTGGTAGAACTGGACTGATGCCTGTAGTTGCAGGTGCCGGGTGGCCAGCTTGCTCTGCAGGGACTTGAACCTGGTAGAAGGAGAAAAGATAAAGAAGCTGGGGGAAAGAATAAAGACAGGGTTGCGGTCCTTTCCTCATCCCCACCAGGGATCTATGAAGAACAATGTCAGGGACCAGAGGAAAACCTCTGACTCCCTCCCACCCCAGAATGCCTCTACTCAGAGAAGAAGGGGGTCCCTTAGGTGCCACTTAGTCCTCGGGTTCACAAGACGTGTGTGGCGGGGGAAGCATGACCCTCAGGCACAGTGAAGATGGAATGGCCACCTCTGGTGACACCTCTGGCTCTCCTCCAAGATGGTCAGGGAAGTAGACACATGGTGGGTCTGAGAGATGAGGGCAGTCATCTTGCTGGCCAGTGCCTGCCTCTTGTCCTTTAGTCGACAGTGCTGATTCTGCAGCCTCAGGCTGGAGCACAGGTCCTGTCCTGTTTCTGTACTCTGCAGGGCTCCTTCCAGGTGCTCCAACATCTCCCTGACATCCTGGAGAGGGTGATAAGGGGCTGCGCCCACCTTTCCATTGTAGCCTCGCAGGCAACTCTGCTGGGCTCTAAGCCCACAGTGCTCCTAGCCCCAGATCCACCAGGGACCCATCATGGCCTACTAACCAGTAGTGTGCAAGCCACCCCCTTATGCACCGTCCTCTCTAGACTCACAGAAAGTACTCTTGTGGTGGCTTGCTGCTGGGCAAAGCCACGCTTAGCTTACTCTGTGCCAGAGGCTCTGTACAGGACTTCATGGGGGGCCACTCTGTTCTCCCTGTTCCCATTCTGTCTTCCTTCTGTGTCCTCATCCCCTTCCCACATTCCCCAGGGACCCGCAGTAGCTCCAGGAGCTGCTCCTGCTGTCTGGTCTGCTGCAGCTTGTCCCCTTGCTCTGCCATCCTGTGGTGCAACTCCTCCCACTTGTGATTCAGGCCCTGAAGTCTGTCCTGTGTGTCCTCCTGTGCAGATGGGTGGCTACGCAACAGCTCTCTTCCAGCCTGGAGTGGAGACAAAGGCCAGGCCATCTTGCTGAGCTGTGCACCACCACCAACCGCAGTACGCTGTACCCATGGGCAGGAGGCAGGCTGCTGGCTACAGGTGCTTTCTCCTAGCTTCCTGGGATGGTGGCAGCTTCCTGAGCTGATTTGAGTGCCTATCTAAGGGACACCAGCTAAGTGAAGGAGGCAGGGGGACTGCTCTATAGAAATAGGCAGAGCAGTGTGTGCTGGGGATCTGAAGACAAGAGGGCCCTGCACCTTCTGTCCACCATCCTCACCTGCTGTAGGTCCTCCACAGACCCCCGGTAACTAACATCTTGCTCTCAGTCCTTTTATGCCACTTGAGTTTCTGCAGAATGTTGCAGCATGCTTGGGAGGGTTCATCGGCCACTGGGGGGGCCACTTCTCCTCCATCCATAGCATTAACTCTGCCACAGCCTGCTTCCATTCCTGCCCAAGAACCAGGGGACAGAGGGTTTCCAGGGCCCAGGGTGAGGGGTGGCACACCTACCTCTAGAGAGCAGGGCCCTGTGGGGAAAAACAAGACCCAGAGCCAATTCTCAGGTACATGGGAGGTAGAGCTTATATTTTTCTGATTCCCAAATGAGGCAAGGACACTGCCCAGAAAGAAATGCCTGTCGGATCCCACTTCTCGGGACCACACCAGATCTCACGTGGTTCTTGACATAAACAGGTTGATGTTCTTGGAGGCCTGGCCTGGCCCTAGGACCTGAACAAGCATCAAGGCTAAGGTCTATAACTACTTCCTTCCCTTCGCCCACACAAACCCCTGGTGTGTCAGAAGTGAGGGCGGGTGTGTAGGGGCGGTTAGTCGAGGAGTGCTTCTCTGAGAAGCACAGTGACCTCTTGTATCCTCTTGGAAAGACCCATGGGTGGGGAATGCTCAGTAAACAGGCTCCTACTGCCTCAGTGCAACGGTGGGCTCCTGGGGACATCTCCTGCAATGCGGACTCACTTGCAATTGGAGGGAGGCCAGCAGTTGCTGCCTTCTCTGCTCACCCCTCTCCTGAGCCCTGGTCCACCATGTCTGGGCACTGTGCAGCAGCTTTCTGATCCTGGAGTGTGGGCAGGAGGGCAAGAGGAGACTGCTCTTCCCTGCCCTACCCCACTCCCACCCCCAGCCCAAGGGAACCCCACTCCACCCAGCCTCCAGACAGCAGTCTGTCCCAGTGCAGAGACTGCAGCAGGCAAATGGCTCACTTGTGCTCAGCGGGGTGTTGGCGCAGAAGCAGCTTCTTACCACGAACCTGCTGGGCCTCAGCCCATGACCCCAGGGTGCTCCGGAGCCACCCCAAACCCTGGTGCTGTTGCAGCAGGCTCTGGGTCTCCCTTAAGTCGTCCTGGTACAGAGACCTGAAGTCAGGGCATCCTCGGGCCTTCCAGCCCACCCTGGCTTCTGAGCCGAAGGAGACCAGCTCCCCTCTAGTAACAGTAGGGGGCACTCCAGTTTTACTTCCCCAAGTCTTTTCCCCAAGATTGTCCAGGTGCAGGGAGGCCTCACGGCTGGCACAGGCGGCAATGAAGCTATCCACTTCTTGGGCAAACCTCTGCAGGTCCAGCCCATCCTGAAGTTTCTGCTGCCTCTGCCCCCACAGAGCCTTCAGCTGCTGGCCCTGCTGGCCTAGGAACCTTAGGGCACTGGCCACCTCTGGGAACTGTGGGGAGTCTGAGTCTGCCACCAGCTGGCCTTGAGACTCCAACTGCTGCAGCCTGTGTAAAACAATAGACAGTGTCAAACCATACCCAGCCCTTCTCATCAGTTCATCTAGCCCTTCATCACAGAGCTCTAAAGTGAGGATGACTGGCTGGTCAGTCCTATTGGTTCACGTTCTCATAGGACAGTTGTATCCTGGCCTATGAATAAGATGGAATGCAACAGACTAGGCGGAGTACCCAGGATCTACATCACACTGTCCTCTATGTAGATTGCTAGTGACATGCTGGGATAACACAACTCAACAAAAATCACTCAATCCATGCATGCCTGCTGTCAGGGCCACTGGAACCTTTGACCCAGCAGAACAGGTGCCCCTTTAGGCTGGCTGCTGCCCCTGCATTGGAAACAGGTGGCACAGCTGTGGGGGGTGGGCAGGAAAAGCCAGCATCTCCTCTAAGCTGCTGCAACCCTAAAGTAGTGGGTGTGTGTGATAAGCGGAAGGCAGGTGTCTGTCTCTCAGGGCCCACTTGATACCTGTCGGCTCCCTGGAGCAGGGGACAGTCTGAGGCTTGTACCAGTGGCTCTGTTTGCTCATAAGGCTGTACATCACTTCTGAAGGAAGTGAGGAGGTAGAAATATTAGTCCCATTGGTGGGTGCTGGGCCCTCTGACTGTAGAGGCCACCAGGATATGCGCTGCTCAGAATGGGAAGCCAGATTGGTAACGCCATTATCATAAGGAGAGTGGCTGGGCCTGTCCTGACCTCTCTTGCCACAGGCAGGTCTCCTCCTGTAGGCTTCCAAGCTTCCTCAGCAGCTCCTGGGCTGAGGCCACATCCTTCAACTGCTGTTCGCTGCACAGTTGAGCCCGGATGCCCTCCGCCCACAGCAGCAACTTCTGGCTCTCTTGTAGGATGCCTTGCTGGACCCGAGCCTCAGTCTGGACCTGGACTCGCTGGGCCAGTTGCCTTTGCACTTGCTTTAGCAGATCCTGCAGCATCAGCACCTGCTCCTGAAGCAGCCAGCCCTCTATGGGGCCTGACTCCAGCACCCTGCAGGATGTTAACCCCTGCAGTCAGTACGCCAGGCCTGTGTCTCCCGGGGAAATGGTGACAGCTCTGAATGTCTACCCTACCCCAAGCTAGAAGCAGCATGTGCCTGGGGCTCTCCCTTTCTCTGAGTGTTGGGAGCCAGATCCAACCCTAATGAAAGGACAAGGAGAACACTAATTCTGTGTCCTTGCCGAGGTACAGACCTTGAAAGGTCCAGTGTGGGGCCTAGGCCTCAAAGGCGTTAAGGTGTCAGTTCCTGGGAACCTGGCATTCCCCTCTGAAATGCTGTCTGTGGCTATCAGTCAAAAAACAGCTGTGTCAGATATCCTGGCTGTCATTGTGTGGTTTAGATTTCTACTGACCCTGGCCATTCTCTCCCTGAAAATAGGATACAAGATGCTGTACTTCTTAATACATTTGTTTGGCATAAGGCAGTTTGTGCAAGACCTCCCAAACCAGCTTTTTTGTCTTGATCTTCTCATCTCCTGACCCCCCCACTTGAGGCTTGTCATTGAAGAACGACTTGCTGGTCCAGGTCACGACAGCACGTTCTCATGCCAACAGTCTCTGGCTTCTGCCAGCACCTTTCTACTAGCACAGCATAGCCATCTTCTCCCCACCCCAGTTCCTGCCCCTTCCTTATTTTATTAGGGCTTCCCTCTGCCCTTACTGCCACCCCAGCCACCATCACTGTCCTAAAGCTGGCCGTACTCCATAGCTGCTCTTTGGAGGTAGGAAATCCTCTTCTCCAGTACCAGGACCTTCTGCTGGGTCCAGTGGCTGTCCTCAGAGCCTCCAGCTTGCCTATTGCATTTAGCAGTTGGGCTCATGTGGGTTCAGACTCCTGTAGTAGACGGCACACCTCCATGTTGTGTGTCAGCTGCAGCGTTTTCTCCCCCTTCAGGGCTTCCAGCTGCTGCCACCTGAGCCGAGGACACAGGGATGTGTCCATCACAAGGACACCTCCCATCCATCCAATGATACCCATCCAGCTGAGGCCTTAGACAGTGCCTAACAGGACTGAGGCTTCCAGGCTGGTGTATAGTGAGATATTCACTCAGCCTGCACTTGTTGCACTGACCACGCCCATTGGGGTGGGGACAGGTACAGATGTGACCTGGGAGAACTAGGCTCTCTCTTGCTTCCTGGTGGGAGATGATAGCATCCAGAGGCATCTTTGCGACAGGAACCTGCTGGCAGTTATCTGTCTCTGAATAAACATCTATCAGCTTATCTGTTTTCCTAGATTCTTATTTATTCCATAATACTGCCCACCCCTCACTGTCTTCAGCACCATCTAGCCTCTTGCTTGGAGTCACCAAGCAAGGGCCCTGCCCCCTCTGCATCCCCCTTCTTGTCACCTCTGGTTCAGGTTTTCCTCCTGTTGTCGGATTTTCAAGGAGTGTCCTGGACATCTCTGCTTCAGTTGTCCAGCAGTGCTGATGACCTCAGCCCAGTGGCCTTTTCCGATGGCCAATGTCATGAGAAAGTTCTGAGAAGGAGGACCCAGACCCCTGGGGGGGGCAGGCTCTTCTCTCCCCACCCCCTTTGGACCACAAAAGTCTCTGGGATGCTTGGCTCTAAAACACTCATCCTGCTAGCCTTGAGACAGAAAGCTGGTGAGTCACTAGCCCTCAGAGTCAGGCCTGCCACCTTGGGACCCTGCCCAGACAGATCCAGAGCAAATATGAAGAATGGGGAAAACAGTGAGTAACAGGGCGGCAGAAGCAATGCCAAGATGGTGCAAACTTCCATCTCCATTAGCTCAGCAGCTTGCCTCACATTTGAGCTGTGCGGCCTCTAGGTTGTCACCCTGGGGCTGCAGTGTTTGGAATAGTGCTGTTTGCTCCTCCAGCCAGGACTGGAGCTCCCTATAGGAGCTGTAGAAGCTAAGTAGGGCTATTGCCTCCTCTAGTCGGGCCCTGTGAAGCTGAAGAGGCACCCACAGGAGGGGAGGGCACTCAGGGAAGTCCTGGAGTACCCCTGTCTATCCCGAGTGCTCTTGTCTGTCTATCCCAAGCCACGAGCAGGAGCAAGTCTTTACTCCACAAATGTATCACATCCATTTAAAAATTCGTTGACTTCTTGGTCATCATGTAAGCTCTTTCGGAGCATGGAACATATCAGTCACAGCTTTGTTCCTGGGCTCTAGAACAGTAGTTTTCAACCTTGCTAATGCTGCCACCCTTTAATACAGCTCCCCATGCTATGCTGTGGCGATACCCAACCATAAAATTATTTTCATTGCTACTTTGTAACTGTAATTTTGCTACTGTTATGAATTCTCATGTACATTCTGACATGCAGGATATCTGATATGTGACCCCTGTAAAAAGTCATTTGACTCCCCTAAAGGGGTAATGACCCACAGACTGAGGACATTGCTGTAGCTCTTGGTAGGGGCATGACGAACCTTCCATCCCTTCTCTTTTTTTTTTTTTTTTTTTTTTTTTTTTTTTTTGGTGCAGGGATTGAATCCTAGGACCTCAAGTTTTCCAGGCAAGCATGATTTCACTTTTGGGGGTTTTCATCTTGTTGTGTTTCCCAGGCTGGTCATGCAATCTTCCCACCACAACCCCTGGAGCAACTGGGAATAAAGACATATGGCACATGCTTAGCTATGGACATTTCTTAAACAAAGGGCATTACCTTTGCCAGGGGCACATAGGTTCTCATAGTTCTGGCTCAAATGAGCCTGTGCCTGGAGTATGGTATTGGAGTCTACATCAAAGTCATATTCAGTCTGAAGAGCCATCCTTGGACCTTCCTCTAGAAGGCACATATCACCTGTGCAGAAGGAAGGCAGTGTGTCCACACCTAGCTCCCACCAGGTGGCAGGTTCTCCACCAAGATGTGGTCATACCTGGGGTTTCTGTTCTAGGCTGTGAATGACGGTCATCCTGCTCTGGCTGTTCCCCAAGTCTTTCAGCTCCCCAATATTCAGGGCCTCTTCTGGAACCAAGACACACACTGTTTCAAGAGCACAGGATTCAAGGGCTGCTTGGGACCCCTTCCCTACTCAGTAGCTCACTACAAGGTAGGTCAAGGTTGTTTGGTACCCATTGCTCCCCTGTGCCTGGTCCTGTGTGAAGAGCTTTCAGGGTCAAAAAGGCTTGCGACTGGACCTTCCCATTGGGGGCTCATGCGCTTCTTGTGACTGCAAAACTCACAGACCCAGAACAGGCAGGACACTATCCAGGGATATACATAGGTAGGCAAGGCATGTTGTCATGCGAAGTACCATGGGTGTCCAGGGAAAGAAAGGCCAGATGGTCTGGGTATTTAAAGAGGGCAGACAAGGCCCCCTGGAGTCTGCCCAAGAAGACCCATTTGCAAAGCACTGTGGTAGCAGCGGCTAGGCAGGGACGAAGCACAGGCTCACACCCTCCCTGTGAAGACGAGCACCCCATCTCTATCTTCCTGTACTCTGTTCCTGGGCAAGTGTGGACAGCAGCAGCAGCAAACAGACTACTCAGAAATGGGTTATGGACACTGTAAAAGAGCAGGTGCAGAAAGGGGAAGGGAACAAAGAAATCAGAGGAGGACCTGGAGAGTTTCAACTCCACAGAGCCGCATGGCCATCTCATCTAAACTTTGCTGGTGTGAAAACGGCCTTCCTGTGGCTGTCTAGAGGCAGTTATGTGCTGCTCTGAGCAACACAGGTCTTTCCAGATAGCCCCAATCACTTCTTTATGCTGAGCTCAAACTGGCCTCCTCGGGACCTCTTCCATTTGGTTCTGGGAAGCCCCCAGACACAGTGCAGGGAAGATGTTTGGCCTCATTCCTGACAGACTTCAGGCCTGCATGGAGGTCATGACCTTGTACCTCTGGAGGAGAAGGGCATCTGCTGGTGTGAACACTGGCTGCCTGTTGCTGCTAAAACTTGAGCCCCACCCTGAGGTTCTCCTGTTGTGTCTCTGCCAAGCTTGCTCCAGTCTTCTGGAGGCTCCTCCTGTATAGGGGGCAAAGGCTCTGCTCAGGAGGCCAAGTGGCTCCCCACCTGGCAGAAGGGCAGACTCAGCCTCCCCTGCGACAGTGAGAAAAGACTGAGAATTCCAGGAGCCAGGCCTGGCATCTCTACCTTTGCCTGCACCAGATGGGGATGCTGAACACACAAAGGGGACGAGATAGCTTCTGTTGTTTATCAAGTATCACACCGGAAAAGGTGTGGGGCGAGGAGGGTGTGTATGTTTACAAACAGCCTTGGACAAGAAATCAAAAGGCATATTTGGCAGAAATCACTGGGTCCTTAGGCAGAAGCCAGCCTGCCCCATCTCACTTTGATTAACTTATTTGTAAAGGGTGGTGGCGTTCTAGAAACTTGCTAACACATGGATCTGTTTTTAAAATTATTGATTACGTGATCTGAGAGTAAACACAAAGGAAAAGGGAGAGATGGGCCAATAAGGTCTGGGAGTGTGAGACACGATGTGCCGGCTGGGGTCAAGGTCTTTCCTCCATTCATCGACCAGTTTTATGGCCAGGTTCGGTGAAGCAATCTGGAGGCCCTAAGTGCAGCTTAAAGAGTGTACCTGCAGGGCTGGGCAGAGAAGGGGAGAAGGATGTTGGGGCATCTTTAGGGTTGCCAAATTAGAGAATCGAAAGCTTACTTCAGGGTAAAGGGTCGTGAACATAAAGCTATTTGGGAGAACTTGAACATAGCCAAGCTCAGCTATGCTTGATACCCTTGATTGGTGTACACAGAATTCCAAATGACCTGCGACTGGAGGTGGGAGAGGGGTGGGGGTGGAGGGTGGAAATGCACCAGCTCTGGGAGGACCACAGAGACCCTCATTGAGGGAGCAGTGTGCGCCTCATATTTAGTGTAGGAGACATGAGTCTGAATCCTTTCCAGGTTCAGGAGCCCACCTTGAGTGATATCAGGGTGCCTGATCCTCTAGCTCGCTCAGCTCCGCCCCGAAGGCATGCATGCCTTGCTCCAGGACCATGTGGCGCTGCAGCAGGGCCTCCGTCTGGTCCTCCCAGCAGGAAGCGCTTTCTAGTTGCTTCTGTCGCAGCAGAAACCAAGAAGCGGCCTTGGCTGAGTCAGATAAGTACTGTGGGGAAGTGGGAAAGGATTGAGAGCTAACAGATGTCCGCGCGCCCCGCCCCTCACGTTCTACCTGTGCAACCAACAGTGCACTTTGCAGCCGGGTGCGCCTCCTTGCGGCTTCTGTCCAGAGCAGCTGCCATGTTCCCAGCACAGCTTCCGCCCTTTCCAGAGAATCTGCCTGTGTTGGGGGCCCCCTAACACTGAGGTTGGGTCCTTTCTGCACGAGATCTGCACACACAGACTGGTGGCGATGGAGTTCGGTTTCCAAAGCCTAGCAGGGTTAGGGGTGAAGAGAGGGAGAGGGTGACACCCGGAGTTCCAAGCCTGACAGGCAAGGAGGTCAGGATGTCAGAGCAAGGGAGTGGACAGACACCTTGTGTTTCCACAGAGCTGTAGAGATCTGAGTGAGGCCCAGGCCTCCTCCTCCTCAGAGCTGTTCAGGAACTGTGCCAGCTGCAGGGTCTGCTCCAGCCGGGTGCGTCTGAGGGACAGAGGGGCCATGGAAGGGTTTGGGGAAGAGCAGAGCACGGGGAGGAGTTGGCCTCTTTGCATCAGACATGCCCCTTAGGCAGGATTTCCCCAGAATGACCTAACAAGTAAGACCTGAGGCTTGGGGGCTCAGGAGTAGTGTAGACTAGGTTGCCAGACCAGGATTTCTGCTTGGGCAGGAGATAACCAAAGTTTCAGGAAAGCTCTACAGGCGGGTGAGGAGTTGGGGCAGGCTCTTACCGGGCTCTGACAAGAGACACCAGGCTGTGGTGAAGCTCAACCAGAGCCAGGGCTTTAGCCTGCAGCACCTGCACATTGGTGCCCTGGGAAGCATCCAGCTGTGCTATGTGGTGGGCAAGAGGGTTCACTTGGGTCCTGTGGGCTGAGACCTGGGCCTCCAGCAGACCATGCCGCTGCAGCAATAAGGCTACTTCTGCCGGCTGTTCCCACAGGCTGTGGAGTTGGCCAGCACCTGGCGGGAGAGGCACCATCAGTGCATTCCTAGGTGATGGGTACTTGTGTGCACCAGCTGGTGGGGGAGGAGGGCGCCTCCCAGAGTTCAGCTGATCTGCCCACCTGCAGCGTTTCCACCTCCTGCAGCAGGCTCAGCACAGCCCGTGTGTCTGTCAGCTGCTTCCGCTGCTCCTGTAGACACTGCAGGAGCTTCTGCCAGCGCCCAGCGATCTCCTTCTGCCTAGATAACAGGAGGAAAGGGCGAGCTCCAGCAGGCTGGGGCAAAGGAGCTTGGCTGTCCTGAAAGAGTGGCACCTCTGGAGCCAGGGTAGGATATAGATGTGAACAGCTTGATGTGGATGGTTGGGAGAATATGTTCGCAGTCAGAGGAAGCCTGGAAGTTTCAGATGTCCACACCCTCGTCTCTCTCATGTCTAGTCCCCATCTCCATGGATGAAAACTGTCTTTCCAGGAACACAGACTAAAACTTTAACAGCTCAGTTAGTTCGTTCGTTTGTTCGTTCCTTCATATATAGTTTTGGAGACAGGGTTTCTCTGTAGCTTTGGAGCCTGTCCTGGAACTAGCCCTGTAGACGAGGCTGGCCTTGAACTCACAGAGACAGAGATCTGCCTGCCTCTGGCTCCCAAGTGCTGGGATAAAAGGTGTGTGTCACCAATGCCTGGCTAACAGCTCAGTTTCTTAACCCCAGATCTGTTTGCAAATCCTGATTGGTACTATCTTCATATTCCTTCTGAGCTATCACACTTGTAATCCCTGGACACAGGAGGAAAGGCTGAATTGCCAGTTTTGAGGCCAGGCCGGTCTATACAGTGAGTCCTGTCTCTGTGAGACCCTGACTTGAAAGCAAAAACGGCGGTTCTATTCAGACTGGTATCACTTTTGTCACCCACTGCTTCCACTCAGTCTCTGCACCGGCTTCTTAATGGGCTCTTCAGTTCAGCGCTCAGGTGACCAAAAGCTTACAGTGGGTCACACTCCTCTGCTCAAGACTGATTTCTTAGCTTTCTGAGGAAAAGAAAAAAAAATTAACCAAACCTCCATCTCTCCCTCATCTGTGACTCGGTCATTTGCCCCACCCCACCCCCACACACACTGCTACTTTTCAGCCTTGTAAGGAGTATAACTACCCTGGGGTGCTGTTCTTGCCATTCCCTCTGCTCAGGACAGTCTGTCCCCCATCTATACAGGAGCAGCTCACTCACTTCCCTCTGGTATTTGATCAAAAGCCAATTGGCAGCCTCCTGCCTTGGTCTCTTTATCCCCCTCCCCCCCCCCCCGCCCCCGCCCCAGGACTGAACCAAGGACTTTGGGCATGCTACATATATGCTACCACTGAGGTAAACTCCAGATCCTAATTTTTTATTTGTTTAGTTTTGAGATAGGGTCTTACTAGGTAGCTCTGGCTGGTAGCCAGAACATGTTCTGTAGAGAATTCTGACTCTGAAATTCACAGAGATCCATCTGCCTCTGCCTCCCGAGTGCTGGGGTTAAGGGTGTGCGTCACAACTGCCTGGCCCCAGCCCTTACTTTTTAAACTTTCACATACTTAATTGATTAATTAATTTTCTTGTTTTCCTTGATAATGCTTTAAGCTTCAGGAGGGAAGGGATTTTTGCTTGCCCACAGCACTGGTAAATGTTTGATAATGGTGTGTAGGGATACTATGGACATTGAATAAATACCGTTCTGGTGAGTGTGCTGACTAATGAGAAGCTAACCAGAAAGACAGAATTTATGCATCCATGGGATTATTTTTCTAGCAGGAACCCTGAAGCCACAGACCACCCCACTCTTCTGTGCATTGTAGGGAGGCTTTGGCTTGCTGTGAGGATGGGTTTACTTGCTTGGAGCTCACCTGCGGGCCACATCTGCCCAGCTGTGATACTGTTCCTGCTGTAGAATGTCTGCAATCTCGCCCAAGACCTGGAAGCGCCCTTGCTGGGGCAGGATGCTAACTTCCAACATGTGCAGCCTCTGAGTGGCTGCCTCCCCTGTGGCTGGGTAGATGAGGGAGTCTCTGGCCTGGTCTAGCATCTGTACTGACTCATTTAAAAAGCTTTCCCGGAGGGCTGCCTTGCACTGGAAGCGGTGGGCCAGAGTATCCAGCAGCTCTAGCTGTAGCAGCTTGTGCTGCATGGCCTGGCTCCTGGAGGCCTCGGCCCTCTCTAGGTCTGCCCAGCGCTGAGCCAGTTCTGCAGGGCCCAGGCCTTCTCGAGGTTGAAATGGCCTTCGGTTTTGGGCTCGGAGTGTTGTCTGTAGCTGGAAGAGCAGGGCCTCTATGGCTCCTCGCTGCTGCAGCCGAGGTGGCTTTTCCTGGGCATGGAAGGAGGCAAAGGCTGCCAGTAGGTGGCGCATGGCAGGCAGTGAGTCCGGGAAGTCCCGAGCCTCTAGCTGCATCTGCTTCTCTGCAATCCAGTAGAGCAGATCAGCCACCAGCTAGCTGCTGGTATAGAGCCTGCAGTACCTCTGTTTCCTGGAGTTGCAGCAGGATCTGGTGGAAGGCAGAGCGCTAGTGAGACCGCACCTGGGGTGGGCCTCAGAACGGAAGCCCCACTGCTGGGTGCTAAGTGCTAGGCAGTTTTTGAGGGGAGTGGAGGCAAAAGGCCAGAAAGTGTCCCTGCTCCCCTGGCTTCTCATGTATGCCAGGCACCATGCTAGGTTATTACTAACACTCCCTTGGACACTCAAACAGCCTTCCATCATGCAGGAGTTGTCACCTCCATGTCACACAAGTGAGGCAATTTGACCAAGGCCAATGAGCCAGTAAGGCATAGGAACAGTCAGACAGACTGTCCCCCTTTATCACCAGCCTTGGCCAGCCTCCTCTGGGCTGTGTGCCCCTGGTGCAGGTGGGCAGGAGAAACAGTGGTAGTACAGGGACACATAGGTCATGATGGAGCGCTCGTCTGGATGCGGGGCTGCCACATCCTCAGGGTCCAGCAGCTGGGCAAAGCCTAGCTCCTGCTCAGCCACTCGGAAGGCAGAGGAGAGGTTGTGCAGAGGATGATCCAGACTCAGTGAGTCCAGCAGGTCTGGCCTGGGCAGAAGGCAGGAAGGTTCCTCAGAAGAATGGCCTGCTTTGGTTTACATTAGCCATCGCTGCTTACTGTGACAATGTTTTCTTCCGATAGCTCGGTGAGCCTCAGGCTGGAGTATAGACAGGGCTTGACAGGAGGGAGATTTAATGTGGCAGAGGGGCTGGGACACAGGATGTAGTGGGGCATCCCCCAAAGGGCAGACACTAGCTAGAGAGAGGACAGGAAGGAGACAAAGTTCAGGAAGCAGAAGAGGCATGGGTCAAAGGCAAAGCTGCTAACTCTGGCCCCTAAGGGGATGAGGAGGGCAGGCCTAGAGCAGGGATCAGACCAGGTACTCTCCATTTATGGCCCCCCTTGTTCTTTTCTTTCCAGGACCCTGGGTGCAGAGGGTGTGTGGAAGAGCAGGCAACATTCCAGCCCTGGGGCTCCAGGCTCAGTGGGTAGAGGCTTTTAGGCACCTGTGAGCATGGAGGAGAGCATTAAAGCCAAGCCCATCGCTCCAGTCTTCAGTCAGTATTTCATCTCCAATCAAACTGTTAGAAGTTCATGGTCCTCAGCTCCACCCATCAGATCCTCTAGAGCTGAGGCCCAGGAATCCGCATTTGAGCAGTCTAGATCTTGTCCTTTCGAGGAGGACTGGTTAATTGGGGACAGATACAGCAGGGCCTCACAGGGTTTGCCTGGTACCCTCTGACTCCCTCTTCTCTACCAAGGCAGAAGAATTCTGAGATCAGGTCCCCAGCTCTGATATCCCCAGTGCCTGACCCTAACACAGGCCTTGGTGTCCTTGCACAGGCTGGCTGCCTCAGCTGTCTGAAAATATTATCTTCCCACGTGTCCACATGACTACCCCCCTTTCTTCCTGCAGGCCTCGGATGGTGTTGCTTTGTCAACATGGTCCACTCCATCCGTCTTATCTGAAGTCGAAACCACGCATTTTCCCTTCCACCTAAACCTACACATCTGCTTCCGGCTCCTGCTACTCAAACATATGCCTAACATACACCACTACTCCCATGGTGGGGGTGGGGTTTTGCTCTCCAATGCATCCTCAGTTCTTAGTAGAACCTTACTACTGTGTATACCAGGTAGTAACAATGAGCCGAATGACAAAGAAAGGAGAGACAGGATGCACTCTGCTGTACATCACAGGCCTCTGAGGAAGGCACCTAACACTTCCCTCTGTCCCTGGCCCACTCATCCCTCTGTATTCACTCACCCTAGCTTGCAGGTATGACATCTGGCTAAAGGAGCACACATCTGTCCCTTCCAGCTCTCCAGAGTCAATTCTCTCAGCTCTGGGTTTAGCAATATCGGCTGACCAATGAACTTGATCGCAATGGGAAGAAATATTCAGACTTCAGTGTGGTGGTGGTGGTAGGTGTGTGTTTAAATATGTGTATGTTGTTGAGATAACACATATCCAGTTATTCTATGTTACCTAGGGTATCACCAACTTGAAATCCTCCTGCCTCTGCTTCTTTTGTGCTGGGATTAATAATGTGAACCACCATACCCAGTCTAGGAATTAACAAGGAACTCTAGGGGGAAATAAAAAGCTGTGGTTTAGCTGTGCTGGGGCAACTCCCTTGTCTTGAATACAGTTGCCCTGGATGTCTAGAGAGTCGAGGATGTCACCCCCACAAGTGTCGGTGACCTGTTATAGAACAAAATTCACAAAGAATCTGGGTGTGGAGGTACATTCCTGTAATGCCAGCATTTGGGATGTGGAGGTAGGAGGGTCAAGACTCAAGGCCAGCATATGATACAGGATTTAGTAGCCTAGGCTGTACATGTGACCTGTCTAAAACAACAACAAAAGCTCAAGAAGAGCCGTCCATCCTAGATTCCTGGAGGGGGTGAATGGCTCACAGGCTGTTGTCCCTGGATCTAAACAGGGCCTGGCTTTCTGCTGCTTTGGTGTTGGGGAACCACAGTTGCTCTCCCTCCAATGGCTTTTGTCCCCACCTGCTTCCAGGCTCCAGGGTTCTACATGTCACTTCCATCAGGACATAGGAGCCATGCATACTTAGCCTCAGCCCAGCTTGGGCCAGCTCTGTGGCTTCAGAACTTCTGTGCTAACTACCTCACATCTTCAGTACCCAAGGCCAGGAGCTGGTTCACCAATATAAAAGGACCTTGCACAGCCCAGCGGCACTGGCCATGAGGGTTTCTCTGTGCTGTGGAAACTCTTGCTTCTTTTTAATGACCATCTCTTTGGTTTGTCTCTTTCCAGGTGACTCTGGGGCTTCCTGAAGCCCTTCTCTATGCCAGCCTCTTGTGGGCATACACATCCAGGCTCTGCTACTGGGCTAACCATGGATCCTGCCTGATAAATTATTCTCAATCTACATGTCAGGTTTAAGAAATGAGACGGTTAAGAGCAGTCAGATTATTTCAGCGAAGAACCCTGCAGTCCTCCTGTATTAAACCTGCATGTTTTCAGTCCTCATAGGGACAGAGATTGTTCCTGCTGTGGCCAGCTGGTGGCTCTCTAGGTCAAGTACACTGCAAGGAGGGCTTTGATACCCGCTCTTGTGCCATGGCTGCACCTCTGGTATTCACACCCAGATCTCCTGCTCTGCCTGAGGCCCAGCCCTCATATGATGACCCGTGGTTGCTGCTTACCCAGCTGTCCACCCAGAAACCCCTGCCCAGAACAAACCTTGGCCCTGAGGAAGGCCAGTGGATGGCTGTTGTTCTCCAGGAAGTGCACATGCAGGCGGCCTGGGCTGGGTGCTGGCAGGGCCTCCCCAGAGATAAGCTCCAACAGCTGCAGTAGGTGGGCACCATCAGCAAGCTCTGTGTACAGGTCTTGGATCCCGATGCCCACCTGATGAGTAGATTGAGGCAGAGGTGGGGGTCAGCCCAGCATCTCCTGCCCACCTCATTTTAAAGTCCCCAAAGGGCAGGCCAGAACAGCTACAGGCAGGAGATCCTAGGGCAGCTCCCACCCTCAGGTCACTGGCCAGAACTGGAGGCACCCAGGCCAGCCATACTTACCCGGCCTAGTCGGAAGATGTTGTTGATCCCGTTGGCGAAGGTCTTCTGCATCTGTGAGTGCTGAGCCTGGAGCTTGCGGACATGACCAATCTCATACTCAGAGTCCATGGCCCAACTCAGACTCAGCAGGGCTGAGCCGCAAGCCTGGGTCCCCTCCTCAGGGTCACTGCTGCTGAGGAAGTGGAGGGTTGAACCTATAGCTGAGGATGAAGGGCAACTGGACGTTTCCCTGTGTCTGGAGATGGGGGGGGGGCCCTGGAGCCTGGGGAGCACGGTGGACACTGATGAACTTCCTGTCAGAAGCCTGAGGCCTGTCCTGCTACTTGTCCCCAGGAAGGGTAGGATTATGGGTTGGAACCTAAACAGGTAAGAAGCCTGACTGGTAGCCTGTAACCCACATCCCATTTCCAGATTCTTCTCTGAACCCCTGCTGCTAGTCCTACCACCACAGTCATTGGCTCCTGTTCCTTGGCTTAACTGTGGCAAGCAGAAGGAAGATGGGGGCTGCTCACCTTAGCAGCTGGTGTCTGGGTCCTAGCTGGAGCTGGGACAAACAGTGTGGCCCTCCCTTTGCCAGCCTGTCAGGGTAATGGCACACAGGCAGCATTGTCCTCTCACCTGCTGTAGGGCAGGGCCCAGACAGAAGGGGGTGGCTCAAGAATGCTCTAGGCTCATTGCTAGGGGGTCTCCTCCTTCATTCTATACCCCATGCTCTGGCAGCTTCCCTTTTAGCAGGTGATGTCTTGTTGGCTCTGGTGAGAATATTGCAGGATGCTGAAGTCTGAATGTGACATCAATGGTCAGGCTTCTGGCTGAAAGCTGTGGACTCACTTCCTCTTCCGCACCCCATCCTAGGATGATGGAAGGAGAAAACTGACAGCCCCTCCCGAGCCTGAGAACAGCCCCAGGGAGCCATAATGTCCTATGTTCCAGCTTCCTGGGCTCTGACCAGATCTGGGCCACAAACTCTGCTCAGCCAAGCACTGAGAAGACAGCCAGTGACAGATGGGTCACGACGGGTCAGGGTACCTGGGAAAGCAGCTTCCCCTGGAAAGCACAAATGCTGCATGCCAGAGGCCCTGCCCTCTCTTTTCTCAAGCGACACCTCCTTGTACCCACTCCCAGAGCCTCCAAGGACATTCACACAGACATCTCAGAGTCTATGGCCCAAGTTTAGTTAGCTGTGTGTAACCCCCAGCGCAGGAGCTTACTCTTCCTTTGACTGCAGCATAGGAGGAAGCTTACTGCTCTCTGCATGGCCTGCCTGGAGTCCCAGACCACAGTCAGCTCCAAGGAAGATTCTGGAGGAGATGCCAGGCTTTCAGGTCCAGTTCCCGTTTGGTAGGGGAAGCCTTGCCTTCAGCCATTCCACACTGAAGGTGTTCAGTCTCATCTGTAAGGGAAAGCTTTCAGAAAATCCTCGCACCCTCTGGGTTTGTGTGATGTGAGGTCTGAGGCCACACAGGTGTATGATGCCCTCTTGATAGGGTTAAGCAGAGGTGACTGTTTAGTTGTTGGGTTTGGGGCTAGAGTGATGGCTGCCCTTCCAGGGGACCTGGGTTCAGTTTCCAGCACATGCAACTTATAGCTAATGCATCTGGTGCCCTGTTCTGGAATCTGCAGGCACCAGGTACTCATGCAGTGCATGCACATATAGGCAAGTGCTTGTACACACAAAATAAAAATAAATTAATCTTAAAAAAAGAAGTTGTTGGATTAGAACTAGAGGACTAGCACAGCGGTGGCAGTGCATGCCTTTAATCCAAGCACTCGGGAGGCAGAGGCAGGGGGATCTCTGTGAGTTCAAGACCAGCATGGTCTACAAGAGCTAGTTCCAGGACAGCCTCCAAAGCCACAGAGAAACCCTGTCTCGAAAAACCAACCAACCAACCAAACAAACAAACAAAAAACTCCAAAAAACTAGAGGATGCTCTCCTCCTCACACCTCCCCATGGCTCAAGGGCTACTAGAGCTACCGATATTGTACAAAGACCAGCTCCTCTTTGGCTGTGAATGAGTAAGCCCTTGGTGGAAAGGTCAATGCTGTTTGGACTCTTTGCCAACTGACTGCATTTTCTATTTGAGCAGGACTGAGTGATACAGATAGAGTGTATTGGCCCATAATTGAAAAACAACCTAGCAGGAACAGGACTTCAGAATGCTGATCCCAAATGACATCATTGCAGATCTAGGTTTCCTGTGCCTTGCTCAATGCCTTTTCTGCTAGCCCAACCTCCTCCCCTAGTTCCCGCCTCTCAATGTCATTTATAGGGTTGTACCAAGAAGGCCCCTGCTTTACATTACAGTCCCAGAGAAGAGGGAGTATGAAACATCTTCCTAAGTGCTGGGGTGGTGGCTCTTCAGAAATGAATTGGAAAAACTGAACAGTTTTTTGAACTGGTGTCTCTGACTGGGGGGGGGGGATGAAATACTTTAATTGAATTAGGCTAAACAGGATCCATCCTGGACCGAGGGGAGGGTTCTACTGCACCCAAACCTCATGGTTCTGGGTGAGAATGAAAAAGGAATATGCCGTGCTAAATGACAGTCCATGTTATCATCATCACAAGGGTACACAGGTGTCTGTGCAGGTGGTACACACCTGGGGTGTGTGACAGAGAGGTCTGCATCTCAGGAGTGTGCTCAGGGTTGCCCCACCCCACTATCCAGCAGTACCCATCCCCACAGTCCTGTGCGTTCAATCTCTCCCAGGTGAGGTGTGAGCCTCAGTAGGATCTTTGTCCCCAGCGATGGGACCCACTGTGAGAGCTCTTCCCCAGAGAGGATGAAGGAGGAATTGGGGTCACAGGGATGGCATGAAGAAGAGGTATTCCTCTCTGGACTCTTCTGTCTCCTTTCAAAATGGACCCAAGGAAGCACTTCCCTCTTGAAAAGTGGGCACAGTTACAAGAAGCCAGAATCATTGTGGAGCGACGCTTTTAAATAAGATTTTAATAAATAGAGGCATTGTATATTTGCTGTTGCCAAATACTATGCAATCTGACATGCTCTTGAATTGAGCCCTGGATTACTTGAATAAACACTGGCTCCCTCCTGGGGTCTTGCTGTTGCATTGAAGCATGAAGAGAGACTGTTGGGCCATCTGCCTACCCCACAAGCTGGGGTAGTTTCTTTCCCCTTGGGCTCAGCAGGACTTCACTGGCAGGTGAGGATAACAGGACCTAGCTGAAGTGCTCCCTCCCCCTCACCTGCAGAGGCTCCTGTGATCCATGACATGTAGTGGTTACAAACATGGTCTTTGGAACCAGGGAGAGCATGAAGTAGCTGTGTAGTCACAGATAGTGCACTTCTACCTTTCCAGAGTATGTAAATACTCTGGGGTGATGTGGTGTGTGGTTTGGATATGAAATGTACTGAGGCTTGGTCGACAGAGAGGCGATTGGACCATAGGGTTCTGACTTCACTCATGGATGAAGATGAACAGATGAGGAAGCAGGTTACTGAGGCACGTCTCCTTCCCTGTTTTCTTGGCTGCCATGTGCTCTTGCTGCTATGATATTCTGCCTCACCTCAGGCCCACAGCAATGGAGACAGCTGAATGCATGTGTTATGTATTTCTCCGAGCTGAATTCTCTCAAAACAGTTGGCAAATTTAAACTTTCCCACCTGGAAACTGACTTCTGTCAAGTGTTTCTGTGACATGCAGAAAACTAACACGAGGGTGGGGTAATACAGTCAGAGTGAGCAGATTCGTGGTGTGGGAGGGCGTTTTGAACAGTCTAGGTGCTATGTGTTAGTTCTGGGGGAGACAATCGTTCATTTGGTCACCATCTCTGGTATTTTCCTTTCTGGTAAACTTATCATGATGAACAAGACCGACCCATGATTTCTTTTCTTCAGGAACATCACCAGGTCAGAGCAGGGTGAAACTCAGCTGCTAGGCTTCTCCCAGCAAAAGGTGGAGAGGAATAGGGAGAGAGATCCCAGAAATCTTAGTCTGCTGACCCTAGAAAGGCCTCCTCTGAGGTTCTGTACAGAAGAAACTTGGTCATATCTACATAGAATATGTGGACGCACTTTAGAGACACTCACAAGTCATACATTTGTGATTATATTTATGTAGATATATGACAACTGTGCAGAGAAAAAGCAGCAGACAACTGGGAGGAAAGGCAGTCCCCTCCCAGGCATCACCACCCATTAGACACCAGGGTCCTCACACCACAGAAATGCCTGCATTCAGTTACAGCCCCAGGATCAAACATTCCGCTTTGTGTGTCCCATTAATCAAAACACGCACTCAAAGTAAAAAGCACACCATGTTTCTCTTAAAACTGTCATTTAGAAAGTAAGATAGGGAGTGTGGATGGTGACATAAGAATTCTCCCTGATTTTGAAACAGACAGACTGCCATGAAACTAACAATGTGGCTTGGGTTTCAAACTCATGGTAATCCTCCTGCTTCAGCCTCACAAGTACTGTGGTAATAAATGTGAGCTTTTAGCATTTTCTCTTAAATCTACAATTCTGACCCTGAGGTTGACAGAGGCAGGGAGTTAAGGGCGGGAGTACGTTTTTCTGAAGATTCAGGGGCACTGTTCAGATTCATTCATTTCTGGTACTGTCGGGGCTGGGCCTCGTGGTCACTGCTGTGCTGTGGCCCCTACTGCCTAAGTGAGGGTGAAAGTGCTCAAGAGCTGTGCCACAGAGCAGGGTGTGTGTGTGTGTGTGTGTGTGAGACAGCCCCTGAAAAAGCCGGTCAGAGACATTCACGGGCTTGGTGGAGTACTGAAGAGCCAGCAGAAGGGTATGTGCACAGACCAGTCCTGGTCCCAGACTTCCTGGCTCGGAAGAAAAGGTGGTACACAAAGATTTCGATAGAAAAGCTTCTTCTTGTGAGGAAAAACACAATAAAATGCATATTTTTCTTTAAAAAAAAAATCAGACAATGATCTCTGCCATTGACAGCTCGGGATAGGGCTAGTCTCTCTCTACTTGTGTTCAAAGTCTCTTGGACTACACAATTCAAGACATGGCTCTGTTGAACTTAAATTCTGCCACTTTCTGCCACCTACCAAGAAGTCTTGGGAACATTCAATGGTCGAAGGGCACACTTAGTGACAGTTGGGAACTGTCTCTTTTCTTAAGGCTGATAAATTGACTTTGCTGCAACCTACTGGCTACACTGAAAAGAAAAGCCAATTCTCAGACTTCAACATGATCTGAAACATTAACTAGAGGTCTTGCCAGGGGCTGACAGAGGTCGTGAATTCCAAATTCCCAAATGAACCCAGCCTTGCTGGAGGGAGGTTTGGCAAGGCCGTGTAGCAGGTGCTGGGACAAAGCGGGTTTTCCTGGCCTGGCTGCTCACTCTGCTTGGGACTGCAGGAGGAACAGGTGCACAGAGACATGGCACATCCTCTTTCAAACCTGGATATTAGTCTTCTCTTTGGTGTCAGTCTACAGAGAGCAGAAACCTTCTGTTCTGTTCCCCCCCACACACAAATATAGCAGGAAACAATAAGAAAAATAAATGAGGTCATTTTCGCTGCTTCTCAGTGCCCCGTGAAGGGCTGAGAAGTCCGTGGTAACGAGTTGCCCTGAAGACTCCTGTGAGTCCTCAGCTCACTCCCTGAGTTCCCCAGAGTTTGCCAGCCTGCGCCCACATCTACATTTTTCTTTGGTTAATTTCTTTTTCTTCTTAGACTTTTAATCTCCATATATAGTGCTCTTCTCAATATTTTGATAGAAATATTTTGATAAACTTAGGGATTTTAGAGGTAAAAGAACCTCATCTTTCATCAGGTACCTGCCCTCCCCACCCTACATATGAGGAAATCGAGAAAAGGAGAGGACAGAACCTTGGCCAAGGACATTCAGCAAGTCAGCGGCATAGCAGACTTCAGGCCCAGGCACCCCTCCTCTCCCACCCCGGGTGTGCACCCTCAGTCGGCTTTCGGCAGGGACTTTCTGTGAGAGGGGGGCACGAGGTGTGGGGGCAGGCTGCTCGGTAGCTCGTAGCCATCCAACTTGATCTTGATGAGGTGCTTGGCCAGTGCAAACTCCTCCTCGTCCAGCATGCCGTCGCAGTCACAGTCGGCCAGCTTCCAGATCTTGCCCAGGACACTGTTGGGCAGCTTGGAGGTCACCATTTCCTTCTTGGCATTGACACCTGATATCTTGCCATTGATGGGTGATAGCGTATAAAAGAGTTCATCATACACGGGCTTGTCTTTAGCCACGACCCACTCTTCCTCGTCAGCACCCTCCTTGGCCCCCTCCCCATAGCCCTGGTTGAAGGGCCCCTCTGTGGTGCCGTCAAAGGCACCACCCTGCACCATCTGTGTGGGCATGTTCATCTCTTCCTGGCTGATGAGGCTCATCAGAGATGAGATCTTGTTGCTTAGCATGTTGTCCACAGCCTCGATCAGCTTGGGCTTCAGCGAGTGGAACTTGGTGAAGTCATAGTTCTCAAGCTGTTCCTATAGGAGGGGAAACCAGATTTGGCATTATGTTCTCTACAGGAGGCACTGCAGAAAGCTGGGTCTCCCTTGAAGCAGTCATCCCAACACACCCTGTGCCTTTCAGAAGAGCTCCTTTGCTGGGGCTTCCATCTCTAAGCTCATCAAATGGTAGAGGGGCTTAGGGATAAGAAACAAGCTTCCTGAGTGAAATGTGGCGTCTGTACAGCAGCTGTTCTGTCTGGTGGCTGCAGCAGTTACAGTCCCCAGAGACTTTGGAAACAACAACTTTCCCCTGCCTACTGCCCCAGAGAACTGGTATGTTCTCAGAAGGGTTCTGCTACACACTTCAGTTACTTTCTCAACAACCCAGGGAGTGGAAAATGACAGTATTATAAACTTGTTTTACAATCACATGGGCTATCCAGGTGGAGTTAAGACTAGAGTTCACATCTGCTAATTCTTTGCTATGCTTTGCTAAAAAGCTCAGGGACAAGAGCGAGCCTATGCCTGACACTGCCTAGATGGTCAGGATCTGGAAGCTGGATGGCTCAGAGACCTAAGGTAGAACCAAGCATGACAGGAAAAAAAAAAAAAAAAAATCAACAAAATGATTCCTAATGATATTCCACTATACTCATAGGATTGGTGCCTAGCCCAATCATCATGGGAGAGACTTCCTCTAGCAGCCGATGGGAGCAGGTGTACACCAGGTCTTCTGCATACATGCTGTGATCCTTTACCTTGGGGTGTTTGTGGGACTCCTAACAGTGGGAGACGGGGTATCTGTGACTCGTTTGCCTGCTCCTGGGATCTGTTCCTTCTACTGGGTTGCCTTACCCAGCCTTGATAAGAGGGTATATGCCTGGTCTCATTACATCTTGTTTTGTTTTGTTTTTCAGACAGGGTTTCTCTGTGTAGCCCTGGCTGTCCTGGAACTTGCAGGGTGGGAGTATGGATGCAGGCATAGTGGTACATGCCTTTTATCCCAGCACTCTGGAAGCAGAGGCAGGTATATGTGTCTCTGTGAGTTCTAGGCCAGTAGGGATAAACTGTGGACTTTGTCTCAAAAGGCAATAAAGAAACAAACAAGCAAATGGAATTCAGGGCGAGGACTAGATAGCACAACACCCCAAGTTCAGTTCCCAGCACCCAAGTTGTGTGGCTCACAATTACCTGTAGTTTCAGCTCTATGGGATCCAATATCCTTTTTCTGACCTCTGTGGATAACTACACTCACACCCGCACAGACACACATGTATACATATAATCTAAATAAAAATAAAAAAGAATTCTGTGGCTCTCGGTCCTACTGCCTCATACCTTTTGAGTGTTAGGATTATTGATGTGTGCTACCACACATGGCTAATCTAATATTTATTAGCTACATAACATTGAATTACCTAGCAAATTCATTTTGTAGATAGAAATGGAAGTAGTACCTAACAGAGAACAAAACTTGTGATTTTTAGGGTGTGTGGCAGGGCAGGCTTCTGCATTCTGGTTGAGGGATTGAGCTGGGCAGTCTGGCTTTCTAAAATGAGTTTTGGTTTCTGGGTCCTGTATCCTCACTGACTGATTAGAGCCACAAGGGCATCACCTCCATCCTCAGCATTATACAGTGCTACCAATACTCAGAACTTCTACTAACAGTGTCACAGTCAGCTGAGGGAACAAAAGGCATCAGCCAAGGGCAGATATAAGCCCTCCTACATAAAAATTCCAGTGCTACTGGGTAAGAGGTCTGAATTCCCTTGGGTGCAAGAACACCTACACTATCCCTGTGGAATGAGTCTGAGCCCTGAGCACACTGGGTCCTTGTGTCTGGCAAACTGTCTAGCAGCCTGCAGAGGACAGGGATTCTGATGGCAGTTATATGAAGAAACAAAACAATTTTGCAGGAATGACTAGAAAGCAAAGGCTATGTCTGCCCAGAAAGAAAGCACACAGGAAATAAACTCTGGTCCCTGTGGTCCTTACAGACCTGAGCAAGGGTGTGGAGGACAAGCTACTGCCATCCAGCAGAGCAGGTCTAAAACAGCAAACTTTTTTTTTTTTTTTTTTAATTGGGATAGCCATGCAGTCATGTTTAAATGAGATCAACAACTGTACCTCTGGGCCCAGGATCCTGGGGCTGTACCTTCCAAACAGTAGGTTCCTAGCCCAGCCTCAGGCTGGGTTATCCTTGCCCAGTTACTACCAAAGTTCACCAGAGCAGTTTTCAACTGTGTGGCAGGGAGGAGCAGATGGGGATGGCTCTGCTACCCTCTGCTGTTAAAACATGGTAACTCATCCACACAGGGTCAAATTGTTCAAGACAACTGAGAATAGTGTTCTCATGCTGCAGGACTACCTTTGCACAATAGGCCAGCGTCCCTTGGGACAGGACACAGGACAGACACAGAAATATGCACTTGGTTCAGTGAAACAGATGTGAGACTCTCCTGACCAGGGAACTCCTGAGAGAGAGGGCATAGACCTAAAGCCAGCTGTGAACACTCCTCATGACCCTCCATATACCCAGTTTGTGACTGTTATTTCCCAGTTGTAGCCTCTACCTCTAACCCACACACAGATGCTTAAGATGGTAGATCCTAACAGCCTCATGGAAAGGTGCATGCTCAGCATGTATTTATTGAGCACCTAATGCATTCTAGATCAGGAGTTCTCAACCTGTGAGTTGCAACCCCACTGGGGACTGCATACCAGATATCCTGCATATCAGATATTTACATTACAATTCACAACAGTAGCAAAATTACAGTTATGAAGTAGCACCAAATAATTTTATGGTGGGGGTCACTACAACATGAAGAACTGTATTAAAGGGTCACAACATTAGGAAGGTTGAGAACCACTGTTCTAGATGAAGGGGAATTAGAGTGAGCATGGCATGGGTAATGGACTCTGGAGTTACAGCCTTACAAAGAGACCCTGAATCACAGACATGAAGTCAGTAGTTACACTGAAATCCACAGCATTCATGTTTCAGCAAAGGTGCAAAGACTAAATTATTCTTCTACTTATCTTAAATGTCTGCCCATTGATGTATTCCAGGGACTAGGACAATGCTTGGCCACAGTACTTAACATTCTTCTGGATGAATGACTAAATGAGCACACATGAACATGACATCTCAGGGGCTGGGGCTCCTTGTTCTGTCCCAAGGGACTTGTGCTCAATGAAGATATGAAATGTGGGTCATGACCATGGGGACTCTAGTATAGGCTTCCACTCACCCGGACTCCTGATGAATGGGCTGCTCCTGAGACTCTGGTTTCCCTGACTCCTTCCCCCAGCTCTGGGAGGCCTGGGCTTCCTCTGACCCAGATGGACCCAGATTAATTTTCATACAGCTATCATTCCAGAACCTGCTCTGTTATGAGAGCTCACCTACAGGGGATCTCAGAAGAGCTTCGGGATTTCAGGGAGTCATCACGTGGTGTGGGCATGAGTGCATATATGTGGTGCCACAGCACATAGTGGGTACTTATTCATGGATTTCTTTTAAGCCAAGATACTAAGTTCTTTTATGAAAGGTACAAGGAAATAGCTATCCTGTAGTTGAGCCATGGGATTCAGGGTAACCTGAGGATAAAAGAAAAAGTCTCAGCTGGGCAGTGTTTGGTGCACACCTTTAATCCCAGCACTCAGGAGTCAGAGGCAGGTGGATCTCTGTGAGTTCAAGGCCAGCCTGGCTTACAGGGGGAGAGAAGGGGAGAGAGGGAGGGAGGGGGAGAGATAGAGATAGAGATAGATAGATAGATAGATAGATAGATAGATAGATAGATAGAGAGAGAGAGAGAGAGAGAGAGAGATCCAGGATAACCAAGGCAACATAGAGAAACCCTGTGTTGGAAAACAAAACAAAAGGTCATCTCTGGGAAACAACTAACCACGAGTCCTTGAGTAAGTTGTCTTGTGACCACAAGAAAGAAAGGTAAGAAAAAGAGTATCTCTGTACTTTTCATAAAACAAATTTCCTCCTACTGGGTTGCCTTATCCCTCCCTGATATGAGGGTTTGTGCCTAGTCTTACTGCATCTTGTTATGCTACATTCAGTTGATATCTCTGGGAGGCCTGTTCTTTGCTGAAGGGAAATGGAAGAGCAGCTGGGGGTGGTGAGGGTTGGGAGGAGGGGAGGGAAGGGAAGCTGCAGTCAGGATGTACCATATGAGAAAATAAACAAAGAAACAAATAACTTGGCTAGACCCTATGACCAGAGCCTACCAGAAGCACCCACCTTGGCCCCAGGCATAAAGAGCTGCCACCAGAATGAGTCTAGCCCACCCCTCCCGCCCTGCCCCAGCCATGTCTGTGTTTCATTTATTAAAGCTGACCTCACCTCATTTTGTCCACTCCCTTCCTCCTCCTTGTCTCTCTGAGGCCCAACCTTAGCCATACCTTCACTTTAGCCAGTCTCTGTGGCTTGTAGTAAATGACATAACGGTTGGTCTCAGGGTAGAACCTAAGTTTAGTTTATCCAGGTTTTGAAAATTTGAGTCCAAATTTGAAAGGTGATTTACATACAAATCTAGACTTCAGCTTCTTATGCCCGAGATGGTTCATATTCCCATAGGATAGTGATGATGGCATCCCCACACAAGCAGGAGACCCACAGGGTCCCAACAAGCTCCCACTCTGCAACTGCAGAACCATCCTTCTTGTAGATACACTCAGGGACCCACTAGATGTGAGGAGACAAGCAGGTGGAGATGACATGGCCACCTCTTTATGTGTCTATACAGCGGGTAGCTGCAGGCACCTGAGCACTTGTCATCTGCTTAATAGGGAGGACTGTGACCCTGTGCAGATGTGCACTACACTAGACAGAAAGATGGAGACCTTGTTCAGAAGGACAACCCATCACTGTGGGGCAGTGGACACTGGACACTGGTTGAGCCAAAGCGGCTGAATGCAGCCCCATCACGGCTGGCCTGGAATTGTTCAGAGCTAAAGGGGGATAAAGAGAGGTTCTGAAATCAGGTTGGAGGCCACCAATACTAGTCTTTCAACAGAACTCTTGCTGAACACAGCAAAGTATAGCTGTGTCTAGAGCCCCAGCACAATTCTCAGCAGTGAGCCTGTCCAAGTATATTTCCTCACTATGGATGCAGGAGCTATCCAAAGTGATCTTCAAAGACAAGCCTAGCTCTAATTTCCTTCAGGTTCAGAGATCCTGAAAACCAGGGGTCACCTCAATCTCAAAGACAACTCTAGGCTTGTCTATGAGGCCAGGCTGTCTGTCTTTCTCATGTGAGCTTTACTGCCCTTTGGCTAATTGTCTCCCCTTTAAAAAGACATTTTGGAAGGCAAACAATGTCTGCTTTAGTCATAGGAGGCCATTATCATGGGTCACCATTAAGGAGATGACTTCATTGCATTTTCCTTCATTAAACTTCAAGAATTTCTTATACTTCCTGTGACCAGCTAGGGATTGTGGCAAGGAGTTGTAGTTCCCAAACCTCCTCGTGACATTGTAACGGGGCTCCCAGTACCTGCATGGCCTTGACCTCAGGGAAGTCCCCCGCAGAAATCTGGTATTCTCGCTGCAGCTGAACATAGATTTCTGGAAGCCTGAAGATAAGTTCTCGCTTCTTATTTTCTTTTCCAAATACATTTGGCATTTCCTTCTTCAGGTAGCTGATGATGTAGGCATGTACCTGAGGGAGACATGTCAGATGAGCACACGCTAACTACTAGAGATAAATGAGACCCATTCCCATGAAGAACTCTGGTGAGGAGCCAGGAGCCAGGCAGCCTAAGGGGAACTAGAATGTATTTCAGAGCTCCAGAGAGCTGGTCTGAACCAGGTAAACTGAGAGCTGGACTTGAGGAAGGGCCAGAAGGACCAGATATGCTGAGATCACACAGTGATGGTGGGCAGAGAGAACCCCATCATCAAAGGCTGATAAGGGGGAGGGTATAGAAAGACAATAGGAGACTGAATGTGACAGATAAAGGTTATGGGGATGACAAGGCAAAGCAGAAGTGACATCTGAGTTGGGCCTTGTGAAGAACAGCAGGAGATGCAGAGAGAAGAGCAAGATAGGGTGCTAACAAGCTGGGTGTGTATTTGGGGCTGAATCATGCAATGGTCCGGAGGTGGGAGAGGCATCCAGACCTTGCTTAGCAGGCATTAGGAGCCACTGGAGGATTTGAAGAGAGGCTCTGCGGACCCAAAGCTTGCACTGATGATGGTTGTGTGGGGCCAGAGAGGCCAGAATAATGGTGACTGGTGTGTTGCCTGGCTGAGAACTAGGTGGGATGAGTTGCACAGAGAATGTGCCTGGGGGTTATGTCTTAAAAGCTACTCCCAAGAAAGGGAAACTGACTATAGCCCCTGAGTGGTAATTCTGGTGTCTGGGCAGGAAGTGAGCAGACCCTACTGTGACTAGCCAGAAAATGTAGCAAAAGTTTCACCTGTGGCCTGGGAGCGCCTGGAAGTGAAACTGGGGGCTGATTGTAGTTTAGCTATACAGGAATGGTGCCCAGTGAGGAATGAAGTAAGAACAATCACTGGGCATACCTTAATGGGCACAATGCTGAAATCCTCACCGGTGGCACTAAGTGATTTTTGTATGAGACCAGGCTGGATGAAAAGCTCTCTCTGGGGAGGAAACCCAGATACGTGAAAGGAAATCCCCCAACCCCCTAAGGAGGGTACTGACTGTCCTGTCTGTGTCACACCCTTCTCTCAGTTTTACCATTCTTCCACTTATTTCTTAGGTCAGAAAACTGTGTTCATTACAAAGTTTCCTACAGAGTAATTTGGAAGTCAAATAAACAGCTAAAATAGGAAAGGATGAAAAACAGAACAATGACATAAAAAAAATAACAGCTATATAGACTGGAAAATGCTACTAAAGATAAGAGATTTCATTAGAAGCTTAAGGAGGAAGAAAAGTGGAGAAAGTGAGCTTAGCTGAGGGCCTCTGGGTATGCATGCCTACGGTGGGCACACAGAAGCTGAACATTAATGTAAGCACATGCAGTGTACAGATACCAGCTGAAAATATACACTTGCTGTGCTATATGGCTATTGCTTAGGGACAACCTCTCTAAAGGTGGTTAACTGAATGTAGGGTTATAGAAACTATTAACTCAAAATCAGGCTTGTGATGAACCTGAGGTGTTTCTCACTTGCCCCTGTGGTCCTGTGTGACTTCATGTCTGTAATATCGGCCCTTAGACAGCTGAGACAGGAGGACTACCATGGGTTGAGGCCAGCCTGGGCTACACAGTGTTCTGGGACAGTCTGGGCTACCAAGTGAAACCTTTCTCCCATCTGTCCCTGCTAAAATAATTCAATAAATTCAATAATAAGCCCAAGACCCAAACTCATAGGTGAAAAAATGTGAGACTGAGCAGCCAAGCCCCACTGAACAAGGATTTGTTATTCTGTTCAGATCAAAGCTGGTACCAAAACCACGTGTGATTCTAACAGTCTCAAAGGGACTTAAGGGGGCCTTTAAGGCATCTGAGGTCAGCCTTCAGAGAATCAGGTTTCCATATATAGGCATGGGCACTGACATCCAAAAAGCCCAGGCAGGGACAGAGCTATTTTTATGCCTTGCAGTGGATAAGCATTAAAGGGCTCATCACCACACACTGCACAGTAATTCTCACACTCTTCAGCCTGTATCAGACGCCTAACTTCTCCAAAAAGGAATTTGACACTGCAAACAGGAAAGCCAGGCCCTGCATATCACATGTGACTAAGAGGAAAATGCATCTTTGAAAAGTAAACTAAATTCCACAGAACTCTTGTGACCCCTAAAGTCACTGAGCTCTCCTCTCTCATTTCCCACCACCCCTTCCTCAAAAGCTGCTTGGTTTCCTTACTGAGTGGGTGGGGCCTTTCCTAACCTTGTGCAGAATGGGGTCTGATAGTGCACCTGCCTCACTTTTGATTTTTGTTCGTCTATATCATAAAGAAGGCTTATAGAAGAATAAAACTAAATTCTATTTCCCAAATTCGTATGTGGGCTTTCCTAAAATAGCTCTTAGTCTGAAGAATCGTGTGGTAAACTCTGACTGGTGTCTCAGAGCAAACAGAATTCTGGCAGGCCGCCTCCCTCTTATAAAAGGTAAGGAGGTGAAGAGGCTATCCTAGAGCACATGAAGGTTTCTTGTTCCTTAGAAGATAGCTTTGAAAACACACAAAGAGGAAAGACAGCAAAATTACCCAATATCCAGATTTTGTTTGTATTATTAAAATCCTGTATTACTGTGAGAGTGATTAAAAGATAAAACACAGGCCACAGAGCCCCAAGAAAGCCAGGAGAGGAAGATGGGAATACTTAGAGTCCTCAGAGGATGTGTGGATCTACTAACACCTTGATTTGGACTTGTGGTTTGCACACTATGAAAGAATTTATTTATATCATTCAGCCTAAAATAAAGCAGCGCAGGACACTTACACATACTATCTAATCTAGTCTTTTCCCACCCTTAGTCTGGTCCTCTGTGTAGACATGTTTCTTCTTTTCCCACGTGCTAGGGACAGACACCAGGGCCTTGAGCACACTCTCTACCACTGAGGTATACCCTTAGTCCTTGGTGTCTTGCTCTGCCATTATATAGTCCCAGTGGCTCTAAGCTTGTGAGCTCCCTGTCCCAGTCTCGCAAACGCTAGGATTACAGGTGTATACCATCACGATTTTGACTGGGTACTTTTAGGCGTGAACTTAAAACTGATCATTGCATGGTCCAGCAGCATGGGAAATGAGCTATGTACCTTTGGAATCTTTTTAGGAGTTCAAATCTGGGAAGAGGACTGAAGGGTAGGGATGTGCTGATGTTCCCCGAGACGGCTGGAGAGATGGCACTTGCTGCCAAGAAGGTTATTGTTCAGATTTTTCCATGTTATTATGCATATCAATATTCACTCTTCCTCATTACTGAGTACCATCCCATTACATACACGAGCCACTAGGTTGTTTCCATACTTTGGCTATTCTAAATGAAACTGTTATGAACATTTTTTAAAAATGAAAATACATTTGCTTTTCCTAGGTGGGTCATAAATTCTGTAAACATTATCCCATCAGCGGACTCAGATCTCATATCTCTTAGGTGATAACTGAAAACTTATCTATCACATTTTCTAAAATGTCCCTTATAGGTTTTATGTGGATAGAGAATTTTCTAGAATAAGTAGAATTACAGATTAATATATAAGCAAGAGTGTAAAGTAAAAAGATATTGCAGATTCTGTTTACACTGGATATAAATCAAGACTTCCTGGACCAAGCAGACTACTTGGGCTTGGGATGTGTATTTTGTAATTTTCCAGGCTGTGAGTCAGCTCCAGGAAGTTATATTGCCTTTCTGAAAGTCAGGTTTCATGTATAAAGTAAGGGTAAGGATGCCCAACTGTCAAGTAACTGACATGATCAAGCAAGAGTCCTCAGAGGATGTGTGGATCTACTAACACCTTGATTTGGACTTGTGGTTTGCACACTATGAAAGAATTTATTTATATCATTCAGCCTAATGCTGCAAAGACAACTGGGCCAAGGGAAAGATGACCATGACCAAACAAAAGCATTGTAAGGAAATGTAAGCAGTGGTTTTTTGCCTACCCCTTCCCCACATTTATTTTTGTGTTTTTTGTTTTTGTTTTTCTGGACAGGATTGTACATAGCCCAGGTTAACCTCAAGCTTACTATGTAGCTGAAGATAACCTGAAGCTTTTAAGCCTTCTGTCTTATTGGGACTGTAAGTATGTACACCACAGCTGACTTGTGTAGTGCTGGGGACCAAGACTAAGGCTCTCTGCATGCTAGGCAAGCACCCTACTAACTGAGCCATGTTAGGGGGCCAAGGCCATTGTGTTCAGTTCTGCTTCTTATCCAGCCCAGGCAGCTTCCTGTCCTAATGCTCAACTGGTATTGCAACATACCATGTGCAAGTGGCCCTGGGGAGCTGGTGATGGAAGTAGATGTGCCCCAAACATTTTCCTCTGTGAAAAGGAACAAGCCAGATACTATTCTTAGGAAGAAAAGAATATGCGATTTCTTTTCCTATAAGTAAGCTCAGCAATTTTGACCTTCCTCCCCCTACATCAGCACAACGGTTTTCATTATTCAGAGTCAGAACACAGAGGCATTTTGTGTCTCACTAACCTAGGCCACACTGATCTACTCTAACGGCCAATGTTCAGGAATGGCAGGGAGCATTACAGGCTGTGGTGCTAGGCATTTCCAGCCAGCTCTCTATTCATGTTCATATCCATATACATTCTCTCTCCCCAGCCCTTTATTCATAGTCTCATTCCATCCTCCCCCTCCCCACATCTTTTTTTTCTATGACAGAATATAGCTGTATCTTCTTCAGTCACTGGCCCCTCAGTAGTGACTGGCAACTTTATAATGTCCAGGGGCATTAAATCCCATGAAATTTGCAAAGTCTACAGGAGCTACTAACTTTGGTTAGAAAATAATTTAGGCTAGCCAGCACTGGGGAGGCAGAGGCAGTGAATCTCTGAATTCAAAGCCAGCCTGGTCTAAAGAGCAAGTTCCAGGACAGTCAGGGTTATACAGAGAAACCCTGTTTCAAAAAATGAAAACAAAACAAAACAACCCCCCCCAAAAAGCCCCAAACCAAACCAAAATAAAAAAACCCAACAATGACAAAACTAATTTAGACTTTTATATACCCTGAAATTAAATTCATTTATATCAGCTAGAAAAGAAAAATACCATGTGCTAAAGGGTCATTGAACAGGCAAAACCAGACAGACTTTCTGTGACCGACCACGCATTAAACCTGGTAGAGGGCCTTTCAGGAGACTGCAGATATGTGGTTCACAGACTAGTTAGAGCAACTGCCTTGCAGGAGTGGAACAAAGTGGCTTTGAGTTCTGAGAGGAAGTAGTTTATACCAGGAAGAAAGGATAGAAAATGGTGACTCACATAGTACCCTTTGGGTTCAAGTTAGCTTGGTGACACAGAGGAAAGTGTGTGTATACCCTGGGGTGTAAGAAAGGGAACCAGAGGTTGTGGCACTGTGTGTATAGGGCAGAGGCAGCCAGGGGAAGGTCTCTTCACACACAGGCGCATGCACATTTGGCTGCAGCATGCAGACAACCACTGAGGAGAAGTGAGAAGGTGTTGGGAGGCTCATGGCACCATCCTCTGAGTGCCATATGGGCAAGTACCCATTCCTTCATCGGTACAGTTCTTTATAATAAGGGTGCTCTGAGTCTCCCTCCTCCACCAGATGGACTCTTAGCTCTGGCCTGGGCATACCTTATCTATTTAGTGTCTACTAAATGAACTACAGTTGTGGTGGACTCCAGAAGGCTATGCACCCAGGCCATACCAAAAGTCAGGATGCAGGAGACTACTTTTCCCCTGATGTTTTTTTTTTTTTTTTTTGTTTGACACCAGAACACTAAGAGAAGGGAGTTAACTCTACTTCCTGGCCAAGTTTCAGTGGGTGTAGATCAGTCTGTGTAGCCCTGGTTAGCCTCAAACTCATAGGGATTCACCTGACTCTATCTCCTGAATGTTGGGATTAATGATGCAGCAAGAGTATGGTAACTTTTTTTTCCTTTTTTGACAGGGTCTTACTATGTAGCCCTGGCTGGCCTGCAACACCTGTGAAGACAAGGCTGGCCTTTAAACTCACAACGATCTACCTGCCTCTGCTGCCTAAGTGCTGGGATTAAAGGTGTACACCAATCACATTCCTCCCCTAAGCCTTCTGGGATGGAACTACCCATTATACAGGAGATAGCAGTTCAATCCAATACTAGCCCCAGTACCCACCCTGTCATCTAATGCTTACTTTGGCCAGCCTTGCTCGCTTGATGAGGTCATTGAGTTTGCGCACTGCAGCCTTCTGGGGCAGGCTCTGGATGTCTCTGAAGAGGTCCTGTGCCTCAGCCTCGAAGAGCCGGCGGTTGTCTGTGTTCTGCAGAGGCTGTGCCCAAAATGAGCCAATGTAGACTCGAAGTACCTCTGGTGTGTTGATGACCTTGCCTAGAGACCACATGAGAGCCCCGTAGACGCGCATCAGCTGCTGGGTGTCCACTTGGTCAGCCTTGTTCAATACCACTCGAATTTTGTCATCCTGGCCCCGGAAGGCCTTGATCGCCTCTGAGAACTCATCTGAGATGTCCAATTTGTGAGCATCAAAGAGCAGGATGATCCTGTCAACTCTCTCAGCAAACCACTGTAGGACCTGGCAGAAGTCATACCCTGGGTGGAGAGAAGGGTGTTAGTATGCTGAACACTCCAGGGGACACGGCTGAGAGAGAGCTCCAGTAAAGAAGAGCTCTGAATCTGAGGAGGCAGAGCCTAAGATCTGAAAACCATTTCACATGAGGTTCCCTGGGCTAGATGTATGTAGTGTTAACACTGGGGATCTGGCACCCTTCCATGGGAAGGATCACGGAAAGGGGTCTCTGGTCAGTTTGATGAAGTACTACATGTTGGCAGATTTACTTGGTACTCATGGTTCTAATCTCACCCAGTACAGGTCTTTGAATTAGTGGCAGAACTGACCTCCAGTCCTGACACTGAACACCATGGGCTAAAGGTTCACTCTTTGGACAAGTCTTACTTTTCAGAAAACATATGAGATGAAGAAGGAACAGAGCCCGGAGGCCACCTGCAGGTTCCAGGGTGTCCAGCAAGCATGGGAATGAAGGAATTTGTTTTAGCCCAAGTTTATAGTGCTGAGGTCAAGGGTTGTCTGGGAAAAGTTGTGATTGATATTTATCATGAGGATTATTTATAGCTTAAGTGTGTTTAAAAAGTATTTTAAAAATCTGTCACACAGAATATGGTCATTTGCCAGTTTCCTTTGTAAAATGAACAGGGCCACAACAAATTCCACTGAGTATGTTTGGCCACCTACCAATCTGTTCCAAATCAAGGAGTTAAGCAAACACTCTTCCTGAGGTCAAGACTTTTAGCCATCTCCCCCAAGGAAGCAAGTTCCCAGGAGAGGCACACAAGGCGGTCAGTGCCCAAAGGTTATTTTGCTCCCAGGCTGCTCAGCTGCAGAGCCACAGTCTCCATCTAGCCCATTGTAGCTGAGCAGCCACCTCTCTAGCTGCCTTCCTATTTCCAATAATTCCAAACTTAAGTCAAATGTACAGAATAATGCGATGAGTGTTGAGGTAGCTACCACATTAACATTTCACCTTGCTTACTGCAAATACTTTTAAAAAATCAAGCTTGTTTATTCAGATAACAAAACACCAGATAGCAAAAAGAATGAACTAGATCTTCACCTGTCAGTACAAGTGAGTCTCTACAAACAAACATGCAACAACAACACAACAAAACACCTTGGGGGTGGTTGCTGGAAAGATGTTTCAGTGGTAAAGAGCACTGGCTGCTCTTCCAGAGGACCTGAGCTTCGTCCCTAGCATCTTCATGGCACCTAATAACTGCCTGCAATTCCAGTTCTAGGAGATCTGACATCATCTTCTGGCATCATGGGCACTGCATATACAATGGCACACAGACTTACATATAATGGCACACACTCGTACATATAAAACAAAATTAAAATAAATAAATCTTTAAAAGAAAAACTATACTCTTCATAAACAAGTAAGTGTTGGGTAGAAATTGGTTTCAAAGAGATGAGTAATGTCAGATGTGGTGGCTCATATGCAAGATCCTATCACTTAAGGGAGGGGAGGCAGGAGGATTTCTACAAATCTGAGGTCAGCCTATGTTACACAGTTACCCTCCTCTCAAAAAAATAAAAAAAGATGAATATAGAATGATGTTAAATACCAGGCAGTGCTCAGCATCCTATGGATATATACTGTAGCAAAAGCCTAAACTGTTAGCATCAACCTAGGATGCTGGCTGGGGATGGAATATGGATCCTAAAGCAGATGAAGAAGTACCCAGGGAAGAATTATCTTGTAGGAAAACCAAAGAGGCTTGTGGACTAAATTTTTCATCCCTTTGAAAAATGGGTATAAGGGGAGCAAATATACAAGCAAACTAGAGTTAGTAATAGGCTTATTTTGATTTTGAAATAGGTATTACTATGCCAGTGCCAAAGGAAGCTTGTTATCCTTGTAGATAAATTGAAAGAGCAGTATTGCTAATGTTGGCATAGCCATGCAGACATGGTGGCTCTTCCTCTCAGGCCACCTCAGTTGACTACTTGGCTGTGATGCAGCATGTATTAAACTATACCCTAAATTAAAATTTATAATTTGTAAACAATAAGATTCTGGGCTGCGGATGTAGCATTGTGATAGAGCATATGAGGACTTTGGTTGGATCCTTAGGTGCAAACACACACACACACACACACACACACACACACACACACACACACACACACGGAGATAGATGGATAGACAGACAGACAGACAAAGATATCAAGCACATAAGCAGTGAGTAGCTTCCAGAGCTGCTATGCAAGTTCACTCTAGGTGAAGCCATTACACATCTCTGGAGGAAGAGCCCCTGTCTGTGTTTCCCCTTATTAAAGTAACAATGGGAATCAAGATGTGCAGGTGGGTAGAACTGTACTTTTGTGTCACTAATAGGTAAAAGGACTGCTTGTTATACACCAGGCAGCACAATCAAGAGTAGAAACCACTGAACATCTCAGAAGAGAGCACAGAGTTATCAAAAGTGGGAGAGGTTGGTTTGTTCAATTTTATCATTTCAGTCATTTTATGACTCCAGTTCACTGGCATTTAATATGCTCTTATTGTTGTACAATCACTATCATTCTCATCTTCCCAATTGAAACTGCAACCCATTAAATAATAATTCTCTATTTCCTCTGTAAGGAATAGGGAGCTTGAATGAGTGAGGTCCTGAGAGAATGTGTGCTATTGACATGAGCTGGTCATGTAAAGACCCCAGAGCTTTAGACCTACAGAGGCATGGCAAAGTCTCCCCTCTGGGCTGAGGTCCAGAGGCATGGCAAAGCTTTCATTGGACGAGAGGGAAGAAATTCAAGCGCTGACAATATGTTTAGAGTATGTCCTCTGTAGCTCCCCACCACCCAATGTTTATAGCCTGAAGCCTGCTCCCTACAGAGACTGCTTCTGCAAAGATTAGCTAAACCTATCCCCTTGATCCAGCTGTATACCATAAGTCCTGCCTCCTTGTTTATCTGTATGTAATAACCCAATCTTCTTGTTCAGCTATATACAATAACTTTGTCTTTCTGTTAAACTGGATGTAATAGACACACTAAGCTTCCAGGCTGCTGTGGTTTCTCCAGCCAAAAGTTCAGACCACCCAATCCCAGTTTTCTGTGTGTCTGGCTGTGTTTGTCTTTGCTTCATTTGCTCACTCCTAGAGCTGTGCTGGATCCCCCATCTCCCCAATTTCTTGGAACAGCATTCTCCTTTCTAGGTTTATAAATCTGACTACTGTCAGTGCTATGATATAGTATTTGTCCTCTGTAACATGACACAATAAAAATCATTTAAATTATAGCACACGCACGTGTGTGTGTGTGTGTGTGTGTGTGTGTGTGTGTTCTATATGCACATGTTTATACCTGTGAACTTGTATGGAGGAAAGAAGACAATATAAAATGTCCTGTCTATTTGATCACTTCTTGCGTTATTCCCTTGGAACAAGGTCTATCACTGAACCTCATTTTATTTTATTTCTCAAGACAGAGTCCTGCCCCCTGCTAGAATTAAGGGCATGTGCCATCATGCATGAACCTTAAAATTTTTATGTTTGTCTGTGTGCATGTGCCTGTCTGTGTGAATGCCATATGTGTGCGGGTGTCTATGAAGGTCAGAGTAGGGTGTCAGATCCCTTGGAGCTAGAGTTCAGGCTGTTGTGAGCTGCCCAAGGTAGGTGCTAGGAACATGGAACTCAGGGTCTCTGCAAGAGCAGTATGTGCTCTTACCTGCTGAGCCATCTCTTCCGCTCCCTTCTTTGGCTTATAAATTCTTTAACTACAGGGACCATCTTCTTCACAGTTGCACACACTGTTGTGGGTTTAGACACAGAAGTGTCTTGAATCTAACCCTGCTTGCATCATAATAGTTTTGTGACTTTGTCCAAGTGGCCTAGTTTCTGTTACCTCGTTTGTAAAATGGAGTCCATAACAGTACCCATGTACCTTTTAGGGCTGCAGTCTTAACAAATGAGGCATTTAGAATCATCTTAGCACTTACAAAACTGTCCAGAATGTTATCTACTAGTTATAGTTTAAAAAAAAAAACCAATATTTTATATCTAGTGCTTGAGGCAAAGTGAGGTCACAGTAAATGGTTGTCAAAAGATGCCTGGCTAGGGTGAAATATAATGTAGATCTAGAGAAAGAGGATGCTCCTGAGGGATTTTTATAAAACTTAGGTTGCTAACTTTGTCCCGCACCAAACTGAAACAATTCAGCTGCCTCTTAATAGGCTTGTAAAGAAGGATGCATGCAACACAGGTCCACCCCTGACACATGAACTGCAGTGAAGGAAGTCAGTTACTAAAGAACATACACTAAGCAACATGAAATTTAGGGACAGGCAAGATTAGGCATCAGTGATGCCTATAGAAGGGGTGAGGCTAGGACTAAATGGCTAGAACAATGAGGGATCTTCTAGAGGTGATGGAGTTCTATCCCTTGATGAAGGTAAGTGGCTACATATGTGACCAGATTTGGTACAACTTTCCAAACTGCATAGTCACAAGAGATATGTTTTATTATATGTTATATGAACATACACACATGCATACATGTTTGGAGGCTGCAAAAACTGCATAGCTGCATGCCCCTTTCGTGCTCAAGATGTATTTTTTTAAACATTCATTTAATTGTTTTTAGACTTATTTTTTTGTATATGAATGTTCTACCTGCATGTACTATGTACACCATATATATTCCTGGTGCCCATGCAGATGAGAAGGTGGCACTGGATTCTCTGGAACTGGAGTTACAGATAGTTGTGAGCCACTATATAGATGCTAGGAACTAAGTATGGGTCCTCTGCAAGAGCCACAACTATGCTCTTCACAACTGAGCTACCTCTTCAGCTCTACTCATTTAATTGTAAACATTTCAACTCTTTAAGACCCTTCAGTGGGAGGCAGAGACAGGTGGATCTCTGGGAGTTCGAGTCCAGCCTGGTCTACAGACTAAATTCCAGGACAGGATCCAAAGCAACACAGAGAAACTCTGTCTCGAAAAACAAAAACAAAAAGGCCCTCAAGTGGAAATTTTATTGATATAAACAAAGAGATATAATCAG